AGGATCGTCTCGAGGCAAAACAGTTCCACAATGACACGTTGTAACATCTCGACTGTATCAAGGGAAAAAGAGTATCGAGGAACCGACCAAGTGTTCGGTTTTGGTTTCGCAATTTTACATCGCACTCCGATCCCGAAATAGCACGCACGCGAACCCTTTGCGCTGTGCGATAAATGCCATGTTACTATCCGTCTCTATAAACAGAGGGACGACGACGCGTAGGTAGGTTCTCGCGGGTGGAATAAATCGATAATTCGTTATTTATAACGCTGACGAGTTTACGGAAGACGAGTTTCTGCGTTTGTCTCCGCTCCCTCGCCGTGGGAGCCGCCGATGTATTGATTTCCCGTACGTCTCCAGTTTGAAACATGAAAAGACGACGTACGATCACTAGGAACGTTACCGTCACGATGGACGGCCCGATTAAACGGCTTAGACTCATCGATGTAATTGCGATAATGCCCGTGCTCCTCCGTCATTGATAACGCTGCGCAAACAAATGTAGTAATTGCAAAACTTTGAACGGTGAGTCATCATCGGGTTGATACACGCGCCTCGCGCGAGTCGTAAGAAAGTGCAAAAGTAAAACGAAATATTCCGAGCTTCGTTCGTGCAGCGAGGCGCAGTACGTCGGTTATCTTCGTCGGTTAAAGTGCGTCAACAACAACGTGGATTTGGCTTAAGTATGCGACAGATATACATATATATATATATATATATATCATCCCGCGATGGTTTCATTTTGAGCTAGCGATAAATGAGCGCGCACTAAAACCGCGACGAAACTGTATCGTCCTTCACGAGTGATCGTTATTTCGTTAATAGCGCGCGGCTTCAACCGCGCGCGATGCTGTATTATCCAGGCTGGGCGACGAACGAGAGCGAGCGAGGCTGGCGTTTCTGTATAACGTAGGAGAACACGGCTCTGACCTAGAGACTCCTTCGGTTTATGGAGACCCATGCTAATGCCGCCACATAAAGCAGAACCCGTCGTGCGTCGTGCGACCAGAAACGGGGGGAACCACCAAGCCTGGGAGCGAGTCTGCCCGAGTAAAATTCCTCGATGAGCACAGCGAGGGAGAGAGAAGGGCCAGCGGGAGCGATTCTCGAGGGGGGAAGGGATACGCGATTCACGGCTCGCTCGCCAGGCAAAGCCAGCCAAGCCAGCCAGCCAGCCAGCCACCGTGGCACTCCGCTATTCCCCTCCACTATTACCACCCTCCTCTCTTTCTGTGCTGTTCCCCTACCGAACGTTTTCCACCACCACCACCCGCTGGTCTCCTTCTTCCCCTTCTCGTCCGCTTTCACTCATACCAGCGACGTAGAAAAGGGGGTTGTGTGCTTGTGCGTGTGAAACTTCACTAAAGCGCACCGAGTGTGCCTGTGTGTACGTGCCTTTTTTTTTGTTGGGAAACGCGACGGGTAGGGTGCGTCGAGGGGTGACGGGGGGAGGGCGGAGGTACGGGGGATAAGAACGAGGAAGGAAGGAGAGAGGCGGTCAGCGGCAACGGCTCTCGCAAGCGAGAGAGGCAGAACGCGGTCGCAGTTCCAGTACGCTGCTGCGCGCCAGTCTCGAGAATTTTCTTTGGATCTGATGAAAATGCGCACAGAGCCTGGCCTACGGGTTTTGCTAAGGGCTATACCCATCAGTGGCAGTGATCATGACGAGAACGCAGGATAGAGTTCATTGACACAGATCTTCGGTTACGCAGTTTGGCTAGCCATCATCACGTGGCGTATGCGCTGCGACTGTCTCTCGGGGAATATTGCGGGTTGCGTCTAGCAACTACCTTCATTTCGTTATTACTTGAAGATTCGACACTCAGATAACCGAACCGAGATAGTCCCCTCTCGTATTCGTAACCTCGCCTTGTTTCGGGAATCATTACGGAGAATTCCGAATTCCGAAGATGTCTCAGGGTCTCTCTCTCTCTCTCTCTCTCTCTCTCTCTCTCTCCCCCCCCCTCCTCCGAGCGAAATGCAAACTTCTCGCAGCACTAGAAGCCAGAGCCATTCTCCTTTTTACATGTTCCTCCAAAGGAGTATCGCGACTACGCGACGACATTCACACTGGTACACTTGGTCGTGCAGTCATAACCGTCTCGAGAAGCAGCCTCGGCAGTCTGGCGGCAATGAAGTCTGGAGAACACAGCACACATCACACAATAAAACGTTTCGTGCGCAGAATAAGGCACAACGTAGACGTACGTTCTCCTACATGCGGGAAAGGCGAACGCAGGTCGGAGAACGGAGAGCGATTTATACGAGGGAGCGGTGCTCGAGTGATGCGTCCGCCATTTCGCGTGAGCGTTCTTCCAGTTGCATACGTGGCAAAGATTTACGCGTGTGCTTGCTTCTTCTCCTGCTATTCCCGCCTTGGGAAAAATGATCGGTAGCCGAGAGATAATAATTCTCGACCATCGAGTAGTATTTTCGTAGTTCTCGGAAACTAGAGGAATTTCTTGCCTTTTTGCGTTTTTTTTCTTTTTTTTTTTTTTTTTCGTTCGCTCGTTAATCGGTCGAATCGGTACGCGAAGCTATGAGAATCGAACTGACGGGCTCAAGGGGGAAACATGTGAAAACCCTTTCTCGCCAACGAAACGACAGGGAGCCACACCCTGCTGGAGAGCCCGTTCGTCGTCGACACGACTGACGAACATACGCCAGGCATTGCGACACGTTCGCGCCGTTGTTGCTTTCTTTCGAAACATATTTCGCTCCTACGATAGAGAGAAACTATACAGTTCCAGCCGTTCTTCGATTCGTGGTACGCCCTAGTAAAATATTCCCGCAGGTAATCCGTGCGCAGGCCGTTTCCGGATCTGGGGACACAACCAGCAACCCTTCATTCCCTCTCTCGCCGTCAATTGCGCGAAACGATCATACGACGACTCGGGCTCGTCGTCCCGTACGTGTAGGAGACTTTTCTCCAGAGTTATTTCTTTCTACGACGGTATACGCTTATTGAGGAAGTACGCAGCGCAGCAGGAGTTATACGACAAAATGGATACGACGAAGCTACTTTTGCGGGAGAGCAGAGCAGAGCAGAGCAGATACGTGCGACTCACGCGAGATTAGACGAACAACTCCCTGGGAAAGTCCCCAGACGTCCCGGTATTTGCGCCTGCGCGCACCGCTTGTCCTTCGAACGGCCAATCGGCGCACACCATCCCCCGAACGCGAACAGTACTTCCCCTCTTTGACGATATCGTTCACCGTCTCACACACACGTACACACACTCTCTCTCTCTCTCTCTCTCTCTCTTTCGCTTTGCACACACACATACACACACACACACATAGGGTGTGCCAGAAACAACTTCTCCGGGCTCTTTGTTTTCTTTAATTTCGTGCGAAATTCAATATCCTAAGTTCTCTCTCTACTACGGGGTGAAAACGAGACTGCTCGCTCCGTTGTCCCTCCCTTCCGTTCTCTCTTCCCTTTTGCCCTTCGTTGGAAACTTTGCCGATTCAAAATTGCGCCGAGACGGGAAACGCGAAAGATATCGACGCTTTTCCAATGGGACGGACGGCGGAATAGCGCGCCGTGCAATCGGAAAATAAATCGATATCAGCGCCGCCGGTCGCTCCATTTGCGTCCTGGAAAAACTTTGCCATTCGCGATTCGAAGCGGCTGCTACCATTAAATGTCCATGCATTTTTCTGTACGAGTGTGAAATTCCGTACCGTCATTCGATCCAGAAAAACTCCAGCGAAAATCCAGCTGGTTTGCACACATCTCGTAAATTAAATTCTGTGTTTAAGGTCGGGGGGAGGGGGGGGGGTAAATTTGTCTGTATAATATTTATTATACAGATAATTATTGAGTGGAGAAGCGTATCACAGCGTTCTCACACAACATGTGCGCTGTATACATAGAGAGAAATATTGTGTACGGTATAATTCAGGCTACTTGCCAAGGCCAACATCAGATTCGATTCAAGGCGTATCTGACCGTTCTACGAAAACACCGTTCTCCGAATAACAGCATAATATCTTAGTTTAAAAAGAATCGCGCAGACCAAACGGAACTGCTGCTCGCTGCTGCACCAGTAACTCGGTACGATCGATGAAACCCGGAACGTTAAAGCTGATGTTTTCTTCAGGACACCTTATATATATTTATACGTCATTTCTCTCATTGCGCTTTCCTCACGCGCTGTCGTGACTCGAGTCACTTGGCGAGAGCCTGTCATAGTCTCTACAAAACATCCGCAATGATTTTTATCTGTACTGTGATCTGAACGTGGTGGAGAAAGACTTCGATCGAGGTCTCGTCTTTTTCTTTCCTCGCTTCTTCTACTCCCCCCCCCTCTCTCTCTCTCTCTCTCTCTCTCGCTCGCTCTCCTTCAGACCTTCCGGACCCTCTCTCTTCCTCCGCCTTAGACTTAATTTCCTCTAGTCGCCTCGAGTATCGAGAGAGCTTTCTGAAAGAGGCAGAGGATTACGGGGTCTCTGTGCTTCTCCCTTCTCGCATCTATCCACCCTTCTTCGAAATCCTAAACGATCCCGACGAGATCCCCCTTCGGCGCAGTTGCCGCGGATAGAAGCGCGACGTTGCCACATCCGTAAGAGCTAGCTAATGTTTGCTAACGGAAGGAAACTCAGGAATAGGTAGTTTCCTGAAGATATAAGTCTTCATACAATGCTCATCAGGGAATTTCAAAGTACGTGTCTCAAACGGCGGTCGAATACATTCGTATCGATTATTTTATATAAATGAGACTCGATGTCATTTGGAACGCTCTTCAAATCGGCCGGAACTGTGCCTCCCGTAGTACGTAGCGATCGCACAGTTGACTAAAGTTGATCTTAGCATATATCTTGTATATTTGTTCGAAACATCAAACAAGCTATCACAGCAATAGCTCCAAGTTCCCCCCAGTCGAGGGTAGACCAGAGCCGACAAAAATACCTGACCGAAATCCAGAAATTGTATCTTCTCGGTAAAGTCGGTCCATTGGCGGAGTTTGTCAAGCACGATTTTAATGGTGTTTCAGGTATGGACGCGTGCAGAGCGTCAAGCTGTTGCCACGGGGTGAAGAATGCCCCGTGGACGGAGGTTCCAGTGGTTCCCTCGGCGAGGGCAACGAGGGCGGTTCCGGTTCCGGTTCCGGCGGCGGCGGCGGCGGCGGCGGCGGTGGCGGTGTCGGTGGTGGCGGCGGTTCCTCTACCAGCACGGGGGGTGCCTCAGCGACGGTGGCGTTCATGGATATCAAGTCTGCAGCGAAGGCTCACGCGACTGAGCATACGTTGGACGAACGAGCTCTCACTACACAGTACTACGAACCACAGCATCTCCAGCACAGGTTCCCTTCTCACGGGTGAGTTTTGCGCTCGGGTTGCGCAAGAGAGATAAACCCTCATGCGAATGCACGGTATGGGACAATGTCTGATCAAACGCACACACCCTTATCTGCAGATGAGAAGATATCCTCCTATTCTTCTGGCTCTCGGCGGCTTTGTTCATTCTGGGTCCTATTTTTCTCATCAAGTTACACTTACACACAGTTCGGCCGTTGCTTTTTCACTGGACAAGCCTGTAATCTCATTCCTCATTCATTCATTGAAATGTGCCAGTTATCTTCAAGTGCAAAGCAAAATTGTCATTGGGTGCACCAATGGGGGCAAAATTACGTATCCAAGAGAATTTGTTGGAGAAGATAACACTCGAACCACATGATGATCGCATCTTTTTAATTGGTACAGGAATGTCCCCGGACCATCTCTTTTTACCCAAATTAGTTGCATCCGGGAATAGAACGATATTTTTGCCTCTGCCGTAGTACATACAAGTACTGATTTTTGGTGAGTCCCCGCGTCTTGGGATTTAATTGACGTCCAATGTCAAAAGGAATAGATATAAAAAAGTGTGACAACATTGAAACGTTGTCCTGCGAATAATTGTTACGAACGACCATTCTATTATCATTGCTGTCGAATAGAATACACGTGCGATCTATGTATTTCAAAACTACATATTTCAAAGTTCACTCTTTTGCTTTCTCGTGCGATCGAAAGCCAGTGTGTATACAAGTGCACAATGTGTACATAAGTGCAAGTCTCAAGAATTAACAAACTGTATCTAGTCAAAATCGAACACAACACAAGACATATTCAGTTTCAGTGTTTATTGCAACGTGTTCCGTCTACGTCTCGTTTTATGCTGTAGGATCAAACAACAACATATATTGTGTGATTATACGGTGCGTTTGAGAATTACAGTGTTATCACAGCCGTGACTACAATCGCAGTGAAATTACGAGTAACTCGAGAAGAACCATGCGGATGATAAGATCTGTTGGGACATCGGTGTTTTGAGGGGAATAAAAATGATGTATGCCGCCGTGTCCAACCGTGATGAACAGTGCAGTGCGTTTCCTTCCTCACCACACGTCCAATGGATACAGTGTTGGATTACAGTGCTCTTGGATTACAGTGATCTCGGATTATAGTGATATTAAAATGTGCCACAGCACCTGTGTGTGGCTAAATCGTCGTATAAACGATGGATTTATAAAAGGACCGATAAGGTAAGTAGATAACGAGAAAAGAATTCCCTCCCCGTCCTTCCTCCTCCATCTGCGTCATACGTTTTACATTCAACTCAATGTCTTCTGTCTGATCCACAATGCCTACCTTGGCGCTTTAGTTAGCGCTAAATATAGATCAAACGTACACCTCTTGTGCCACTTAACCGGTAGAGGTAGTTTCTTATTGCACATGCATCGCTTGTTAGTACATATTCATCCATGATGCCGTATATGGAACTTCTTATCTCGCATTTCTTCTCATTAGTCACACGTTTGCCAAATGCTTTACCATTTATAGCCGGGGCAAATCGCCGTTGTGGTTCGATGTCGCGTTCAATATCGATTGTAAATACGTGCATATGTAAGTGTACACTAAATACGTGCGTATGTAAGTGTACACTAAATACGTACGTATATAAGTGTACCGTTCTTTACGTCGGCACAAACAACTCGCGATCGCGATGTTAGGCGGCGTGCATAATAACGCGTTATCGACGCGTTGTCTTCCGTCTTCGACGCACGTCCGTTCTTATCCGCAATATCCTGCCCTTTTATCTCAATGGAGTCTGAATCACACTAATGCAGACTCACCAACAGCATCGCCGAGTCCAGTAATGTGATTTTCAATGTACGCAGCAAAGAATGCATTCGATATTCCACGATATTATTAGCGATGTAACGATGGGCAAGTACACAGCCGAGATGCCGAGAATTTAACGTTGAAATTGGCAACAAATTCATGAGCTGGCATCGATAATAATTCGCCCAAATGGTGTTTCGATGTAGTCAAAGCTTTTCAACGTAGTCAAAGATTCTACGCTGTTTTACACAGGCGCGCCGCACACACTTACAGCAAGCTGCGATCGATTTCCAAGAATTTTTTGCTGTTACTCAGTCAATCGAAAATCCCCCTCTCGCTCTTCTGCGTTCATCTTTCACGCGGTGACATGCAATACCTTCGAGTGATCCAGAGCATGATCACGATTCCTCAAGTTGAGAACCATTAGTGCGTCTTATCACAGCTCTAGATAGCAACGTAATCTCCCGTTTTCTTTTCTCTCTCGCAAAAATTCTTCGCACGCATTCTCACACTCCGCATTTTCTCACGTCATCGCCGCCACCGTGGCTGTTCTCGTTTACTTACCGTCGATTTGACAGGTTATGCGTTACATACGATTAACCAGTAGAAACTGCACTTTCTCCGTGGCATGTAACACATATATATACGTACGTGTGTACTCCAAGTCGTCGAAGGCGCGTATATCGTGCGTCGCCTGCGGAAAAATCCGCGTTTGTCTTCGATCGATTGATCTCACCGTAAGAGGGCGGAGACGAACAGGAAGGGGTAGCGAGAAAGAGATAGAGAAGAAAGATAGAGGGGGAGAGGGAGAGAGAGAGAGAGAGAGAGAGAGAGAGAGAGAGAGAGAGAGAAAGAACGAATTAGAGAGGAGTATAACGGCAGGAGAAACGAAAAGGAGAGAAAAAGGCCGTGTGCGCGTACACGCTACACGCATTCGTGCACGCTTATATTCGCACTAGCGCTCGCGCGACCAAGAAGAGTATAGTGGCGTCGCATTTCCACGAAAAGTCAGGTGACCGTGACGACGTGTTCGCTGACGACGTTGCCACGTCTTGGCCGAGACGGCTGCGCGGGCGCTATCGCCCGACGAGTAGTGACTGTCGAAGCGTGACAGCCCGGAGGGACGGGCCGAGGGTAGGGAGGATAAGGGGAAGAGAGCGTTAACTGTCAGTAGCGTACTCAGAAATTTACGAGCCCGGCTCGCCACTCGACTCGACTACGCTACGATCGTACGAGCAGCGCGCCAGGATTGAGATATTCGAGCCGCGTGGCGCTCTTCTTTTTCAACGATTTCACAGATTGCTCAGGTGTAAAAGCATTTCCGCGACGTTGGCTGTGTATTTTGCAGTGTCTGCATTGATGTAAAATGTTGTTGGAAAATAAACTGTGACTTACTCGCTCCCTCGAAAAAGTCTCAACATTCAATTGCTGCCCTTTTCCCGCGATACCGATTATCTCGAAACTCACGAAATGCGAAATTCTCGCTTACTTTCGACTCGCGATTATTATGGTGACTTTATTATGGTTATTATTATGGTTATTATTATAATGACTGTCGCCGCGAAAATTATGCGTTTTCAGACAGTTTGTACGTTAATATCCGTGGGAGTCACTATACTTGCCAAACAAGAATTAATTTCCTATATTAAATTTACGTGTTTCACTAGTATCTAATATTACGGTAAAAAACGGTAATAACGGTAAAACAATAGGATGACTTGTTATTTATTATGTATAAACATAATTAATAATGGTAATATTAATTAATATGATCGTGTTACATTTGCACGGTCGTATTACATCACACTCTTGTATTAAAAAAGATAATTTCGAAATCCACCGAGACACATGATGCAAACCGTAAGTTTTGCAAGATTTTTGAACTCGCAATACTACTTTTCAAGCTGACTGATTCAGCAACTTTATCTTATAAAGATATTTCCCAATCAAAGGTAACTTATCGAAGAAACAATATGGTAATATCGAAGCAATACTTTCGGTCGATTTTTCTGTATGCGTATGCTTCATGCGACTGCGCCGATTTGTTCGAACAAACCTCTTAAGTTTATTATACCGATTTATGTAATGTTACTTCCATTAGACACCAGCTTGCATACCGCAGAAACGCATCGCGGAAAAAGCGCACCGACTGCCTCTCACGCCACGACCAGGTCCGGTAAATAAAATATATCTGTTTGTTTTGCCGTATTTCAGAAGTTCGGAGGATCATGGATCCAGCGGCGGGACCGGGGGTGGAGGAGGCGGAACAGGCAACGTTTCCGGCGGCAGCGGCGGCGGAGGTGGTGGCGGGAACACCGGTACCGGCGTCGGCGGCAGCGGCGCCGGAAGCGGAGAGCGTGAGAGGGGCGGCGAGGGTTTTGACTCACGTGGCTTCTACAGTAACGAGAGAAGCAACCGGGTTGGCACCGGGAGTGGCAGCGGCGTCGGCGTCGTCGGCAGCGTCGGCGGCGTCGGCGGCAGCGGTGGCGGCGGCGGCGGCGGCGTCGGCGGCGGCGGCGGTGGCGGCGGCGGCGGCAGCGTCGTCGTTGGCGGTCATCCGACAGATCCTTCGACGGGGGATCCTGTCGGCGGCTACATACCCCGCAGCCGTCCACCACCTTCGAGCTCTTATCACGTGACATCGAGCAGGGCGAGGGATCGGCTCTATCCAAGGACCGGCCCGTATGTCTCTGACCGGCCGCCGCCCCCGCCCCACTTAGACCGTCATCGTGGTAGCTTGCCGCCATCGTCCTGGTCGGCTTACGAGTCGACGAGTTCGAGGTACGGCAATGCGCCGCCACCACCCTCGCCCGCCACCAACGATGCTTACCAAGACGAGCAAGGTAATTGTCCTTGTCACCCATTGGTGTTGAATCGCCGCGGTAACTATCCCTTTTCGTCACCACGCTCCTTCGTCCACGTTTATAAACATCGTAAGTCGTACATCATTATCTCTTAAGTCATTTGTTTTTTTTTCCTTTTTTTTTTTCTTTCTTTTTTAATACTAAATCTTTCGGAGATGCTTCCTCGAGAGAGGGGAGAATACTTAGCGTTTCACTTAAAGCAAGACTACGTTGACCAGTTATTTTTGACCAGTTGACGAAACTGTGCTCGACTGTGTACAGGATGTGTATCTCTTGTTTTAGGAGGTGGTGGAGGCGGCGGTAGCAGCAGCAGCGGTGCTCTGCGACAACACAAAAAACAACGCAGAAAATCGCGCAGCGGAAGCAGCTCACCAAGCGGTAGCAGTCGCTCAGGAAGTAGTAGTAGTAGCCGGAGCGGTAGCTCGGGCGGCAGCAGCACCGGTAGCACATCGCCTGGTAGCTCACCCCATCGTACCAGCAACGTCGCCGTGACGGAGGATCGCCGAGCGCTGGCTATTTGCGTAAGGAATCTGCCGACCCGTAGCAGCGATACCTCCCTCAAGGATGGCCTCTTTCATGAATACAAGAAACACGGCAAGGTGACGTGGGTGAAGGTCGTAGGTGTAGCCGGCGACCGGTACGCCCTCGTGTGCTTCAAGAAACCTGAGGATGTCGAGAAAGCGCTCGAGGTCTCCCATGATAAACTCTTCTTCGGTTGCAAGATCGAGGTGGCTCCTTATCAGGGCTACGACGTCGATGACAATGAGTTCAGGCCGTACGAGGCGGAACTCGACGAGTACCATCCGAAAGCAACGAGAACGTTATTCATCGGGAACCTCGAGAAGGACGTCACAGCGTCCGAGCTGAGGAAACATTTCGAGCCATTCGGCGAGATAATCGTGAGTTGGAAATATATTGATTCGATTCAGCCTGAAGTGGAAGAGGAGACTCGTCGAACGCGCATACATTATAAAACGTGTCAACTCACATGTCTTGCATTTATTCGTAGGAGATTGACATCAAGAAACAAGGCGCCGTGTCAAGTTATGCTTTTTGTCAATATTCGGATATCGGTAGCGTCGTGAAAGCCATGAGATCTATGGATGGTGAGCACTTGGGTACGAATCGAATTAAACTCGGATTTGGAAAGTCGATGCCCACATCTTGCGTTTGGGTCGATGGCATCGGAGGTAATTATGTCTCTGCACAATGAACTCTACCTTAAGTTAAAAGAAGAATTCTTTTAAAGGGAGACTATATCCCCCAAAATATATACCGTTCGCCTGAAAGTTCTATTCTAACGTAGAGTGTCAGGATAATGAAGAAATGACAAAACAATGCCAACGATCACACGGAGACGACTGTCTTGTTATTCTGGATTTTTTCTTTTTTTTCTTCTCAGATTGCATGTCCGAGAAGTACTTAAACATGCAGTTCCATCAGTTCGGCCCGATCACTCAGGTAGTAGTGGACCGCGAGCGCGGCCAAGCTTTGGTCTTCTTCGACCAAATCAGTTGTGCTCAGGCCGCTGTAAAGGAGATGAGAGGAGTCGTACTTCGGGGCCGTCGTTTGCAGGTTGATTTCGCGTCGCGAGAATGTCAAGAGACGTTCTATGAACACCTCGAACGTCAAGGGAACACAAGTGAGAAACCCTGGGACTCGAGACCTTCGCCAGCGTCGTCGTTTGATGTGACGTACGTATAACATTTTCTTCGTATATATACTTGCGATGCACTTGCAGTCGAATACACCACAGAATACCAACTCTATCGACATATTTCGCGTTAAAACATTTGTGTGTGCTCTTTTATTTTATTATTGTTTATTTTATTTTACTAAGTTACCAATAACATTATAAATATGAGACACGTACTTGCGCCTAGGTACACGAGTCATAATCGAGAGCTTAAAAGTGCATTCGTGATTCGAAGGATTCCTTCTAGGCGGGAGCGCGGTAGCTTCGACTCGGCGATCACGGTGTCAAGTTCGTGCAGCCGATTCACACGCTACGACACGCCCCCGCGATCGAGAACAGCGAGCTATTCGCGAACCTCCGGAGGGAGTACCCCGGGCGCCAGTCCGGCTCATCCGACGGCGATGTCGCGAAGTAGCAGAAGATCTTACCAGGAATCGTCGTATTACGACGGTGACTACGGCGAGCCGACGTCGCGTCGATTCCGGAGTTACGACGAGTTTAGTCAAGGCAGTGGTGCGAGCCACGACGATTATCAGAGCAGCGTTCTCAGCGACGGCAAGCTCAACGACGACGACTGTCCGCCACCGTCGCGGCGTCATGCCGTGCAGAGTGTCGTCACGAGCGTCGATCCGCCCGCACCACCGCCACCGTTATTACCTCCACCCGACATTCGGCATCTCCAGAAGGAGCGTGTCCACTTGTTGGAGCAGCTCGAGGAGTGCCACAGTAGCGGCGACGAAGTCGGATTCGCGCCAAAGAAACGCACGAAGCTCGACAGTTCGTCGTCGTCGACGACTGTACTCTGCGAGGATGACGAGCCGGAAATCGCGTCGTTGCTCGTCACCTCCTCGCATTCCAATAGGAAAAGCGTGGACTTTAGACGCGTTAGTGATAGCAAAGTAGTGGTATACCATAGCACGAGAAGGAGTAGCTGCGAGGGCAGGGGTCCTGGACCCTGTAAACGTCGTCGGGATGCTACTAGCAGGTGAGAGATTCGTTACACTTAAGTGCGGAAGTACAGAAAGGAGTACCGGCGCGGTAGTCGTTGACATTTAAGCAGCAATGTTTCCAGGCATCACGAGCATCATGATGGATCTCGACCAGGCACCCCTCTCGTTGACGAACGACCGGAGAACTTGGTACCCAGCGAACCGAGACGATTTAGAGAGAGGAGCCACGAGGGACCGCTGTCGCTGCCTTTGCCGAGGTTCGCGGCTCAAATGTTGAACAACAACAACAACAACACGAGCAGTAGCAATAACAACAACGGCAGTGGGTCTCGATCGAGCGGTGCCAGTCTCGCGAAAGTTGCTAGTCCACCGTGCACCAGCTTCACCACGGCGCCCGGCCCACGTACCGCTCCGCAACCACCGGCTTCGCCGCCTCCCAGACATCCCAGTTCGAGCCCGACCAGTTCCGACAGTGAGACGGCACCACAGTCACCTAGTCTGGAGGAGAGGATACGCTCTCTGGATGAAAAGTACGAGAAGTGGTCCGGTTCGAGAGCGTTGAGCGCCGTCGGTGGCGACGCTCTGGCGAAGCTCGACGCGAGCACCTCGGAGCGATTCAAGTTTCGGCATAAATTGCTCGACATGGCTTTGCACGAAGTGCAACCTTCCGACATCCTCAAGTCGGTCCTTGCGAAAAGGAGCGTGTTCGACGAGGACTCGAAACGACTGGAGAACTATAGTGAAAAGTACGAACCGCGGGAGTTCACCGGTATTATCGGCATCGGATCGGTCTCGATGATCGGTAGCACCGCTGGCCTCACCACTAGCAGTAGCTGTGCCAGCAAAGTTTGCCTACAGTATCCGTTTCCTAGTCATCCGCCGGTACAGCTAAGCAGTAGTGGCACGTCGATTACTAATATGGTCGGCGTCAACACGTTATCCACAAGCCTGACCCCGACGACGACGACCATGGTCACGTCGGTGATGAAGACCGACCCGCGGATAGCGCAGCATAACTGTATACACCCAACACCGGCGACGCCGATCACACCCGGTACATCTATCAAGACAGTTAGTCCCGAATTACCACCGGTTTCTCTACCAATCGGTCTTGGTAGCGGAACGGTAGCCGGTAGCGGTAACAATAGTCTTCTAAGCAGCAACGGTAGCGTAGGTAGTATTCACAGCCTCGGAGCCTCGACGCATCGGGGATTGAGCATTTCTGGAAGCACCGCTTCGCCTACGGCGTCAACGACGTCGACGTCGTCGACGGACGCCTTCTTCACGACTGCAGTTACGACAACGGCGGTACCTGTTACGACATCGAGTACGGTAACCTCGTCAGCGGCGACGACAACGACATCCGTGATAGGTACGACACCACCCACGACTACTACCAGTTCGATAGCTCCACCGTCTTCCATAACATCCTCATCTAACTCTTCCTCTTCATCGTCATTATCCACATCTTCCACAGATTTGCCTCGTTCTCGTTTGAGGAAGGAGAGCAGCGCTAGCAGTCGGGAGAGTAGAGACTCTCGCGACAGTAAGGATAATAGAGAGTCCAAGCACAGCAAAGGGAAGGATTGTCAGAGGAGATCGCGAAAAGAGGAAACTGACGTTGAGAGAAGTCGCAAGGAGAGAGACGAGAGAGAAAGCTCGAACGTCGTCGTTAATGATATCGGTGAGACGGATAATCATAGCAAGGACTTTAAAGATAACAAAGAATTGAGGTACGAACGAAAAGAACGGGAGGAGAAAGAAAGAAGGGACAAGGAGGATCGTGACCGGCAAGATAGGAGGGACAAGGAAGATCGCGATCGCCAGGAGCGAAAAGAACGGGAAGAACGTGAGAAGCGAGAGAAGGACGAAGAGAGGCGAGAAAGGGAGAGATTGGACAAAGAACGACAGGAGAAGGACAGGAGAGAACGGGAGGAAAGAGAACGCGAGAGGAAAGAGAAGGAAGAGAATGAACTCAAGGAGAAGGAGAGGCGCGAGAAAGAACGTGTCGATCGCGAGAGGAGAGAACGAGAGGAGAAAGAACGGCAGGAGCGAAGGGAACGCGAGGAGCGTGAGAGGAGAGAGCGCGAGAGGAAAGAACGTGAGGAGAGGGAAGAGCGCGAGAGGAAAGAATTGGAGAAAATCCGTTTGGAGCGCGAGAAGCAGGAGAAGGAGCGTCTCAGGAGGGAACGGGAGGAGCAGGAGAGAAGGGAGAAAGAAGAACGCGACAGGTTAGAGCGGGAGAGGAGGAGAGAAGAGAAGGAGCGTCTTGAGCGAGAGAGGAAGCGAGAACGGGAGGAGAAGGAGAGGCTTGAACGGGAGCGACGGAAGGAGAAGGAGAAGGAAGAACGGGAGAAAATGGAGAAGGAGAAACGGGAGAAGGAAGAGCGTGAGCGTCTCGAGAAGGAGAAACACGAAAGAGAAAAGCGCAAAGAGCGCGAGGATCAAGAAAGGCGGGACAAGGAGAAGGCCGAACGTGAAAAAAGGCGGGATCGCGAGGACAAGGACAAGGACAAAGATAAGGACAAGAGGGAGCGCGACGACAACAGGCGTCAACTCTCTCTGCAACAGCCCACCGAAAATCACGTGCATCCTTCCGTCACGTCTCAGTCTCAGGGTCAAATTACGCCTGCGCCGGTGTCCATTAAACGTAGATGTTCGTCACAGGACGGACCCGAGGAGGACACGAAGCGTATGAAGATCTCGGACCACCGACGCGACAGCAAGGATCGATCTCGGCAGAACAGCCGGAGGTCGGAGGATCGCAAACACCGCAACGACTCGCATCGTTCTAGTCGGGAGAGTAGGGAGAGCCGCGACAGCAAAGAGAGTAGCGGCGCGACGCTGCAGGACAGCAGAGACGGCGGCACAGGACACAACGAATCGGTCCGGGAGAGTAATTCGAGGGACAACGGTAAGGAGAAGCAGAAGGTGAAGAAGAACCGGAGTTCGGAAAAGGAGTCGAGGGAACGCAGCCCGAGAGTCTCGCATGAACCCGAGAAGGAGTTCCTGTCGAGGCTGGAGCTACCCAAAAGCGTCGACTCGAGCTCATCGAACGAGCAAGCGTCATTGAGCTCGAATCACGCGAGAGACTCGCAACATCATCCACAGCAGCAATCTACATTGAACCAACACAGTGACGTGGACGACGGCCCGCTGTCTACTCACGAGATACAAGTGGCGAGGCATCCGTCGGCTACGGACACGGACAGCGACGAGCCGAAGAAGCACTCCATCTTCGATATCGTTGACGACGAACCAGCCTACATCAGTATGTACGACAAGGTGAAGGCTCGTTCGACGAAGAACATGCAGAAGTTGGAAGAGGAGAAGCGTCAGGTACGTCTGAAGGACAAATTCTCGCAGCTGAAGCAGAGTCGCGCGAGACGGGAGGAGAAGAAACAGAGCACTTCGTGGGATGGTGACTCGGTGAGCAGCAAAGCTCTGACCGAAGACGAAGCCACTTCCGAATCGGACTCTACGAGAACCAAGTCTCTCTCCAGGAAAGGCTCGCGGTCGCGGATCCACTCGGACACCAGCGAAGAGGAGGAGCCGTTTAACAACAAGGTTCGCAAGGCGGTCGTGAAATCAGAGAGATTCCTAGAGAGTGACGTTGATCTCGGCTTTGCCGATACCGAAGAGAAGCAGAATCGGCTGGAGGTCTCGAGCGTCATCGTTAACAGCGTGCACGCCACCATTAAAGAAGAACCCCGTACCTCCGACGAGGATGAGAAAATCTCGATTGGATTCCGCAGGAATCATCCGATAATAGAGGTGATCAATCACGAGAGAGACTCGCGGAAGAAGTCGCACAAGAAGAAGCAGAAACGTCAGAAGAACAGCATCTCGCATGAGAACAGTCTGAAGACAGTCGAGCCGACAGACAATACAGAGCATAAAAGCAAAACCAATGTCATCGCGACTCCGACTGATTGCCGGCCGAATCACGGCGCGGAGCCTGCCGCGAACGCTACCTCCACCACGAGCATTGTCGTCGCGACGTCTTTGGAGAATTCCGAGGAGAGACTACGCGTGGACAAAAAGCAACGTAGCAAGAAGGACAAGAGACGGGATCGAAACGGAGAGGACAAGGCCAAGGCGAGACGGAAAAGGCTCAATCGGCAAGAAGCGAGGGACTCCCAACGTATGGAAGACATCTTCGGTCCACTCTCAGACGACGTTGACGATGGCCCATCTAACACGTTCTTCAACAGATTCGGTAATATGACGTCGGAGAACAGCGTTTACGCATCGGACAGCGACGGTGGCCGCAGCTCGCTCGACATGGACAGAATGAGACGGAAGACGGAGAAGAAGCAGCGGCGCCATCAGCCGGAGGACGAGAACAGCGTCGACCTGGCTGAGGCTGGCCGTGAGATCGAAGCGAAACTCTTGGGCATGCCAAGTTCTCCGAAAGCCGCTGCCGCGTGCAACGAGCCCAACGATCATGACGTTTTCCGATTCACCGATGACAATGACAGTATCGAGCCGTCCACACCTTCGACCGCGCCGGAGAAAGTGAAGGAGAAGAAGAAGAAGCGGAAGAGATCCAAGGAGGAGCGTAGTCGGAAGGATTACCATCACCATCACCATCACCACCACCATCACCAGCACGAGAAGAGCGGCGAGTTGCCTTATTTGGGCGCCGAGCCTAGTCCACCGCGAGCGAGCAGTCCGTTAATATCTAAGACAGTGTCGCCCACCTTGCCTACGCCTAGAGAAGCATTGCTAAGTCCAATACCCAAGGCGACCTCGAACGTATCGACTGCATCGTCGATCACTCCGCCGGTCGTGAGCAGTAGTATTCAAACTCCCAAGCTCGAGAAGAAGAAGGACAAACTTATACCCGGCTTCGGGATCGAAATCGACGAGACCATCCACGAGAACGCCGTGAAGAGCATCTCAGAGCCCGACGAGAGGGACAGTAGTCAGTCTCGCAGCGGCAGGGAGGAGCCGGAGGTGTCGGTGCCGACAATACCACCGACGCAGAACGAGGACAAGCCACGAGTGGCGATATCGCAAGAGGAAACGGAGGATGCGGTTGCCGCGTTGCTTGAGGAAACCTTCGGTGCTTCGACCGAGGACTTCTCTTACGAGGGCGAGGAAGAGGAAGCCGAGGCAGACGGGGTCACTGGACCTGCAGCCGAGGCACCTCAAGAGGACGTCGATGAAATGCAGCAGGCCGTCGAGAGTCTGAACGCCTCGACTGGAGAAGGCGACGCGGACCTGAAGCCGGACACGCCTCAGAGCGAGCACGACCTTCAGATCGACACGGACACCGACCAGGAGGACCCGAATTACGAAACGTTCGACCTCACGCAACCGCCCAAGACGCCAGATATACCGTCCTTCTACAAATCCCCTACGAAGACTTTGAATATGACGCCCGTCTTAACCGCTCCCGAGAAGCCAATCGAGATGCGGCTACCACCAGTTGCGGTTACAAAGCCGCAGAGTCCACCACCACCACCACCACCACCACCACCCCCACCACCACCACCACCACCACCACCACCGAGTTCAGTGATCGCTCATTCGTGGAGTCTGAATGAGCACAAGCCTCGCGAGCCTGTCAGGGCTGTCCAAGTGGAAACCACCGCCGACACGGGAGCGGACATGGCCGCCAGCCCAGAGAGACCACCAGTGTCTCAAGCTGGCGACCAAGAATCCCCGTTGCATCCACCGTCTCAGTACAAGCAACCTATGCTCGGACCGTGTAGTGTACCGATCACGAGCGAGGTGCCGAAGCTGTCCGCCACGAGTCCTCGACCATCGCCGATCACGACGGTGCAGCCTCTGTACCAAAGACTCCCTGTGTCGCCGCAGTCTCAGATGGTGCCGTCGATGCGACAGGCTTCACCCAAGACGCAGAACGTCGTGACGGTGTCATCCTCGTCGTCATCCTCCACCACCAATACGACGTCACCGTTACCAACGCAGTTAGGGCCGTCGAGGATACCACCTCTGGTGCCGTCGCAGCTGTCACAGCCGCGTGTCTCCCAGCCGCTCTCGCCGAACGGCCAATGGTCGCGAAACCCTACGTTGAGTCCCCACGTGCCTAACGTGAGCAAACCATCGCCACCGACCACGAGGATCGCGGTGTGCGTGCCCATATCCGCTCAGAGACTGGAAACGCCGTTGCAGCACATTTACTCGACCGCGGCGACGCAACAGCCGGTGATTCAGCACGCCTCGGGAATGCTTGCGCCCGCGTCTGGATACCCTCGCGGTGGCCTGCCGCCGTTGACCCTCAATATCCCGTCGCGGCCTTTCATGCCGGTGTCACCTTTGGCGCCTGGTATGCAGGTATGCAAGAATTCGCGGGACTCCACCCTGAGCGGCAAGTCCGTCATAGAGACGTTGCTGCCGGTCAACCCGAACGAGCCGCCGCAACGATTGGAAGAACCGAAACTGTCGCCCGCTGTTATACCGGAGTCTACCAACAAAGCATCCACGTCGCCCAAGGTCCCGTCACCGAACCAGCCACCCACATATATACCGGAGACGGCGAAAATCGAGATCAACGCCAGCACGTCCAGCCCAGTGTTCGGCAAACCGGCTTGCGTCACTGACAGTTATATGTTGTCGTCGAGAACTCAGAAGCAGATCCCCGTCTCTATTACAACGGACAGCAACCTACTGTCGCCGAGACAGAAGCAAGAATTGTCGAATCTTCAACTTCTAACTACGCATGTACCTCGCTCATCCACACCCAGTCCCGTAATCGTCGCTCATGGCCAGTCGCACTTGTGCCACAAGCCTGTGCACACTCTGGGCCCACCAACTGTCTCCTCTCCGAACCAACCGCTGATCAAGACCGTGGTACCCATCGTATCCCAGCAAGTGACGCAGAACACGCCGAATGCGCCGTTACCTAACGAGAAGTGTGTCATCTCGCAGACGTCTTTGCCTCTTTCTTGTTCAAGACAGTCGCCTGGCTCGCAGAGCCAGTTGGTCAAGTCTCACGTATCTCTCGTGTCCACTGTGTCACAGACGATCATAGCCAGGGTAGTGCCGTCGATATCTACCGTGTCGACGTCGCCGACCAACGAGCAAGCTACACCCGAGTGCATGGAGTCGCGCATCACGCAAGCTCAGCAACTGGAATTGGACGCTGAGGCGCAGATCGGTCAGACCGCTCAGCCGATGCAGCTCACACCACCCGTGCAACCGACGCAGCCCATCGACGATGAGCCCATCAAGCAAGAACCTGTCGATGTGAAAGAGGAGGACACGATGGAAGAGGCCAAGTACAACATAGAATTTGAAAAGCAGCCGTTGAATCAGCCGTGCATGGAGGACAACGTGAAGCCCCCCAAGCAGGAGAAGCAAGAGATAATCAAGACGGAAATGGCGCCTTGCGTTCCCAAGGTCGAAGTCGCCGACACGATCGTACCGAAGCTGGAGGCGCAGGTTCCCATAAAAACGGAGCCTGTCAGCGATATTAAAGAAGAGGACACCGCGAAGGAGAACGACGACGCGGAGCTGGACGGCGAAGAATCGGCGGAGGACCCGTTGAAGGAGCCGAGCACGGATCCCCTCGCGATCGACCCCAAGGAGGACGCGACCGACAGCAAGGAAGACAGCGACTACTGGTCCGCGAAGGAGGTAAACATCGAGAGCGTCATCAAGAAGGTGGACGCGCTGTGCGACGGCGAGGGGAACGACGCTGACGAGGGTGCGCAACCGACTGAGAATGCCAACAGCGACTCGCACGACACCAGCAAGAACGAGTCGGACTGGTTCGACGGAGAGGCGACGGAAAATGAGAGCAAGAAGGGCTTCGCGTCCACTGACGACCACGACGAGGGCGTGGAGACGTGCGAGAACGAGTCCACACGGAGTCGTCGCGGCAGGACGAAGAGCAGGCGCGGCTGCCGCGGCGGAGTCACTACCAGGCGAGGTGGCAGGAACGCTGCTGCTGCCGCCGCGGTCTCGCACAGACGCGGCGGCAGAAGCCCCAGAGGTAGCAAGCATCACGTCGAGAAGAACAAGTTGCCGGCCGATGTTTACGAGTTTCACGACGACAGCGAGGAGGACAACGCCGGTCGTCCGCGCTTGATTCTCACCATCAAGTCTCCCGGGCCGAACGTGACCGGGCCGAACGCGCAGCCGGCAACACCTGTGGCCGCAGTGAAGGAGGTACCACCGGAGGAGTTCGTCTCCCCGGCTGCCAACACGAGAAAGTCCAGAAGATTGGCGGAGAGAGACGGCAGTCGGAACACGGTCGACGATGTCATCGAGGATGTTGTCCGCGGTTCACCCGTAAACAAGGGCCTGGCCGGCGCTACCACCGGGAACGTTCACGCCACCAGACGAAGTACTCGTCACAACTCGCCGCGTAATGTACAGACGGCGCAGCGGCCGACGATACTGCTAATGGAACTCCGCAAATCATCCAGAGGCGGCCGCAAAGCGGCGAGACGGACGTCTGAGAACAACGATGACAGCGGGGAGGAGAAGACGAAGGAAGCACCCGCGACGACGACGACGGCGGCGGCGGTGACGGTGACGGCAGCAACGGCGACAACGGTGGCAACGACGACGACGACGACGACGACGACGACGACGACGACGATAGCGGCATCACCGCGTGAAGAGACTCCGGTGAAGGAAGAGGTCAAATTGGCCGAACCGGAAAGCGCGAAAACGGAAGAACCAGCTCCACCAGTCACTCCAACACCGCCGCAGAAGAGGGTCTCGCTGGAGCCGATGACGTTGATAGATCCGGTCACGGGTGACCTCATACCGATGAGGGAATCCGAAGAAGGTCAATATATACCAGTGTCCACTGGCCAGTCGCAGACCACCAACAGAACGCAGTGCGAGCCGCGGAACAGCGTGGCTACGATCAGCGCTAGCCCGAATAATGAGACACCACGAACGAAAGCACCCCCCACCGAGAGCAACATGTTGGTCCCGCCGGAGCCGAAAAAGGAAGTCATTCTGGAACACACACCTTGTCAACAGCCGCCGCCCACGCCGGCACCTATCCAACAGCAAATTCATCAGATACAGCAGCAGGTCCAACCGCAAACCAGCGTAATCACGAAACCACAGTCGCCAGCGGTACAGGTCACCTCGACTATCAGCGTCGCGCAATCCTCGACAGCGTGCACGACGATCACCACCGTGGTGACCGCACCGACTATTACAGCTGCACCAACGGTGCTCACCTGTTCTTCGCAGGCGAAACCTACGAGTTTCAAAGCGCACATGCTGAACGCCAGCAAGCTGGTGACTCAGCAGCAGCAGCAGCAACAACAGCAGCAGCAGCAGCAACAACAACAGCAGCAGCAGCAGCAACAACAGCAGCAGCAACAGCAGCAGCAGAAACAACAACAACAACAACAACAGCAGCAGCAGCAGCAGCAGCAGCAGCAGCAGCAGGTCGTTATCACAAAACCGGTGGCTCCGATCGTACCCAGCCAAACGATAGTTCAAAACATTGTCAAACCGCCTGCTCAAACGATACAGCAGGGTCTGAATCTGCAAATACCACCCAGCAGAGTAGTGTCGCCCAGCCTGAGCCCGCGCGCGAAACAGACAGCGCAATTGGCGGCCGCTAATGGAAAACAAGGTCAACCGATGTCCCCTGTGCTTAACAACACCGGAGCACCGCCTAATCCTAAGCAGCATTTGCTGCAAGCTGCGAAGCAGCAGACGTCGACGATCGTGAACATGCCGCAGAAGTTGCCGTTGCACTCGGTCAACGTGAACCTCGTCGCTCCGGCGCCGAGGATTCATCAACCGGTTTCGCAAGCAACCACTCTCAAGGGCATCAACGGACAGCCGCATCCGCTCAATCCAAAGACTCACTTATTGCAGGCTGTAGTTCCTACGATGGTCACCGGCACGGTAGCGAGTTCCGTGACGCAACCACACCTCGTGAACCCGCAGTCGATTTCAGGCGGCGTGAGCTGCGGTCGACCTTCGGGAACACCGAAAGCTGTACGTTTGACTTTTCTCACGACGTTTCTTTAGATGTTGTGCTTCGTGGATGTTCAACATCGATAGTTGGCAATGAGCCTCCACTGATATTTTTTTAATATTTTTTTTTTTTTTCTATTTATCAGACCGCTGGAACGATGGAACCGCAGAAGATGGAAGTACCAATGTCTGGTTGCATCATGGTACCGACTGCGAGTACGCAACCTCGTAGTGTGCCGATGCCGCCGTACGAAGCCCCACTGGTAAGCATTGTGTTTCATTTTTACTGTTATCCCCTTGCACACAGATATCGAGCGATCCTGTTGTCGAGGAATAAAACTTATCAGGTTGACGATATATCAAGATTGTTTGTTTGAGTCCTCATTTGTTTTTCATTAGCACGGCAGTGCGGGTGCTACTCCACCAGGAAGTCAGTATAGTCTTGTTCCCCCACATCGATCTCAGAGTCCTCCACTGCCTCCACCTGCTCATCATCATACCAATGCCTCTCAGGTACAGTAGTAATACCTTAATCCAACGTTCTTGTAATATGTGTGTATAATGTATTCACGATAAAGTACTCGTACATGTGTATGTCTCACAGAAAGGATCGCGAATTGCGAGCTTTTCGACATTAAACATATTTATGCTGGCGTGAAATACACAATTTTAAAGATATAACGATGTAACCTTGATGTAACCTGCGAGTAGTTAGGAAATTAACGCGTGAATCGTGTCTCGATGTAAATCACTTAAGAGACAACTTTGTTTCTTCCACAGGGTGATGTTGTTAACCACTACGGAGGGCTGGCCCGTGGTGGAGAATTGACACCTCATTACATGTTTCAGTATCAGTATCTGCGTGCGCAGGAAGCACTGGTAACGCCTCGCATAGCTTATCACATTCCAGGAACAAGATCTCCGCACTTACCTCTAGACCCCAAGCTTGAAGGCGGCATTGAGGACAATCACAGTCCTCCTTTGGAGCTGAGACGCGCGACGAGAACACCGCAAGAACGTACCACCGATAGTCCACAAGTTGCTCAAGTTTATATGTTACACGGAGGGATGAGATTACAACCTCCGCCGCAGTACAACGCAGGGAGTAACCCGTCGCTACCTGGTGCACCAGCTGGCGCCAGAACAACGTATTACGATCCACCGCCCGCGCACCTACGTTCTCAGTATCCCATGACCGCCAGCGAGGCACCGACCGACCGAGCGATCACTCCAGACAGATCTAGGAAACATCAGGTTGTCACACCACCGCACGCGTCTCAGGTGCCCCCGCAAGCGGACTCCTTTCAGATGCTGCTACAACGTTATCCGGTTATGTGGCAGGGTCTGTTAGCTCTTAAAAACGACCAAGCCGCGGTACAGATGCACTTTGTCTTCGGCAATCCTAATGTAGCCAGAGACAGTCTGCCGTGCAACAGCGACGGATCCACTCCACCGTTGAGGATAGCCCAGAGAATGAGATTGGAACAAACCCAAGTAGAGGGTGTAGCAAGAAAGATGCAGGTACGTATCGCAGTTTTTTTTGTTTGTATCGTACTATAGTATTGTGGCTTACCTAATGAAGAAATTATATACATTGTGCATTATAAATGGAGTTGAGAATCAAGCTAATTGTTACTGTGGTGTTACACTGTATTATACATCATATGGAAATCAACAATTACAAAGAGATTGAATTGTTGTTTAACACATTACCGTTCGATACCTTCCAGACTGACAATGAACATTGCATGCTGTTGGCGCTTCCTTGCGGCCGCGACGAAGTAGATGTGTTACAACAAAGCAAAAATCTTCAAACAGGCTTCATCATGTACCTTCAACAAAAGCAAGCTGCTGGAATTGTTAATATCGCTGCACCGGGCTCGCAACAGGTAAGGCAAAATGATTATATCGCACGCTGTAGATCTCTCGTTTGGTTATGTCGCGTTTATTTCCCTCGGTATAATTCGTTTTCGCAATTGAGGTATAACGATACGAATTTATTTGCCTTTTAGCCGGCGTATGTAGTTCACATTTTCCCGTCTTGCGATTTTGCGAATGAGAGTTTGGCAAGAATCGCACCCGATCTACTTCATCGTGTCGCAAAGATCGCTCATCTACTAATCGTCATTGCTACGGTCTGAGGACGATCAGTGACCACCTACTGGATTATACGATCTGTCATCCGTGTTCTTACACACTGTGGGACACTTCGCACATGGCATGAAGCCTTAGGAGTGTCCGTGTGACGCGCATGTAAAATTGTGCAAAAGAAAGGAAGAAAACAAACGAATATGGGAAGCAGAGGGAGAAAGAGAGAGAGAGAGAGAAAGAGAGAAGAGATGCGTTCGAAACAAAGGAGAGCTCCTTTATCCGGAGTCGTATCAGTGACAATCAAATGGAACCCAACGCTACGCCGATCTTAGATCGTAGGCCTAAAGCGAGGCACGAGGTTGTGCGATGGAGAGAGGCTAGCACGGTTAATACGTCGGTATCATCGCGCGTGCCTCCCTTCCGACGAATTCGAGCGCAAGCAAGCTCGTTTTTCCTTTTTTCCGAACGACTTGTAACTCGCGTCGATTACTGACAGCGTTTGTGGGATCGACCGACATCACTCTTGGTCTTTCTGACAAGCAGGTCAGGGGCACAACCCCACAGCCTTCAGACGAGACCTCCGATTCATCACTCGCGATCACAGTCCACGAAACTATTCACGTTCGTTCTTCTCGTAGAGGAAAAAAAAAAACATACAGTTAAATAACCGTTGCTCTAGATGGACAGTCAAATCCGTAAATAAAAAAATAGGACGAAGTAACGTAAGCCCTACATCATTACACACGAGCTATTTTAAGTAAGGCTTGAACGTTAATGATAAAACTGTATAAATTATAAGCAAGCCAGCGAGGGCATAACTACTGTGATTTTAATTATTTAACGATACATAACTGCGTTACGAGGCAGAAAACAAAAGTAAAACAATATAAGAATGATCGACTAATGCTCTGTGAGGTATGTGATGTGTTTTTTGTATGATACTGCTCTATATAAATAACTATGTATTATATTATTGTAACGAGATATAGTTGCTGCTACCCCTGTTTCTGCCGCCACCGTCGCTCGTGTCGAACTAGGATGTAAATCATAATTGCTAGACCTTTAACATAAATACGAGAAAAGTGGGCTGCACCGAGTAGGACTTGCCCCTAGTGTATCATAATTTTGCATAGCAGGCTGTAAAATATTATGAATTATTATTATTATTATTATTATTATTATTATTATATCGTTAGAGCGCATACATCGTACACCTTGCAAAAAGATTATAGAATATTCTAATTCTGAGCCTTCATTATTATGATTATTACAATCAGCATGAATATCACCAATATTTTATTACAGTTATGATTACTATTATTATAATTAATATTATTACGATTATTATTACGACTACTATTACCAATGCTATCGCTACTATTACTACTATACTATTACCACTATTCTACTACTACTACTACTACTACTACTACTACTACTATTACTACTACTATTACTACCACTACTCTACTACCACTATTACCGCTGCTATTAATTATTATTAACGTTATTACAGCAGGCTAGCTATATATAGGAGGGCGTACCAATTCGCATATTTAAGAACAAATGGGGCTTATTTGTCATACTGAAAAAAAAAAATAGTATGATCGATCTCATTGACCACTGACGCCGCCCCATTTTACACACACTTCCATCCTATTACACCCCATCCCTCGTCACGTTCCGACTCTGTCACGCGACGACGACTCATAGACTCTTTAGCATTCGTGTCCGAGATAATAAAATGCGCTTATGTGTATAGACCAGAAGTTACATAATATCACACCAAGCCGTGAAAAAAAACATTTTAGGTAAATTAAGAAGTAACTTACCTACTTACAATATTATGCTGCTGCGCGTAGAACGCATGCCTCTAGAAGAGTAATCTTATGCGGAACTATTGGGGATGGACGTAACACATGCGACTGTATTTTAGAGTTTTGCCGTTCAGTGGTAACAATTCGACGACTATTTTTCACCACGATGAGACGCGTTTCATCTACTCCCTCTGAACGAAACATCCAATGTTTCTTATTTTAATCACTCACAATGTCACAATGTTTAATCAATCACAATGTTCAATCTGTGGCAGAAAAATTGCGGCACTTATCTTTTTCTTTCTTCTTTAATGAGCTTCGCAACGCATCCGTACTCGATAGAGATGAATGTTTCTTTCAGCAAGTCTCTCTTGAGCGAGCTTCAAACGAGCGAATCGATCGTGCGAATATGCTGATGCAATAAATTTGTTAATTTTATTCTGAGCATCGAACGCACGCCACATCCAAGTGCTGTCGCTCCTGTTCTGTCTATCCCCGGGACATAATTACCTTAAGGCAGCGCGAATACTCGCGGAGCGTGTGTATGTACAGTGTAAAAGATGCGTTGTGGATATGTACAGTGTAGAAGTATAATTGAGCAAGCGAAGTGATAAAAAGGAAAAAGAAAGGCGTATATATTATAGCTATGAATAAGTATAATAAGGCGCGAGCGTGCGCACGTGTCGCGCGACGTGTCGTTTGTTTCTGCAACGGAAAACGCCGCGTGTTCTTCCGTTTTATTCGGTTTCTACTTTTCTGCAGCCTGTCGTGTCAGCGTAGTGAATGCACGAGGATACGTTTCTTGCACCACATTGTTGCGCGACACGTGCGTCCGCTGTCGCGCCTCGTCTATCTTGTAAAATATCTGTGAATATTATGATTTAGTTTCTTCCTATTTGTAGACAGGTATGCAAAAAAGTGTTTACGTTAATCGTTTAAGGAGAATGTACAGATACCCACTACTACCTTTTTTGTTTTGTGTTTTACTGTAGTTATCGATAATTATATGGATATTAACGATAATAATAACTATGATTAAAAAAAAAAAAACTTAAGCACGGCTCGATTGCGTCATTCTTGAAAAACCTGCTATAATGCGCAATATTTATTCTGTGTAAGAGAAAGAAACTCTTGGTGATAATGTATCATTTGTATATTAGTAATTACGTGATCTCCTAATAATCGAAAAAAAAGAAAAATGAAACTTGAATAGAATTGATATACGCGTTACGATGTCACACCGTTCCATCTCCTAAATTCGTCACAATCTCCACGATTTATTTCCGCCGTCTGCTACATGCGTTCTGAGATGTTAATGCGATATGTCAAACATATACATATATGTGTGTGTGTGTGTGTGTGTGTGTGCGTGTGTGTGTGTGTGTGTGTGTGTGTGTGTGTGTGTGTGTGTGTTAAGATTTTTCTTTTTATATTAGATCAGGAGCTGGACTTCTCTCGCTAGAAAGGTAATATAATAAAACAAACTATTACCTCGAACATATCGACGTATATTTCTTATTACGATCTTGCATTTTCATCGTACGTTTCGTCGACTCTACAAACGTCTTGCGAGGTACAGCATTAAGAGAAGAAGAGTATATATATATATATATATATATATATATATGCATTTTATATTTTCATCACATTTTACATTTTACGTTCTGTTTTAGTGATATTATGGGTAAATAAGTTGCTCATAATATAACGTGGACTCTATGATTTTATCGGCTACTTTACCTGTCGCATTATAGCGATCAGAAACTACAAATCTTTATCCGAAGTTTCCTACGGATTACTGACCCATTCAGGCCAATTCTGGATCTGCTGGTAGAGCTTCTCTCCCGGACTGGATGTTGCCCTCACCTGTCGGGCACCGATCACATGTACGTTGCTACGAAGGATGCCTTGGGATTTGCCGCATTGAATTAATTGATGCACAGCATCCAACATCTTTTGTTTGGCCTGTTTCCCTGAAGAGAGAAAATAAATATATGTAATATATTTACTACAATAGAATAATTTTCTTATCTCTCTTTCTCTCCAACACATCAAAAAATTATACGATAAAACAACTATACGGAACATTACTTATAACGGTTAATGAAATAAATCATTGGTACGATTAATTAAAAAAAGTAACATTTACTATTGAAATTTCCGATGAAGCCTATGCCGATAGATTTTTTGTTGTATCCGTATGTGTGTGCTCCTTCACGGGTCCAGCCGCATCCTTCGTATATGTTTCCATCGCCACCAACTAGGAATCTTCAGGGAGACATTATTTTAAGTAAGTTCAGCGTCAATAATACCCGACCACTTTCTAAATTCGGTATCACTCTTAAGTGAAAATTAATCGCACGACTTACGAGTAACCGATGTCATCCCAACCAAGATCGTTCATGTGATAACTACGTATGTTTTCGACGCGTTCCGTACATTTGTCGCGAGTCTCGCACTCGGGGGTCACTGTATGTTGTATTACCACATAAGGTATCGGCAGGATTAAATAATTCACGTCTCCGGCAGGTGCAGTGGTCCACTGGTTTCTGCTAATGATATTAGGACATTCTACCGGGGGATCTGTGGGACGACCAGAAATAGAAATAATTTTACAATTATAAAGGGAAAGAAGTCAATCAGAGCCAGCATTCGTAAGAATTCGCAGCGACAAGTATTGTGAGAATGCCAAATATTTCGGCATTATTTAGAAGTTTTTCATTAATATAATTAAGCATTGCTGATATATGAATTGTGCTATATACTTACTGGCGAAACTCGTAGAGAGACCCAATAAATAGACGAAGCCGATTTTCGATAGCATCTTCGCAGCGCAAATGAATGATGAAGTGCAACTGTACGGGTAATGTTGAAAGGTCGAAATATAATGTCAGTAATATCTCAGGTTATGACCCGAAGTGACGAGGAGATAATGAAAATCACTGAATGATATCAACTTTTGACTTTCTTTTGTACCATTTTACGGTCACAGACCGCAGCAAAGAGTAAAATCTTTGTTACTTTATTACTTATCTCATTAGTATATAGATGATTATGTTTATTGTTTAACAATCGTATTATAATAATTTCTCTGTCATGTACTCTGAATGAGATCGAATAAAAATACAATAGCACTTCGCTCTTTGTTGAACTGTTCATGAAACTTTATTTCAAAGCTTAAAGATATATTTAGAGAATGAAACCATTTAAAATATACCTTTTAGACTTTATGATTGAATGGTTAAAATTTTTAAATTTGAATTAAAAAATTTTAATGTAAAAGATATTGCGTATGTACACACAATATGCGCGCGCGTATATACGACCGCCATTATCCAAGTTCGGCGTGTAAACACAAAATTCTAACTTGTTTGAAAATTAGGAACGATAACATTAAAGAAAGTAATCGACTTCTGAAAAATCGATTAGAAAAAATGTCAATTTTTATAATCAATAAAATTTCGAAAATAAAATTTTGAAGTTATCGATAATAATCGATTTATTTGAAGCCTTTTGTCAGTGAACTTTACCTACTAATGATAAATGCTTTTTTAAAAATTTGCGCGTAAGATTAAAATATTACTGCATTGTTTTTCTCATTAATGTATTCTGTAGTGTAAATAAATGTACTAGAAGTTACGGTTATCATTATAATAGACCATTATGACTGTTGAAAAGTCATAATTGTAGTCTTAGCTAAAAAATTGATTTTAGCCAAGATTCAAACCACAATTTAGTAATATGGATATGCATCTAGTAGATAGAAGCACTGTTTCGTGTTCTTGCCAGACAAAAACCTCCAAAGTCAACTTAAGATTTGCTCTTGGCTCCTGTACAGATCTTTAATTTATCTGATAAAGAAGAAAGAATAAATCACCATGCAGACTGTTCGACCATGCGGGTGCAAAGGAATACGCTCTTGTTTAATTTGTGAGGAAGAGTATAAAATATCCAAGACAGAGACAAATAAGTTACAGGTAAAATTCTGAAATGTTTTAACCTAGAAATTTCTAAATAGATGACAATGCTTTTTAATTAGTAACATACCTTGTTTTCTGTTGTTATTTTCTTTTTTTTACCGTAAAAATCAGAATATTTTGTCACCCTAAATATATATGGATATATGAAAATTTATATTTTCTACTGTGCGTTCACAGTTGTCATTTTTCACATAGAAAGGTATATATGTTGCTTTAATTATGTATATTAAGAAATTCATACCTGAGAATTTTGCTATATACGTTCAACTTCTTCCTACTTCATCTACTGTCTATCATATACTATTTATTCAACTAACAGAATATGTCTTCAAAGAGTCCCCTTCTACTCAACTAAAATACCTGAAAAACCAGTTTACATCCTTCTATTTTTATGTGAAAGGATGAGATAACCTTGTACTTTCGTCATGTTTTATTATTATTACTTTATCTCTTTTATTATATATTTAATGCATATATATATTATCTTTTTTATACAATAGTTTTTTTTTGTATAAAACATTGTACATTTGATATAAAAAAAATTAATTTTCGAAGCTGCTATATATTTTATATAAAATGTTTTATCTGCTGAAATTATACCACAAAATTGTGGAATATGTATATGATTTAAAGTACAATTGCTGCATGTGCTTTCATAGGAAAGCAAAAGTTATGTTTATTGTCCATATTGTGATAAATTATCACTTGGGTGGAACATAGATGAATACAAAAAACATCCTCATCATGATGGAAACTTAATTGATTATCCTGGTGTTTATATCAAGGTAATGTTTACAACAGAAAATAGTGCATATTTTATAGTACCTCTGATAGTATATAATTAACAAGGTATATCCCAGCTAGATTTCTTAAACAAAGATGAAGCTGAAGAATTGATGAAATCACTTGATCATCTCCCTTGGCAAGCTTCACAAAGTGGCAGAAGGAAACAGGTACATATCTTTGCTTAAAAATATATAAATATATATTTAAATAGCTTTAATGCATTTAAACTATGAGACTTAATTTATAGAATTTTGGACCAAAATGTAATTTCAAGAAGAGGAAATTACGATTAGGAACATTCAATGGTTTTCCTAAAATAACGCAGTTTGTACAGACAAAATTCGAAGAAGTACCACTGTTACACAATTTTAAGACTGTTGAGCAATGTTCTCTCGAATACGATCCTGCACGAGGTGCTTCTATTGATCCTCACATTGATGATTGCTGGATCTGGGGAGAGCGCATAGTGACTGTGAACGTTCTCGGTGATACTGTTCTGACAATGACTCCTTATCGCGGCCCAATAAATCGGTACAACCTGGATTGTGTCCCAAATTATAATAATTCTATTTTGAAAGATGACGTTTGCAAAAATACGCAAACTGTAAATATCGGTGATGACACGGTGGTGCGATTACCGATGCCTGCAAGATCACTCATGATTTTGTATGGTCCTACAAGGTACGATATTAGTTTATTTATAAATATTGAAATAAGAAATATCGTAATTTGCACTCTTATACTTTATACTCGTACAGTTTACGCATTATAATTAACATATATACATGAATTTGATTCGGCAGGTATAAGTGGGAACATTCAGTACTTCGACAGGATGTTGCGTCGAGACGTGTTTGCCTCGCATATCGTGAATTGACGCCTCCATACCTTGAAAATGGAGAGAATTATAAGGAAGCTTCTGAGATTCTGAAGCAAGCAGAATTCTTCTGGTGACGTCAGTATGAATGAAATAAATTTAAATATATTTATTTAATAAGTCGCTTATTACACGTAGTGTAACACAACTCTATATGCTAGAATTCAAATTCTCTATTGTCTATTCAATAAATGTAAATGTATAATAGCAAAAGTACTTTAATAGAATAAAGACATTTATTTTAAACATAAATATACATAGTAATATACAGTAAGTATTGGCAACAATTCTTGCAACAACTCGCTTAATAAATTTGCAAATGAATATCTCTCTTTATGCATACGTAACAAATACTTTTAATCAAGTATTAGTTACTTTATTTCTTTGAATATTGAAATATTTATTCGTACAAAATATCTAAAGTAAACAGAGCAAACAGAATTTGACTTTTAAACAATTTTAGGTTTGTACATATCTATGGCGCTATATATATGTGTAAGAAAATATATAATTTATAAATTATAAATCACAATCTGTTTTTGGTTAAGTATTAGTTCCTCACGCACATATTACCCAGCAATAACTCACCGAACAAAAGTTAGTCAAAATGTTGTCAAAAATAATAAGTATTCATTCTTGTAAGATGTTTTAATATGTTGTAGAAAACTATTATTCAATTTTTGTAGATTCTTGCCTCATGAGGACAATTAGAAGATTATTTCTGGTTTTATAAGTTCACTTTTTATATCGCAGAATATTAACACATTCGGTTTATGGTTCTTAAAAACGAGACATCTCATTCCAGGAATTGTGTTAACACTTTTGTTCGCTTTTAAGCGGATATTCCGGTGACATGTACACTATGGGGAACGTAGTCAAGGGATCCGACTTTCCCAACGGTTCGTAACCGTTTACGAGATTCTCTCGTAATTCCCAACGACGCCTTTCCCTCTCCGTTTTCTGGCGCCTGATGGCTCGACCCAACATACACGCAAACATGATTCCCGTCAACTGGAAAGAAATAGAATGCAGATTATCATCGATTTTGTTCAACTGAAAATGAACTATAATTTCTTCAAAATTATGCTTCTCTCAGTTGGCAAGAAGCAAAAATATTTATTTCTTTTCCAAGTAGATTTTTGTTAAATTTAATACGCGTGTGATACGTAAAATTTAGTGAAAGTGGACCCACTTACCTGAATGAGAGCGATCGCTACGGCTCCTGTACCGATATAAAGCGCACTGCGTTGGATAATAATGGACAGGCGACTGATACAACCTGCTTGGTATCTGTCTTCCACCGGACAAATGTCTTCAGCGGGATACACAGATATAAAGTCACAGCAGGAATTCATTATACGCGTATTGTTAAGCGAATTATCATCCCAATCCTGAGGTCCATTGTATCCACAACAGCGTAACTAAGAAGAAGACAAAATAGAATTCAGATATAATTTTCTTTATGTAGTTTAAATAATATAATTCAGATATGATGTTTCAGGATGTTTCTTCCCTTCCGAAGAGATACGCTTGAACACTTTTTGTTACATACACAAGTATACAGCTAGTGCAAGGAGTACTTACCCTAGATTGCAAGAAATCAATGGCAGCCGTGGCCTCTTTGTTATTCCCGTACTCATGCATCGTTACGTTGATCTTCTCTTCTAGAAGATCCTGGATGCTGTCCTGCAAGGCGTATGCAGCAACTGCGGCGGCCAGCTCCAGCAACAACACGATCGACAGCAAGACTGCAAACTGAAGATAAATATTAGAATTCATGTTGAGATCGTAAGATGAAAGAAATCTGGGAAGACAGAATATGCAGTGGATAAAAAGAGCATTTGCGTCTTGTATACATCGAAGGGCAATCACGGAGAAAGAGAATTACGGAGACTCTATCAAAGATTTCTTTATTTTGTCATTCCGGGAGAAGACACATAAGGACTGCAAATATTCTCTTTACTGCGAGAGATTTCACTTACCACAAGAACCATGCAAGTGCTTTCCTGGAGCGCGCCGCAGCATCCCATGAAAGCTATTATGAACACGAATATCCCTACCACGATAAGGAGCGTGGCCGGCGAGAAGTATCTCGGGTCCAGGAAATGCGAAAAGTTCTCATAAACGGCGTAGATGGTCGTGCCGACCGATATTATCATTATCCCCGTCAGCTGTAACGAAAACACACAGGAAGGTATTACTGCGCAGCCTAGGCCTTATTAACCGTTACTTATTAACTGTAACTTAATTTAGCCTAATAATTAGCTAATTAACCGTCGTGAGTCTTGAGTCATTAGTATTTTGTATCATTAGCGCGCCCTCTCGCGCGGCATATAAGATCTTGATTGTCCTTAATTATTTGTCATCGGTTACGTAATTCGCGTCTACGACTAATCGTATCGGCGCGCGGCGAATTATTTCCAACTGAAAAGGCTGAAGCGACACGCAAAACGTCGTTATCGTGTGCGAAGCATATCGCGAACCGCATACATCATTCTATTCGCATGACAAAACGAGCTACGTAATTCGTACGATAAGACGTTCTATTATTTTCATTAGGAACGCACGTGGTATAAAGCGCATTGCCAGCTTAATACGTCCTCGTCGTGGAAAAGTCTGCGAACTAAATTTCATCATTTCACGCTCGTCTTGAGTTCTCTTGACGACGCGATATCGACGCGGTCGAGAGAGACAATCTGTATTGTATCGAGATAGCGGAGGCTCTTGAGCTTTCAATTTGGTTTACATAAATACGCGCGACTGCTCGGTAAGCCGATCTCATATTTGTGCACAATATAGTTATCTCGTGCAATTATCTCTCCTGGTAACAATGACAATCAAAGATCGAACAGAAGCGCGACGGCGATCAAGCAACCTGCGCCGGTTTTTAAGAACAGACCTTTCCACAATTCGTTCGTGTACATTGTTCGAGTCGCACGGCGATACCGCGCACATCACAAAGATTATACATTTATCTCTACTGATAAGCGAACATTTGTGCCCCAGGTGATGATATAGGCTCTCGCAAGTACACTGAACGTTCTCTTAAGATTTGTACGATTGACGATATTCTTTCTTTTCTTATTTTATCGTTTATTGTTATATTCAGCTTGGCTCTTGCGCCAGTTGTCCCTCACAATTGCGTTTCAACGTTTCCGTTTGCACCGCTACACTAAGCTACCGTTACATGTTTGATATATTTCGTAACGTCGCAATACTTTAGAGTCACTTCTCATTGTTAGTATCGAAGCTGCAATTTCATTGCGTAAGTTTACAGGCAGTGTTTTCGATAGCGTATCGACAATCCACGTGAACGATCGACGAACAAACAGCTATTTCCATTTCTTCGTTTAATTGAGAGAGGCACAGTGTTAATCAGGTTGCGCAGCTGTTATGCGGATCGCCTAATAATTTAACAGTGCATAGGCTTGTCTATATGATATCGACCGTAGTTCGAAAGTGCTCTCTCGGAACAATGAAACTCGAACTTCGTGGCCCGTATCGCTTTCTTTGTGACTTTGTGTTTCCGATAAAGAGAAAGATATATATATTAAATATATATAAAGAACAAAGAACGCAGATATTATGACAGATATTATAACATGGACGCCTCCCTTTCATCATCATGTTTGTTTCATGATTTTCCATGGGTTTTCCCCTTTTTCCTCTTACTTTCTCGCGCATCACAGATGCGACTAGGATTATCAGATACGCTATCGCAATACAAATTGATTCTTTTTCATTTCGAAAATGTGAATCTACTATCGCTGTTGGTTAGCGTTTCAAATATAATTTTCCTCGCGATAGATGCGTCAGCCCGCAAGTAATATCGATTCCGAACGATCGCCACATGAAAGAACAAAAACTTCCTTAGACATGTGTGGAAAGTGGACGTCTAATGAATTGTTTTCACTTTCAGTTCAGTCGCCGTCTGTGCGCGTTATCGAGGCCTAGCATCAACAGCCATATCGATGGCAAATAAGACTGATATACGAGCGATCCACTTAAAAGACAAAGAGCTGAAAGCCAGAGCGCAATATCACGATACGTGTATCGTGCTCAAACAATTTACGACGTAAGAACGTCGGTATGTGCGGAAACGTAAGCGCTAATAATTTTCTCAGAAGCCAGCCGGCCGACCAATCGTAATCGAGAAATTCAAAATAGCGTTCTCGTATTCTCTCGTATTCTCGGCTGGAAATTTTTCATTCTCGATAAGCCCGACTTCTCACGCGTGTAACTATACGTGACGCGGCTAATTAAATGAGAAAAATCATTCCTAATCTTCTTTCAGCCAAGACGATGCCGTTTCTCCTCCTTCGTTAAAAGCGAGCGACTGGCAATCAATGATGGTTACTCCCGCTGCAGGTCGAAGCCTCTTTTTTTTTTTTTTTAAACCAAGCTTTATCTACGCGGTCGCTGTAATGGCAATCGATAATTACGAATGTATGGTACAGTTCACATGGGAGCGCTCTATAATGCGCTATAATGCGCGCAATTGCACTTTCTCGAGAGTTTGCGTCGCGAAAGCATTGTCCAACGGCCTTTACTAACGACGTCGGCGTGGACTCTACGTGGATTACCTGTGTTCAAGTTTGGAGAGGCGCAAGCATTATCTCATTTCCCGAGAATGTCTCTTCCGGCAAAGGAAGAGGACTTACGCAACGCCGACGACGTATTCGCGGCAACTTCGAGGAAACGCATCGTGCCAATCGTAATATCGCACGATGAGACGCCTGCGTTCGCGCGAGGGAGGAGAAGAGGGCGGAAGACAAGGAGCAGACGACGTATTTTGAGCCGTCGTGTAGAATGTGAAATATTAATAGAGGCATCGCAGACGCAACACCGGGACAAGTAGGACGATTCCATTCCGCGAGCGGCAGGATCGCGTCTTTTCAAGTGGAATAAAAATACCACGAGATACAGACCACGAAGAGGGAGTTGACTGCGCACAGCAGATACTTGATGCAGCGAAGGCCGACGTCGAGATGCGTGGCCGCCATTTTCGTGCTCTTGCCGTGCTTCTTTCGCGGGCGCAGGTGCACAATAATCGTCGTAGATCCGCGCACATCCACCGCCGACTCACCGACTGCCGATGTCGATGCCGATGCTCGGTATCGGGCCGCGGCGGCCGATCAGCGTTATCTCGCAGGCCGATAACGGGCCACGAAAACGTACGAAGGCGACAACGACGACGGACGGACGACTGTTCGCCGGTCGACCACGGGCGACGTCCTTTGCGCGGAGTCGACGTGTTCCTTTGTCTATGCCGGGAGTGGGAGGAGAGACGAGGAAGTCGCGATAACGCGAATAAATGCAGCCAGACGATAAGTCCGCGACGAATTCGGGCGAGCGTGCACAAACGAATGCGCGGCACGTATGAGCGGAGAGCCTTCGTCTCTGGAAAAGAAAATCCAGAAAATGCGCATGTGGAGGAAAAAAAGTGATCGACTTGATGACGCATGTGGAGGAAAAAAGTGATCGGACTTGATGACGATCGCATCGAACGCATCAGAATCGAATTTCGACCGTAAGATCCAAAAATCGTCATCACGTTGATTTAACTCAACTCATTCAATTCAACCCGTTTTCTTCGTGCATCTTGCAGGAAAAATCTTCAGTGCGCGCCTCCTCGCGGTTTCACAGCGCTGTAAGAATCTCCGGAGATATCTAAAACAATTTTTAACTCGTATTACCGCAACACGAAATATAGCCCCCGGCACAACCGTGTTTCTTTGTACTTTAATTTCAGCGAAAACGCGTACGCGTCTTTCCTTATCGCGACGTTTATTTTCGTCGGAACGAGCGGTGTTATTACGGTTTTGTCGGGAACGTATCATCGCGAAGGAAAAGACGTGTATCGTGCATATATATATATACCGCCACCTTGTTCTCTTATCCTACCAATTGCAAAACCAAGCCGTCCCCACTTTCTGTACAAAGTGTCTCAAAGGTATTCGAATTTTCCATGCTTGTTTGTCACTAATGCTTCGCTAATAATCTGTCAATTTTCCACACAATGGCGAAGAACCTGCGATGGCGCGACGCATTGAGAAATAAAAAAGATATTCAGTCACTGAAAATTAACTTCGGATAGTGAGAATCGCACAAGGATGTCGATAGCGAATAATTTTATGAGGAAGGATAATAATGTCGATGATGTAAGAAATTATTCGCTACATATATTTTTGCATGCGTGGCTCTTATGGGCCGAAATTAATATTCTTAGTGATCCATTGACATAGATTGGAATTTTCGTCAGTACCAAGTGACATAAAAGTAATAAGTTCGCCGTTGCTATGTTTGTGCATGAGCAAAACACGCAGGACAAGTATGATTCATGCGCGAACGGTGTATGCACGTGCAACTCAACGTTCTTTGTGATTTTTGTGTATATTGCAGAAATAATTTATACTCGAGTCTCGGCTTAAAACTTTTTAATTATCGCAACGTAGGAATAAGTCTCTGCAAAACAATTAATTTCGTTTCCTTGTCTTTTTAGGATTCTGTCATTTTCTACTTTTCAGGGAGAAACAGGAAAATGGAGAGTCATGAATGCATCGGAACTGAAGAGAGAAGAATCACGTTTCTCAGCATAGATTTTATTAAAAATACACGTTATTCGTTCAATATTGTTTATATAAGCCACCCACGTATAGCATAACACAAAAATTATTTATCACTCTTACGACGGCAAATGATTTATTTGCGCGTAGATCTATATCCTGATGGAAAACCTGCTGAGCTCGCTGAGCGCAACACCACAGTTGCGATCTTTTGTACAAAAGTTTACATGGTCTGATAGCAGTTTTTGATGGACTTGGCTAGGTAGGACGATAGGAAGATCCCTAACAACTGTAACATAAGATATCACTTGGTTTTTTCTATCAATGAGACATACAATGAGAATATATTGAGTGAGTTCAAAAGTTTTGATGGCTTTTTCAGAGATGTCGTGACTGATTCAGTTTTCTGACAGCACTTAAAAATATGTGGATTTGTACATTATATCAAAGATAATAGAAAACAATGACAATGTTATTCGGTAGAACGAGTAGATCGTTTTTAATAAAATTATTATTATTCATATCTCATCAAACCTTTGCACTTATTCAATATTTTAAATATATATATATATATGTATATTTGTAATATTCTTGCTTTGAAACAAACGATAATATTAATATTGTGAAAAAATTTGTTACATCTAATGATTCTTTTTAAGGTACCTGAATAACACCTAAGCCGATTCCAACTCCTGCTATTTTACCCGCGTGTTTCTCTGCGAAATGTGCGAACGCGTCCAAGCAACCCATGCTGTGAAGAGTCGGTGATTCTAATGTACAATTCGTAGAGCCAATAGTGCCTACGGCACGATCGCAGCACGACATTGGAATGCCAGAATAACGATTTATCCAGTCGGTGGCGTTAGTTGTTCCACAGCAATCAAACTGCAAGAAGAAATGTTCGTTTGTCATCACGTTCATCATGGAACGTCGTGGGAGTATGAGGATCAACTGTGAAAAAAGTTTGAGAACGCGTCTAATAATTCCATATCTTGAAAGAAAAGAAAACAAGGCTAATGTCAGTTTCTCGCTTCTTAATTATAGGAATCTTAAAATATATAAACGTTTCAAAATCTGAATATTCACGGAACTTCACAAAATCCGATCGCCCAACCGGTATACTTGGTATAATGTACGTCGTTTTCAAAGGTTCAAAAGAACTGCTGAAACGTTTTCTGTATCGCTGTGCTGAACACGAGAAGAACGGACGTTGGCTCTGTTTCTCTTTCAGAATATAAATTTTACAACACGCTCATCGTCATATTCAATTAGAAGCGTCGAGCGTGCCACGGCATTCCAATTACGAAAACGGACATTTGTACATTATCAAGTTAATGAAATATTACGTGCGAGTGCAATAATATTTACGGAGTCGCACGTAACAAAGAGATGTCGAGGAAAGCGCGTCTAATATTTTACGACACGCTCGCTCGCGTTTCGATATCGTTGAGAGTGGTCAAGGAAGCGCGGGACGACGTAAAAATCGATTTATACTACCCCCGTCGCGTGTACACCAGGTACCACACACACGCATGCATTATATACGCCACGAATTAGAGTCGCACACTGAAATTATCCCTATCGCTTCGTCGTCTATGATATCCTCGCGACGATCGCCCTTACTCCCACGATAGGGACGGCACTACGCGGAGCGTGAAAAACTTCCAACGCAGCTGCTATCGAAAATAGAAGAAGCGACGGATCGCACATACAACGTCGTCGCAAAGATATTTTTCAAAAATATACCTCTGACCGTACAGAGAAGAGAATTGCTCGTACAAGTATATCAAGAGTACTTCTTTGTGTTAAAAAAGCTTACGCTTTCGTGATCTCCGTCCTAATCCACATCTCAATCTACATTCTAAAGTATACAACTTTCTGGTAATTAAATCGTCATTAAGCTTGTACATAGACTTATGAGCATTTTGTCTTTCGAAGATATGAACTCGGGCCGGTCCGGGAGAATAAATCTCCGAGGGTAAGAATTGTGCATTACATCTTGCTGCAAATCGTCCCAGATTAACTGAATATCCTTGGTGGAATTATAACCGGCCATCGTGTTGAGCATCTTTCCCTTGACGACCGATGTGACATTCTCTCTCATCACGTATCCCATCGTGCCACCGATGATCTCCAGCACGAAGACTGCGATTAGAAGCGTGCAGAACTGTAGTGCAAAAGAGAAGAAAAAATCAACTGGAGATTATCGGGAGAGACATTGCTGGAAACGTCTTACGGATTGTCCGTCTGACCTCAGTTGGTACGAATAGCTTTAGCTTTTAATGGACTTTAATGAACCGAAGAACGTCGGAAGATCGCGAAGATACGCCGGCAACACACCTCGATCGACTCCGCGACTTCATGATTATTACTTATTACAGACTCTCCCGTAATATATGCGTTCGCGTTAATTTTTTAAAGTAACAGCGGAAGCGCGCCCACCCTCTCTCTTCTCCACGTGCGAGGGACGATAATTCTCGGAATATATATCGCCGTCGGAGAGTTGAGAGGCGGGGGAAACGCACGCACCGATTACATACTTCGCGCACAAAACATTGCTCATTACATTATGAAAACGTAGGGGAGACGATACCTGCACGAGCGGGCGAATTGGACGCGCTCTGTTTTGTTTTTCTCTTTCTTTTTACGTCGGCTCCTTTCACCGCCGGCCGAAAACGACGCGACGCTCCGACGAGTCGAGAGATCTCGATCGCAATTAAATCGAGAACCGCGAAAGTTTTTGAATTACGGCGACGTTCACGGCGGTCTCAATCGATCGTTACATTTCGAAAGCGACCACTCGTCGCGGGAGTAAAATACACTCGACGATATACGTGTAGTAGATTACTCATTATCATTATTGTTGTCCAACCCAGTCGGCTGGGTAATTATTATCGACTAATTGACTGATGAGAGAATTACAATCATGGTGCAGACGCAATAATACGAAAATCTTGCGAAAAGAAACACTTTTTTTTCATCGAAAAACATTTCGAAACTCTCACATACGTGTCGCGTGCAATTCAACGATACGCTGATTGATCAGACGCGTGCAGATCTTGCATTTTTTTTTTGCAGAAAGGGAAAGGTTCGAGATGAATTTGTCTGAGATCAGAGGAACACATGATCACACTTTTTACGAACTTTTTACGAACGAGTTCGTATCTTACCGTTACGATCATACAATAGCTTTCGCGACCGGCTCCGCAGCATCCGAAGAAAGCGATGATAAAGATAATGGAGCCCACGGCTATAAGGAGAGAAGGCACCGAAGAAAAATTGTTGTCAAGGAAGGGCTCGTACTGCTTGAACAATTGGTGGATCGCTACGCCGATTGACAGCAGTATTATTCCTGTAATCTGGAAAACAAAAAATATCATAGTACGTGCACAGTGTATTTTCATAGGAAAGAGAATCGCAAGCGCAAACTTTCCCGTTGAATCCGTCGTTTACACGTAATAATTACATAATTGTATAATTATGTCGACGATCCTCCGATTGCATCATCAACCGTAAATTATGCGTATAGAAAATATATTTCGATAAAATTAAAAAAAAGGAGCATAAACATTTGTCGATCGCGTTGACTTTCTAGCGCGAATATCTGTTTTGAAATTTTCACGAAATATTGCACGGTTACGGTTGGATTTTGCAGCTGCGTGAAAGAGGTAGCATAAATGGAACGTTTTCCTCAACAGCTGCGGTGTCCGAGCGGTTAAGGAGATGGACTTGAAATCCATTGGGTTCTACCCGCACAGGTTCGAATCCTGTCCGCAGCGAATTTTTTTTTTCGTTTTTTTTTTAACAAAATATGACCATTTCTATGTCAGAAGTGCACCCTGTTAAAGAAATACGAAAATTTTTCTCAATTACACTATATTTACGCACTTAATGTGCCATATATATTATCTCATGTCTAAGAGCAATGTCGCGCTTTTACCTAAATTCCCGTCGGGAAATTATTAAAGTTTAACAAAAAGTACATTTCCGACAAATGGATTTATTAATAAAAACCTAATAGTGCGACTTGTATCTCGATTACACCGATTTATCACTTAAAAACAGATTAGCCATTATCGAGTTGTTTGTGATTCTACTGGGTTCACACATTAACCAAGAATTTCGCAGTCGATTAACCTCGATAAAACCGTGCGCCATACGAATATAATAAAAAAAAAACAAATGTAATAAAAATACAAATGTGTCGGAGTGTAATTATGGAGTGTAATCATATAAAGAGGTGTACAAATGAATAAAAAAGAACAGCGAATGTGTGCGAAGATAAAAACAGTTATTTGCGGCTCGAATCAATAACGCAATTTTATCGTTCAAATGTATCATAAGTTTTCCGTTCCAATCAGCACGGAGCTCGCTATCGACCTATCCGACGCTGATCACTTTCGTCTTCTAGACAACCGTACCGAAAGTGGTCTCTCAGTTTTGACGTCACACTACGCGCGTGGAGATCGGGAAGGAAAAACTCAACATGCGATAAGGATTCCCGTCGAACGCTATCTCACGTAGGTCGCCTCGTTGTAAGATTTCTTCCGAACGTCTAATGACTTGATTACTCATCGCAGTCTTCCTCGATGAATAACGAAGCTTTAATATCGCAGCGGATGAGCGCTCGATTAATTTTCTATCAGGCTTTAGGCGTGTGCCTAAACTCAGTCTACATCTACGGAACAACATATAACTTTGGTAAAAAAAAAAAAGGCTGCGTTTATATCTGATACACAATAAACGAACCAAGTGGAATTGAAACGTTTGTTATTTATTAAATATAAACATGAAAAACCTCTCTTTCTGAACAGATGTTCTCCCACACAGCAGGATTTATTAATTACAGCCGGCAACGCACTATCTCCGTCCCGGTTACCGTGCTGAAATATCTGCTTTAGATAATTGCGCAATGACGATGTCGCGTGGTTCGTGCCATAAATGTTAAAGGTTAACGCAGAAAAGTCGTATATACCGTAATACTTGTTGATTATCAGAGATCCGAGCGAGCGTCGCGCGATGTTTGCCCACGGGCAAATGTTTGAAGAGCGCGCTGTACATACGCGAGATTGTCGCAGCCGAGTACCAGAGAATACGACGTTACACTTATGAAGTCGTGTGTCATTTAAAAATGGATCCCACCTACGACGGGCCACGTGACGGTCCACCTAGTTTTCGAAAAGTCGCCCGTGCAAGACCGTGCGAGCGTTCGAATCGCGATCGAGTCAATGGAGACCAAGGGCGAGAGATTTTCTCTCTTATCCGTCTCTCTTTTCGCTGGTTATAGCTAGCAAGCGATTAGACTTGAGTCAACTTCAACGGCCTGACATTCGGCGGGTCTCGCGAACGACGCGTTTCTCCTCGAGGACTCGTCGTCCCCTCGAGCATCGAGCGACGCTCGAGCGCGTTCACGGCGCGGATCATAGACGTCCTCTAGAGGTAGAGTTTTAACAGGCCTGCCTCGCCGAAGAGTACACATCGCACGTTGTATCAATAAAACAGCTCGATAAAGAGCGCGGTACAGCGCGGATAGAATTGCGACGCACACGTTGCCACCTCATCGCTCCGGGAGAAACGCGACGTCAGCGTGTTGCGCACGCGATCGGCATGCCGTATACGTATACTTACCACGAACAGCAGGTTAAAAGCGAACATCAAATACTTGATGGTCTTTGGCGCCAGACCCAGCGGTAGCAGCGCCATGTTCGCCGCCGAAAGTCCGTCTAATGCAATGACACACTAGGAATTCGTCCTTTGCTCTCTCTATCTCTCTCTTTCTCTCCCTATCTCTCTTTCTTTGTATCTCCTCTTCTTTTACTCACTTTTCCTCTCTCTCTTCCCTCTCTCTCTCTCTCTCTCTCTCTCTCTCTCTCTCTCTCTCTCTCTGTTGCGCGCGCGTGCAAACGATCGAAAGCGAGTCGCGAACGAGACTGAACGGCGGAGAGCACGAAAAATGCGACGAAAAAAGGCCCCTCAAGCAGAGGAACGCGCGGTCGAATGCGATCGACGACGACGACGACGACGACGACGACGGCGACGACGACGACGACGACAACGATGTATGCGCGCGTACGGTCAGTTGCGTACGAAGTGCGACGTCGAAACTTGACTTCTCACACGCGCACACGCCTACACGACTGCGTGTCTTCCAATGATCGTGGTATGTGTAGTATTGTGTTTTCGTCGCGTCTACGATGAGAACTCGTGATTCGAACAGATCGGCCAAAATCTTGCTTAACACTGAAAATTCGTTTCGAATGCACATCGGCCAGTCGGTATGTATGCACACATGTATGGATGTGTGTGTGTGTGTGTGTGTGTGTGTGTGTGTGTGTGTGTGTGTGTGTGTGTGTGTGTGTGTGTGTGTGTGTCGTATCGGTGCAGCTCGCGCACGCGTACACCTGCCGATCCGCGGCGTACGTAACCAGCCAAGGTTATGAAACTTGAAAGGTTGCTCGGTCCAGATGATTTTTCGAGTACGGGAGGTGTGCGGAATATATACAGAACGTTCCGCAGCAGCCGGAGGACGTGTTCGCGGTACACGTGGCGGGATATTCGTCGGCGAAAAGCGCAACGATCTTTTCGAGCGTGTATCGAGCTATCGATAGTTTTCGATACGTGATCGATCGGGAAGGGAAAGGACATATTTTATCAGCGATAATAAATCGATCGAAATCGTCGATAGCGATTGGCCGTGTCAAGAGAGTCCGTAAGAGAGTCATTCGACTGGCGAAGGATATTTCGGGGAAATTTTACCTTTATGAAATCTCTCTCTCTCTCTCTCTCTCTTTCTTTCTCGCTTATTCAAGTGCGACTCGAGGCAATACATCGCAATGCAACGCTGTGTTGACCGATAGCGATAGGTGGGCAATTGCAACCGCAGCTGCAACTACAGCTGCAACCGCAGCTGCGACTGCGAATCTGCAACTGAGAACTAGGAGAGAATATCTTCGGCGTTATTCGACTCGATATATTTGTATATTTGCGTTGTGTGTAATCGCGAAGATAAATTATTCCCACAAGCTACGAGGTAAAGTAAGGCGATGTAGACTTTCGAGCGCGATTGTTAAAAACTACGCAGCGACTGCATCGTCCTCGCGTTTGATAAATATCGCTGCAATTATCTATGAACAATTGTATGCATTTTTACACTTGCATTCGTTCGCATACGCGTATGAATCGTAATGAGAAACCCGCGTTTTTCTCTCTTTTTCTGTCTCTCTTTTTTCTGGTCCCTCTCTCTCTCTCTCTCTCTCACGGTCGGCTCACGGTTTCCGCGGAAATCTGCGGAAACCCGATCGCACGTTAACACAATGGCCGCGATACCCCTCCGCCGATTACGTTCGGTTACGTCGTTAGTTATAGTCCGTGTAATCGAGACCATCGAGGCGTAGAATATAGAGCAGATCCAACGTCGCTAATATAATATTCGATAGCTGTATGCTCAAGGGTAACGCTTGACACATATATCTCGCCGCACGCCCGGACATACTTCCCGACACGAGTTATTACACGGCGCATGATATCGTTTAATGATGTCGGCGATCAATCTCCGCGACACAAATATCCGCGTAATATCGACGAGTCGTTCCTTCCCGATGAGGCACGGAGAAATCGAATAGACTCACGCGTGCGAATTACACTCGCTCGCCGTGGGAACGGAGATTTCCGTACACAGCCTTTACTTTGCGCAATCTAGACGGCTCGGTCGGCTAAATACTTGCATTATTTGCATTAAAAATCGGCGCGCTTGCAAACGTTTAAGCAGCAAGGGGACCGGCATTTGCGACGAGCATTTGAAAGTGACCTCTCTCGATATATCTCGATCGTTAAACCGACACTGTGATTGATTTGCTGCTTTATCTCTATTGATAGGAGCGACGATCAGAGCATAAAGCGAATGAGTAAACAACAACATCGCAGATTGAAAATTGCAAGGACGGAGACTGCCGCGCGAAGCTCGAGGGGTGAATTTTCCGAGTTTCCTGCGTGCGCGAAGGGTCCGCTTAACCACGGTTTGTTGCGAGCGTTTAAGGACGAGGCCGAGTACAATGTGGCCTTAAGACGGGATCGAGTGCGCATGCTCCGACCGTGCATTTTATATTCATATATATTTAGCCAACGTGTGCCGGTCGGTTGTAGCAAGGGTTGCGCGCGGTCTGACGTGGCCGACATCGCGGAGTGAATTCTCCCTTCCGTCGCGGTCTAAGGCGCTCACGCGAAAACGCAGCTCGCGAAGCTCGACGGAGGAGTCGCTCGTGCACACGTATGGCGGAAATTCGCGACGCTTCGACGTATCTCAGAACGCACATCCGACATCCCCCTCCCCCGATAGGAAGATTCAAATACTGAAAGATTAGATTCTCGACGCGCGAGGCTCGTCGACGGAAAAGTCGACGGAAAAGTCGGTGCTAAGGACGAGCGATTTTCATCGATCAATCGAAAGAACCGAGTTTGTTTTCAATTAGTTTGTTTTCAATTAATCGATGTTTTCAGATGATTTTATTTTTACTCAATTAATCGATGTTTTTCATGATCTTTTCTCAACATCGGCAACCGATTTGTATGTCTTTTAAATAGAGGATTTTTGTAACATCGTTTTCCAGATACGGTAAACGAAATCCATGAACGTTAAGTCCGGATCTACAATAGATACGGTAAGCTTTAAGTCTCAAGAAGTTGGCTAACCACAGTCAATTATTCTTGTAAAAGTAGGTTGGGATTGGTTAATTTCTTAAGGTTTAAAGTTTACTATTGTACAGTCATGGATAATAGGATTGTCCGGTTTTTATTGATAAGTTTCGAAACATTGCCGAATAGCCTAGTGAGAGCTCTTATCTTCCCAAAATTAGTCCTTTTATCACATGGAAAACACGTCAAATGAGATGCCGAGTTAAAGGCCTCATTGACGCGATTAGCAACGAACAATAAGTGATATCTAATGAGAATTCTGTTTTAAAGAAGAAATGAAAGCTTTTTCTTCTTAAAACAGAACTCTCATTAGATATCGCTCATAGCACGTCGCTAGTCGCGTCCAGTTTGCAAGATCCTTTAAGAGGATTTCTAGTAATACTGAGAATACGCATTACATCCTTGTTTAACATTCAGTAAAAATTAAGGATTCAGTAACGCCGGTTACATCTGTTGCGAATTTAAGAACGCATCCAACGTATAAGCAAGCAGAACATCCGAGTTGTGTTTCCGAACGCACGTTTCCTAGCAGTGTTTAATCTGGTGCTAACCAATTTAAATGTTTACTTTGCAAATTTAATCGATTAATCGATAAATTGATTTTTTCTTTTTTCTTTTTTTTAGGAAATAATCGATGTCATTTCAATTTTTTGTTTATTAATCGATATTTTAAACATCGATGTATCTTCAAACATCGCTCATCTCTAGTCGGCGCATGATCTTGCCGCCGCAGACGCGAAAAAGAGATTCGAAAAGCGACCGATCGAGCTCGCGTTTGATCTACCTCGCGATTCGATTTATCTTGTCGCTCGCTAAGTGCGCGTGTCGATTTGCTCGTCGCGTTAAGGACCACTATTGGCAGGTGTTAAGAGCGAATGACCAATCGTTGATTATTTTCTCAGCGCGACTTCGCGCCCGGCTAATCGCGCGGAACTGCTCACTCGGCGCAAACGAGCGCCGTTCTCGTATTTCCGTTGCATCACGGCGCATGCAAGCCGCGCGCGGATTTTATCATAAGGTCAACGGCGCCATCGTGAGAAATGCTGCTGTGTATTTTTATGTGCGCGACTCGAACCGTCCCTAACACGGCGGACGAGGTCTCTGAGGCATTCAATATAAATATTATAGACCGCACGGCATTGTTATATTTAGAAAATCGATAACACGTTTAGGGTAAATGTCAAGACTAATTATCTCTTTGAGAGGGAGTCCATATTTCTGTGAAATATTTTCGATCGCGACGGTCATTGATAATGTTATTGACAATGTCAGTTGAATATTTTTGCACGAGCGTCACCGCCCTTAACCGAGCGCATCATTCCCCAAACGAGAGGTTTGTTTTCTGCTACTGAAATACCGTGCACTTTCGAAACTCGAAGTGAAAAGCAGATAACACTTGCTTGAAGAAAGAGAAAAAGAAGCGGCGCGAAGTGGTGCAGGAAGTTCACTAACAAGGAACATCCGCTAAGTGTATGTCTCCGATTTCGACGAAACTTGGCATGTTTATAGAGTAGCCAAAAATAAGAAATCCATATTTTTTTCATCGGCAAATGGCATCAGGTTTAAGGGATGAAATTGCCCCTCAAAGTTTCATCCTCTTTATGCTATCTCGATAATTATTGCAGACAGGAAAAAACTTTTTAAACAAAAATTGTACAGCGTAAAAAACCGTATAATTTTTCGTCGAAATCGGAGACACACATTTCGCGGATGTTCCTTGTAAGGAAAAACAAGCAAGACTAATGTCTTGCGCATGCCAAATACATTCGAGTGAATGTGAGTCGAGGTGATTTTCACGCCGCTCGAATGAAAAGTCACAAAAGCGCGCGGTATCCTGCACCTCTTATCGCGTTCTGGCGTAACGCGAAACGGGTCACTCCGCGGATAAGTATTATTAATATTAATTCGCGGCTAGCCGGAACACGCGCGGGAAATTACATCGCCGGTGAAATTGCATACGACGTAATTTCGCGCAGTACGGGACATACGAAGCCCATCTCATCAAAACAGCCGTCGTTCCCGCGGTGTTCTCGGCAGAGTCGTGGACCTGAAAAATGCGCGCGCGCGTGTGTGTCTGTGTTTGACGTGTATATTTAATGGACGCCGACAGAGGAGATGCTGTTGAGGTGCTGTCGTATCAGTATCATAATTCACAATGTGTAGGCGGCACGATACGATTCGTTCGTTGCACTCTCCGCGGCGCTAAAGAACGATATTAATTTCATACAGTTGTATAAGAGTCATCGATGGGTTCGATGTATCGATTTGTCGCGTAAATATTAAAAGATGGATAGTCTCGCTCGTGGACGACCGCTACTGGGCAAGTTCACAGAGAGAACGATTTAGTTGAATTTAACGAATGCTTATTTGGAATAAATCCAAATAAATTTTTCGATTGTTCGAACGAAGTTTTGTTTGACGCAACAAAAATATTTTGTCGCAGCTTAGTACCAACGAAATGTTTTTGTTGCGTCAAACAAAATTTTGTTCGATCAATCAAAAAATTTATTTCGACGATTCCGAATAAGCATTTGTTAGATTCAACTAAATCGTTCTCTCTGTGTTGATTCCCTCTGAAAGGGATCCTCACGGTCGGTTGCACGGATCCTCCTGATTCACCTGATGATATCGAGGAATCAAGGACGATGAAAAAAAGAAAGAGAGGGAATGAGAGAGGAGTATGCATATGCGGTTTGCGCGGCTAAATTGTTGATCACTCTCGGCTCCCGCCATGACACACCGCCCAAGTGCAACGCGCCGTTGCGGCGCGTTGCGTTACGTTGCGTTGCGCCGAGCGGAGGTACAACGCGCAGGTGCGTAACATTCAAGCGTCGCGGCACGCTCGGACCCCTCGGTCCTCGGTTTGCCGATCACTCGAACGGACGTGACGTTCGTCGGTGTGCTACGAGAGGTGAATAATAATTCATAGAAGTATGTCGAGAGTGCATTCCACTTCATTTGCCATCTTCCTCCGATGGAATTTTAGAACTTTGGACTAAATATTGTTCTTGGTGATGCTCTATTTGATTAAAAATATTTATATAGAAAAAAGATTGTGCAAAATATCAGGCATTATAAATACGTCGACACGTAAAGTTACGTTCTATAGTATACTATAAGCAGGTCGTTCTGAGCAGTATAGAAGGTCTTAGCTATGCAATTTGTCGTCCAATAATCTAAAATTAATAATTCTGTATTAGCAGAATGGAACATGTAACGTTTGACTGAGAAATAATGAATTAAAAGAGAAATCAAGAGAAACTTGCTCATTTTGATAACAAAAACTGTCCTTTATTTTCCTCGTTGGTAACTCCGCCGACTGAAAATGAATCATCGATTAAATTCATCAGAATCCAGTGAGAATCACTCTGAGGGATGTATATAATGTAATTTCATCTATTGTTCAACAAGATCGATCAGCCTATAAGATTGTCTCTTCTCCAAGTTCGATCCTCCCTCGTTCTAATTTCGTTGACAAAAAAATTGTTGAATTCGCAGGGCTTCTGGATGCATAATCACGATCCTGGTCGGTGCACGTCAAGTGGATGCGCGCGCATCTCTGGGACCGTACAACAAAAATACATTGTCTCGAGCACTTGACGGCAAGCAGTCGACGCGCGAGCATCTCGAGACGGTTTCGTTGGCGTATCTACCGAACAAAAAAGAAGAGAGAAAGAGAGAGAGAGAGAGAGAAACGCAGGGACGCGTTAAAGACGACAGGACCCGGTTCTTCGAGACGAAAAGAACACAAACGCAGCGGCGTCTCTCTCGCTTCCGGAGCACATTCGCGACTCGTCGATCCCGTGACGCGAAGCTCGCTCTTTTTCGTAGACAGTGACAGAGTAACAGTACAGTGACGAAAATGGTGTCCGGCGGTATGGCTTGCGTGAAGTACTTGCTGTTCCTCTTCAATCTGATATTCGCGGTGAGTACGATTGTTTTGATCGATGGCGTCAATCGCGTCGGCCTTTGTCGCGCTCCCGAGAAGTCAGCTCTTCGAGTTCCTCGCGTCGCGAAGACCCGCGACGACGAGATTTCTCTCATCTTTCGCCGGGACACGCTATTTTTGGCGTACCGTCCCGTCGAGTCAAGTGAAGTCCAATCGAATTGCGCGTCGTCGGGTAGCGACGAGCCCGCCAGGCTTTGTTGTATGTCGGTCAAGCCTGAAGAAGCAGCATCTGGGGATCCGCGCTGATCTCGACGTCGCTCAACTCCTCCGCTACCATCACCGTCTCCTAGCCGCGGCATCGTCATGCTCGCTGTCGTTAATAGACGAATCATTCGCTCGTCGATGAATCATCGATATTCGTCTGTTGTACAAAATACAAAGGATATGCGAGATAATCTAGCTAATATCGAGTATAGACGAATTTGACGACGTCGTGTCGGCTTCCCGCGGGTATTCCCGTGATACGTACAAATTTTGCAAACGGACGAGTGACTGCGTGAAAGTCGGAATCACGTCGAACGTTCATCTGTGGAATTTTGATTGTCACGGTTATTACCGTTGGCGACGTTACGTTTCGTCCGCGAAAGGGTCGCGCCGTAATAATGGTAACGTGCAATGTTGGGTGTAGCAAGCAGGTACATACCCGGTGGCATTTGCGGCGCGTAACTTGACAAACACAAAAGTTATCATCATCTCGTCCACTATTCGCGTGTCCCGCCCTGTGAAAAATTCTCGCAGCCCCCGGTTCATTCATATTTCATCCGGCGTCGACGCCGGATTCCGTCGCGCCGAATCCGTCACACACACACACACATACACACACGCGCGCGCGCGGTTCGTTCATTTTTTTTTCCTGATAAATAATACAACTATATAGAAGAGGTGTCGTCTCGACAGAAACCTCGTAGTGCCTACGTGCACTCGGCAGAGCCTCGGTAGACATGCTACGTCGGACGAGACGATCGATACTTTCTTCGACGTTTAACGCGTAATCTAGAGTTCGCCCGGTCGACACGGGCGATATCGTCCTCGTTGTTTAGATTAAAAGCGAAAACACGGGACTGAAGCTTCATCGCGATACAATCGCTGCGCAATCAGAGCGAGGATCGTTTCTCTCTTCCATATCCGGCGAAATATCGCACGGGAACGTGGAAGGAGTAAATATTGCATGAATGATGTGAATGAATAAAAAATATTGATTTAGCACGGTCGGGTAATGTTGGAAATTGATTTCGACAGGCAAATAAGGCGAACGAGCGACTCGGATTGAACGAGTTTTTACCGTGCTCTCCAAGAACGTCGGTGTTGTTGTCGCGCGAGGGAAATTGGAATTATTAATCGCTTCGGTGATGGGAGGACGTAGAGGAGGAAGCTCGTAGGAAGTCGTGAAAAATTGACGATACTGAAATTGCTGAAAGCTGCGATTCTGGACCGCGGGTAGCGCGAATAAAACACCGTCGCCGCGTACGGACGGTTGTGGAAAGGATCTAGGACAAAAACAACCCCGTAAAGGACGACGACGACGGGGCTAGGACGGCGGGCGTATCTCCCTTATTGCACGTTTAATGATCCGTCCAGCGTGAAATGTCAGCACGGCGACCGCGTTTATATACACGGGGTGTCCCAGAAAGACATGGAAAATGGACAAAGAAACGTTGTTTCTTGTGGAATCCGCGCGCGGTCGGTTTTGTTCCTCGACGAGAGACCGACTCTATCGTTTCACTCTATTCATTCCGTGAGTTTCAACACGCGATATTCCGACGATTAGATCTCCGGTTAAAATTCGATCTTGGAGTGACGTCTACTCGAGATTAAATGACGAGTGATATCGAGCCTCTCACTGTCACACTTTTTTTCCTTCTTCAGAACAGAAGAAACAGTCTGCGGGAGGAATCCTCCGTTCTCCACAACCGGAAGTTACGGACGTGCGGTTCGTGAGGTTTTCCGCCGAGAGAACAGATTTCAGCCTAAATTCCGCAAGAAATGACGCCGCGCGTGTTGCTTTACATTCTTTCTTTTCTGGGACACCCCGTATACGTCGTACGAAGCGTCCTCGTTGCTGAAAGTTTTCAATAAATTCATGCTTAAAGTTCGCCCAGCGATGTTACCTGTTAGCGTACGAACGGGCGAGTTTTAGCGAGCTACTATCTAGGCTTCGCTCGAGGGCGAGCGAATCGACCGGTCGGTCGGTCGGTTTCGGTTTCGCAACCTCGAGGTGTGCATGTAAGACGTGCGCGTAAAACGTAGGTGAGAGACACGTAGGTAGGCGAGACACACGTCGTAGGCAACATACAGAACAAGGAGGGAGAGAGAGAGAGAGAGAGAGAGAGTCTATAATCCCTGACTGTCTAGCGGCGGCGACAGCCTACGAGCGATGTCGCAGCGCCTTTTTCTTGCCGAGCATAGAGTACCGCGCTCCCGTCACCGTCATCGTCGTTCGCGCTGGATGTCTTTATTTAGCCAGATCCAGCGACAGGACGTCGCTCTGCGATCAATTTCTGGTCACGACTTTGATAAGAGAAGCCTCACCGCGAGCCACGGCGCGGCGGTTGCCGCACGTCGAGCGATGCGTCCTTGAAATTGTACTAAGTAATTATCGAAATGACGAAAATTTTCTGGCGTCTTATTCGGACGCGACACGACGTCGAAATTAACGGTGTGTCCTTTCATCTGTACACTGCACCGCTAACCAGCGCGGATCGCGTTCTCATGATTTACTTCGAGTTCCTTCTCAGCATAATCAGCCCGTGTTGAAAGCCGCTCGACGTAACTGTGACGCTTCCTGTTGGTAAACAATGCGACTCTTGCGCGATTATGCCATCCGCTTAAAAGCTAACTGCCGACAGGAGAAAGATATTAGTCATCTGGTTTGATTATTTATGGTGTTCGTCATGTAACTCGTAGGAGATATATATATATTTCTCATCAGAAAATTGCCTCTTTGGAGCCGGTCATTCCCGAGCCTGATAAATACTTGTGAAATTTTCGCTGATAATATGTTCGTGTCGACGCGAATACCAACATTATTTTTATTCGAGTACCGTATCCTAAAATTGTTCCATAATCTCAATAATGATTACCGATAAGAATTTTCACCTTAAACGTACGTTTCATGGTGAAAGCAAACGCTGTTGTAACATGTGAAAGGATACGCAAAACAATACAGGACAGATTAAGCTAACCGTGCGCTTTGAGGGAATTAAAGTTAAGCCGTGCACTTTTAAGGAATTAAAATGAAAAATGAAATGGAATGGATTTTTTTATATCTCGTGTATAAATATTCCAATCTCAGTGGAATTTCCTCTTGTGAGTTATATTAATTATAAGAGATTAATGTTTCACATATTATTTCAGGTCACCGGGATCGTATTTATCTCCGTGGGCGCCGTGATCCTGGTCGTTTACAATGGATACAACAATTTTGTGGATAGTTGGTTCTTTGCAGCACCAGTCTTGATGATTATCGTCGGTGTCATAGTCTTCCTCGTGTCATTCTTCGGATGCTGCGGCGCTGTGAAGGAAAATCACTGCATGATAATTACGGTATGGTTCTTAAAATACTATTTTCTATCGTCTTTCTCGTTTCGGATGCGTAATACGCGATGTCGCGACAAAATATAAAAAGATGCAATTGAAAGTTATCTTAATGAGAGTTATTGTTACGCATTATACCATGACATAAGTGTTCTCCGCATCTCACGCCTGTAATGCGATAATCTTCATCTCCTACAGTTCTCAGTCTTGCTGTTGGTAATATTCGCCCTGGAACTGGGTGCTGGAATCATAGGCTATATGATGAGAGGAGAAATCTCCAATATGTTGGAAACCCGTCTGAATAGTACTATGCGGCAGTATGATGTTAACGAGGATATCCGTAATTCATGGGATATCATGCAGCATGACGTAAGTTTCACTAAAAAGACATGTTTATAAAAGTTATTACGATCATATATTTATTTTAATTTTTTGATTGAATATATTGAATATTTATTTTTAATTATATAAAACGAACGTGATCAACACTAATGTAAAATGAAAACACCTATTCGCTAAATAGATATATTAATTTTATGGTATGTATATATGTGTATGTTTGTATTAATTGAGTACGATTTTTCAGTTACAATGCTGCGGCATGAACGGTCCCGGGGATTGGAATCAGATTGTACAAGGTAATATTGTGCCTGATTCTTGCTGTAAGGAACTCCCTGCTCAAGGCAAATGCGACTCAAATTCGATTCATCTCAACGAAGACGGTTGTATGGCGAAACTAAAGGCTGCTATAGAAAATAGCGCTCTGATCTTGGGAGGAGTGGGCGTTGGCATAGCAATCGTACAAGTAAATTCTAAAACTATTTCTATGGCTCGCATGTACATTATTAAAGATATATGGTATTCTAAAATATTTAGCAGATTTATTAATTAGTATTTCGATAAATATCAATATACGATATGGTGTGTGTAAAACTTCCGTTTAAGGGAAGCAACTCTAATAATATTGTTTTTCAAATATATTATAGAGATGATCTTGTTTTAGCGTCGCTTATTGTTTATTAAAAAGTTATTAACAAGAATTTTATATGCAGAACGCAATTTTTCGACAGTGTACATTTAAATATTGGTAAACGGTTACGCATACGCACAGAAGAGAGAGAGAGAGAGAGAGGTATAGAAGGCCCTTTCTCTTCACTCCACCCGAAGCAAACTAATCTAACTCAACGTATACTTTTTTATACATAGTGTTAGATTGAGTTACCATGTACAACAAAGTTAGGTCACATTCACACATTTTTGTACACAGTAATCTAATCTAATACTATATACACAAATATATAGATTGTGTTAGGTTAGTTTACTTTGACTTGGGAAGGGGAAGGGCTGCGCCCTTCTCCTGCTTTATTTCTCTTGTTAATTTTGTAGTAAATAAATGTGCAACGGGAGATTAAGGTCTTTTGATTGTTACTCAGAGGATTCATTTCTATAATATATATGAAAAACAAAGTCATTGGAGATGCCTCCTCTAAATGAGAATTTTATTCACGGTATTAATGATATAGCTTTGAAGAAAAAAAAAATGATAAAACATGATTCGTCTTTTTCAGTTGATCGGAGTGGTCTTTGCGTGCTGTCTGGCTCGCTCAATTCGCCGCGAGTATGAGACTGTGTAAGCTGACAGACAAAAATTTTCATTGCAACAAGCCTAAACTGCACCTGTATAAAACCTGGTCTATTACACACAAGCTGTCACTATATATTTTTTTCCTTGTTTCGTTTACCATTTAACTCTTACGTCCGTGCACAATTATACATGAGATATTTTCTTTCTTTTACTGCTTGTACATTCTTAACACGTTGCAGCAACAACAAAAAAAGAGATCGTTTGTGATTATTAGTTCTCGTTACAAAGTGCGTGATAAGCAAACAATTTAAAGATCTCCAAAGAAACCTCACTGCTACTTTGGTATTTGGGCCTTGCCTCATCTATAGGCGTTAAATATCACGTAATACACATGTTTTGTATGTTTTTACAATAAGCTCTCGAAAGAACTATATATTAACGATAACAGACTGTCTGTTATTCTCAGATATTATACTACGTTCTTTTTTTATGAACGTACATCTGGTTAGTTCAGTGTCATTGTGATACTGTATTATAGTTGAGCCACGATAACCGTGATATCGATAAAGAAGTTATATGTAAAGCGCAAGTTACTTCGAAGTATGTTAGAAGCTTCTTTTGTTTAATGTCTGCTTCACGTGACTGATTGTTTAGCTTGTTAGCAAAAGTGTACTTTTGTCGTTTCCTTGTATTTTTTGCTTTACAATATCTCGCATGACGCAATGTACACGTACATTGTTGTCGAGGCTCTGCTATAATATTAAACGATATTATTTTCAAGTTGCAAGAATATCCGTGTCTCTTAATACTTTATTTTGCTCTTCGCGATTTGAATTACGTATACATTTGCAAATTCAAAAACTATATTTTATTTAATATATTGTGTGTACGAAGACAATGATCGCGTGTGCGCGGGCGCTAACTTGCATAGATTTGTGACTGTATATCGTGTCGTTATAACACACGCTCTATTAGATTTGTTAAATGTTCTGAGAATTCTCATGCATTCGAAAAAGTGATATTTGAATTTCTAATGTACGAATACAATTCACCCAGGTGAAATTGAGACTTATGACTGAGACATCAATTAAATAGTTTAACGTGTTACTTGTTAAAACAACATACGACAACGGTAGTCAACATATTGGTACATTGTTGAGATGCCGCGATGATTGTCGATGATTAATCATATAACTGTTATATTACCGTTTAGTTTCTCATTAAGTTTTGTATAAAATATGATTAATTATATTGACAAAAATACCTGTACAAAATGGCCGATAGAGACTGAATAAAACGGAGTAAAGACGACATGCAATTCAAATTCACATTGTCTTCATTAATTCGCATCTTCAGTGATTGAATCATCGTTCAAAAGACTTTTTATAATTAGTGGTAATCGATGCGGCAGTCAACATGTCAAACATGCAAAATAAAGTGTCAAGATACATATATACCGTCTCAACATTAACCCGGTGGTGTATGATAAAGGGCATTTCCTTTACTGCATGTTAATCCATTCTAAGGAAATTACGCTCCAACAGATTAATGTGATGTGCTTAAAAATGTGAGACGCAATGAAAGTGTGATTGGAAGTAACATGTGTCACTGCGCAATTCGTTCTTTTTGTTTCTTCTTGGTACACATCTATCTCTGCTAAAAATACGCGATACTCTGAAGATTAACGAAAAGCTTCCTCGTTTAACAAACTAAAAGAAGTAAAGGAAAGTGTTAGACTCTAGTTACAATTGCATATTAACTACACGTATACTGCGTTTCAATATACAGATAAGAAATATCATATATTTAACATTAAGATATTTTGTTGTTTACCACAATGTAAAGTTTACATAGTGTTACATTCATGAAAAAAATGTCTTATGAGATGTATAGATGTATAGAAATAGATGAAGGTGAATAATAGTTGTTCATGTTATATACAAGTTATCTCACAAAGCGTAATACATAAAAAAAGTTATACCAAGGAGGTCATTTATGATTAATTGAACTGAAACTTAATTAATTCGTTTGTCGTAAATAATATGAACTTGACAAAATATTGGTAATAAAACACTTGTTATTAAAGTCTGCATTTCAATACTGTACAATCATATAAGTACCATAAAGTTTTATTTTGTTTTTCGTTGTTTGTACTACGTATATGTATGTGTATATGTATATATATATATATATACACATACACATACACACACACACACATATATATATATACATATATATATATACACACACACACACAATATGCCGTAATACTAAATGTTTCTCAATCGTTTTATGTTGATGCCTAGTGATGTAATATTTTTACTTACAGCGAAACCACAGCACACTGATCTGCCATCAATTAGGAGGCATTTTTCATAATATTGTTCATCATACATTGGTTGATAAATACTTAGGTTCATTACGATAAATACGTAGGTTCATTACGATCGTAATCATTTTCTTATTGTGCTTACAATTATATATATATATATATATATATATACACACACACATATATATATATACATATATGTATGTATATTCAAAGAGGAATGATGTCACAAGTATTTAGTGTGTACAGTGATAACTTAAGTTAGTCATGTCTCGGTATGTAATTTACGGCATGAAATTACATACTTTCACAAAGAGAACACGCAAATTGGCAATTATATAACGCTTCTTCTATACATATATATATATATATATGTATATGTATATACATATATATATATGTATATGTATATACATATATATATAAGAGAAAAATAGAAAAAGAAGATACACATTGAATACTAATATTTCCTATCAAATTCATATCAAATAATATCAAAACTGCCAATATCTGCCAAAAATTTACATCACTACTTGCCATAAGAAGCAAAAATGGAAAAAACGAACTAGTCGAAATCGATCCCATCTACGAAGAATTACCTGATAAAACGTTGATCAATTTCGGCACATGTACGACACGAGAAAGTGCCTGTTAAACAATGTGCCATGATACAATGTCTGACAGATATATTTTTTTCACGGATGCGTTTATATATGAAGAGTTTTGGTAATGATCTTTTGCGCATTATATGCGATCTGTATTTATTATTATAGGAGATAGTGTTCACAAACATATAGCCATCATTCCTCTTGATTTTTCGTCAGACTTAAAAAGAAAAAAAAAAGAAAACACATACTGACGAGCTGTTTCTGCATAATCTTCCTCGGAGTGCAGAATTAACAAATTATGTATAGTGTTTAATTACACGGATATATAGGATGTTCAGCATAACAATTAATATGATTTTTTAGACGCTTCCGACAGTTTACAGAAAAGGTCGTGAGGTGAACATTTATCTATTTCACGCAAATTTACAATAAAAAAATAAAATTTTATAAAAAGATCAGTACTTTGAATTTTTAAATGATACCACTCGATTTTTTTTATAATATTGTAAAGGACTTTGAGGCAAATTTAACATGCTTAAAAATGTCTCTTTTATTTATAACAATAAAAAAAATTAACTTATGTAAACAAATATTCAAATTATTTACCTTCTGCAGTTCGAAGTTCTATTTAAAAAAAATACTATGCATAGCAGCTGTTATCCTCTTTGGATCTAAGCACGAGTTGTAATTATCTTTTGTCGAAACTTTTGAATATTATTAACTTAATGCACGAGAGATTGCCGATACCCTCATAAAAAGAAATTCTTCTATATTCATCAAATATCAGATATCAACTTTTTTCGAATTAGAATAACTATTCACTGTAAATACTGAATAACAACTAATATTCATTTTAGAAAAAAATTTAGATAATACTGATAACTGATAGTGCATTGAGTTTGTCTTTAAATTCCCTACAATATTACGAAAAGCATACGGTGCCATTTAAAAGATTCGAAGAGATGTTAATTTTTTACGAAAAATCTTTTTCAATTGTTTTTATTGTATATATTAGCTTGCGTGAAACAGATGCATGTTCATCCTATAACCTTTTCTTTAAACTATCGGGAGCATCTCAAAAATCATGCATACGTTACGCTGAACCCTCCGTATAAACTTGTGTTCTGATAATTTAATACCGTAAAGGTACATAGCTTGTATCGCGTAAATCGTACTCGAGTGTATGCAGTCTCGGCGTCTACTTTCATGCCTCTTCTCATCGATAAAACACAATCTTTAATACTTATAATATATGCGATGTTGTAGTAATGTCGTGATTTAAATTTATAATGATTTTTCGTGCTCTACAATGCGAGAAACAGAGGGAAGACAGGTGTACTCTTATTCGTAATCGACGGTGCCCCGTGAAATATATGCGTATACGTGTGTATATAGAATGACATGTAATATCGGATAATGTACACGACAAAACTTGTGTACATTATGTACTAATGATGTAACAAAATTAGCGTAACTCGGCGTCTCTAGCTCGAGCTCAGATGGTGGAATATCGAATGGAAGCTAGCTCTAGCTTTATCTTGTCAATAATTTAGCTTGTAATGTCAGTGAACTCTCCGATATTGATCCTCTTGTGCTTCATTGTACTGTACTGCTACTGACAGTCTGTTGCCACAGAAATGGTGTGCATGTTTAAACACTGAGTTCGTATTTGGGACCAAAGCAAGAAGATCAAGATTATTTTTTATTGAGTATATAGCGAGTTGCTTCTGCTAAAAAATGTACGATGGATTAGGAACGATCATGCAGAATATTTCGAAAGTATGAGAAAGACTTTTCGTGAGCTTCGTTCGTAGAATTCTTTTTCCCAATATTAAGAGCTTCTTGCCGTTAATACTGGGAAAGGAATCGAATAAAAGTCAAGCTGTATTGTATGATAATGCATTTCTGCTTATTTTCATTCTTACTTCCATCTGAAGGAGAAATAATTTCCGGGAATATAATGCGATTGATACTAATTGGCACGCGACGAAATACGTTACATGTATTTATACAACTATACCGACGACGTGAACGATATTTCTTTTGGATTCACGTGTGACAAATGAAAGAAGCGATTCTCAAAAATTTCACTGCGTCTTGTCGATTTCACGAATTTAAGTACTACAATACGCGAATTGCGTGCGTTATATAAGTTTCTGTAGTGTCTTGTGTATCCAATGCATGAGAAATTCTAATGTTTCCTCTCTTTCCTCTCCCCCGTTGCTGGATATTCATTAAATATCGTTAGAAAGTATTTGTCTGAAGAAAAAAAAAATGGTAAACGTAATCGTCACGCAAGATTCTACATGTAAAGACAAATGGTACTGATATATCTATTATTTTACGACGGTGTCGAAATATATAATTTAAATTTATCATTGGCACAATATTGACACAAACACATGTATGACACAGTATATAATCATCACAAGTGGCAAATGCATAAGATCTCAGAAACAAAGCTGAACGTCCGTAGGATAACTTATAGTTGCAGAAGCAGATAGAAAAGTAATAGCTGCGAAAAATGAGTAAATATTAAAGTGTGCCTAACATAGTAACGTTTATGTTATAAGTTAATAGAGATTAGGTGTGTGAGCATCTCAATGATGTATTGTCTCTGTGCGCGATTGCGCGCGAAAGATGTAGCTTCGATAGTAGCACATGTCCAAAGTTTGCTCCTTTTTAATTGTATAAAAATCATCCGTTTGTCAGAGATCTTGATTAAAAGTTTAGAGCTCTGTATGTATTAATTACTAGACGACGTAAAAGACTGACGAAGATTATTGTAATCAGTATTAACTAATATTGGTATTTTACATACAATATATATATATATAATATATATATATATGTATATATATATATATAAATATATATATATATATATACATATTATACACACACACACACACACACACACGATGACTTTGTACTAAATTCTATTTGGGCTGCTTACGTGTTATTTTTACCTATAAACGTGAGTTATATTAGTCGGGATATCGTTCAAGTGTGACAGACATAAACGTGATTTCGTTTATTAAAATGCAACTGATTTACGGCATTTTAGGAGCCAACATGTTCTTAGCACGTATTCATCTAGCCTTTATGTATATTAATAAACTTAATGACACCGAACAACAGCGTTTTCTTACTCTTTGAAAAAAATCTTGCCTCTCCCTTGCAAACTCTCTCCTGTTAATTTTACGTGTCTGATCTAAAATTACGCTAACGTGTTTGCAAAATTCCATGTTAATATTACAAAGTCTGCTCATAATACAAATTATTATTTGGTAAATGTGAGGACCGGTGAGGACAGGTAAGAGCAATAAATAGCGAGCACATTAGCGTGTAATAAATTGTATATTTCATTTGTTATATCATTAAAAGATCGTTATTTATCAATATATAAGATCGACCTTCTTATACACTTGTCTCGTTTTCGACACGTTCACATTTTCTTCTATACACACAAATTAAAGAGCGTTCACGAGTCAACAGTGTGTAACATAACTCGGCGTGTGTTCTGCAATTTTCCGAGCCGAATAGATAAACGTGAGACAGTGGTTTTTTTCTCTCTTCATCTTTCTTTTTCCTTTTTTTATTTTTTTTGTATTTTTTTTACAAGAGAGCGCAATGTGCCTTGCAATCTTACGACCGGGTTCAACGACAGAGCGTACTCTTATTTTCAGCATGTCTATGTTTATCTAATGTATACACGACATTTAGAAATAACGAGATCCATTATATTTCCTTAATGTTCTGGTAATTTTCGGATGCACGTCGGCATTGTGTATATGCATTTATGTATAATAATCTATTTACAATTTCGAGACAGGGGGTCCGATAATAAACACAACTCCCGCCCCGACCCACAAAGTTAAAACTGCATACCGACTCACAGAACACGAACAGTCAAGAGTTCTGTCGACTGAATGAAAGACGAAAAAAAAGTTGGGAATTTTTAATTTTTCATTATAGGAACTTACGCGAGTCGCGCATTCTTAGATTCTTACGTGTGCATTTCACGCGATATTTACATCTCACGAATTTAGCACGAAAAAAAGGATGTAAAGCACAGCGCCTTACTCTTTACACAATAAACTGTACAATATCGATGGTCGTCAAGCAAACTTTTCACCATAGCGCGCGCGCTTCACTATTTTCATATAAACTATAATTACACTTAGCCGATATCTTTAAGCGACTACCTATGTTTTAAAACAGATATGTACAAAGTGATTTCGCTCACCTTGCCCGTAATTGTTACGCGATATAAAAGAACCACAGAGAGGAATCACTCAAAGACATCCGATATACGTCTGATTTATGAGAAAGACAACGGAGATATATATAGTACGCTATGGGACTTTCGAGTCTCGAATATGCAACAAAATTGATATGTAAGTATTCTCTAAGGTACAATTAAATAATACGGAAGGTCTAAGGACGCGTAGATTGCACCAACATCGCTCGACGTGTCAAACGTTATATTTCTTTTTTTTTTGCTAATTATATTATGAACTTAAAACTAATATGATCTAAAAAGGGTTGAGAGAAATTCGTTAAACAAAATCAGTAAGTTAGGGCTCTATTGGTGCAATCGTTAATAACGTTTTAATTTTTACATATGCGCGCGCGCGCGCACACATACACACACGCACAACACACATACGCGCACCACACACGTATGCACTGTGTGTGTGTGTGTGTGTAGACAGAATATAAATTCAGGTTAAAGTTACAAGTTTCTCGTATGTTTCACCAGCCTGAATGTACAGGAAATAATATTTATTTACAATTACAATATATTTTTTTCCCGGATGGGCCCAAACAGTCAGATTGCGTCCGTCAGCGCAAATATCGAGCATCCACGCAGTGAAATTTTCACAATCGTATTATGAACACAAAATCGTATGCATGTAGTTTTATATCGGTTAAATTATAGTTACATGTTGCTAATCTACAGTTCGGGCGCAAGATACGTGTATGAACATAATAATTTAAATTTAAGACAATTCAATATAAAAATATGGGAGTTCGATTATGGAGAAACGGGCCTCTATGTTCATTATCTTAACGTCTATGTGTACCTATCAGTTACTTACAATTTAGATTATCAATATTGTTCATGTTACCACCTATTCTAGAAACATTAGCAGCATTCGGGTAGTATTGTTGATACACAATACGATCCATTTAAATACTATCTCATTGTAACTTTTAAGTGAAAAAAACTCCTGGTCTCGCCATGCCCTAACGCACTGTTTTGAACACACTTGCACGCACATTCATTCATCTTAGGCACAGTTACATACTCAACATAAAAGCACATCACAATCATGTTGTTTGAGTTGTTCTCAAACGTTCTTTGTGTGCTCACTTGTGTTTCTTTTCACCCGACCAACGGTGATCATAGATAGAGATGTATACAGGCTATGTATATGAGACAAATTGTATGAGAGCAGCAGCGGATCGTAACTTGGCATGAGACTAATAGGAGTTTAGTATGAAGATAAGAACATGCTCATGTGGCATAACGTTTGGTCCAAAGCCGTGCTATGCGGTCGTGTTCTTCTCTATTTTGTAGATATTGCGTAGCTATACTACCCACCAATGGATCAGCTGTAAAAACACAAAGTTACACAAGATCCAGCTAACATTTACATATGGAGAAATGTAATAATCAACTAAATGTAACTATGTAATTTTACAAATGAAAAAGGTTTTTAAATACGTTATCGAGTGTGAAATGTGCATTTATCCGCATATCATACATCAAGTTCAGATATATTATCATAAACAGTACACTCACCTGGATTGCAGTCTGTTAAGAGGGAACATATTGACAGTAAAACTTTTGAGATCGTTAACGCAGGTGACCAATTATCCTTCAATATGTCCAGGCAGATAACACCTTGACTATTTATATTGCAATGGTAGATACGTGTTCGGAATGTAACCTATGAAAGAAGGTATACCTTATTTACATATCTTATTTATCTCCTACTAACGTGCATGCATAACAGTACATTTTTGAATAGTATGTTAAATTTATGAACATATGGTAAAAATACAAAAGATAACTCATAAAAATTGTAAATTTCTTTGCAAATGACACATCAAACGTGTATAAATTATTCATCCAAAATAAATATAAAACACGATTATTTCAAAAGAGATTTATCATAGAAGATGTTAATCCTATCTTAATATTTAAGATTTGATTAAGTTTTATTTTACATCATTTATTTCTCTTAATTTATATATTGTAAAACAAAACAACATGAAAACAGCAAACCCACTAAATATCTCAATTTCGCAGTCTTACTTTCAAATTTTACACCAAATTAATAAAATAATCGCCTACCTTAGGAGGTTTAAAAGGATATTCCGGTGAAAAATGTATATCAAGAAAGAAGACACCACCCTCGTAAACTGAACCTGGTGGACCTAATATGGTAGAAACCCATTCATACAGGTTATCACCTTTTGGCCCTGCACTGTAAAATATAATTTACATTATCAAATATTATATCCTTCAAATACACACTGTTTTTGTAAAATATTAATATTCTTTAATAACTCCCAAATTATTGATTGTATACTTCTAAAATACTGTTTGAGAAATGTTTCTATTATAATTACTGGTGATAACAAACCTGCAGTTAGGAGGTGGATCTAGAGTAATTTCTGCCAATTCCTTTTGTATCCTGATAAAAATATTAAATAACTATAATGTCTACAAATCAAGTGAGTGTTTAATGTTAATATATTTATATGTATTATCACACAATTGCTGTGCATTGTGAAACAAGTACATCATGTCACCTTTTAGCGGAAGTTCCTAAAGCTTTCGACATCTTTGGATTTGGCTTGGCTTCCTTACTTTCTGGTTTATTGTCTGCCAAGGAAGAACCTCGTCCTCGTCCAGTCCCACTAGATCCTGCTCCTGATGACATGGCTCTGTAACAACAGATGCATAAGCACTATTATTTATATATACATTTCTCTAAATTATAAGTTTACACAATAACAAGATAAGTGGAATAACAAATATGTATCACAAGAAGGCAATGAATTTGGAGCATGAACATATAAACACATTAGATACATGTATTAACTTTTGTTTCAATTGACACTTGCAAGTTATTCTCACAAGGAATCATGTACCAATAGCGCACTTGACAATTGTATCAGTGCTACTCTGTCTAATACACATAGGCCTTTGCGAAATACAGACTAATTACAAACAAGACTGTGCTGACTGGTAAGATACATTTTATACATTTATGTAAATTACTGTCAAGTGTGGGGAAAACGGCCAGACCGAGTAAACAAGCAACGTCGTTTTTCTTCTCTTTCTTTCCGCGATAGAACTGAAGTCACGGTTTAACAATTTCAACGATTGTAGCCACAAAGACACGATGCAAGTCGGTGACGCGCCGTTAGACAATCCCACTGTGACCGATTATCTTGTTACATTAAATGCTCAACAAGGTAGTGCCGCAAAACAAAGAATTTCGATCAACTCGCACGGCTTCTCCGCTCTCTCCCGCCCGCCCCCCGCGGGAACATAAACATCGCGCGCGGACTTGATCGCTGCCGGATAAATAATCTCGTCACTCGATATCTACGCGTTGTATTTTTAAACGGCGGCGTCGCGCGACGTGTCCACCGACGAGGGAGAGAATCGCGCGTCGTCTCCGCGCGACGGACGAAACGGCGAACGCGAATCCCGCGGACGACCAAGGCACGTACTACGTGACAGTTCACGAAGAGTAGGCGCGAAAAAATCCATCCGACCGAGAATCGCCCGGTTAACTTCCGCGGGGACGTTTCTTCCCGTCAACGTCGTTGCGTTGTTTTCCTCGTGCGCGGCATTTCGAGGCGGACGCGGCGCGCAAAGATTAATCTCTCTCTCTCTCTCACCCCGCTAGCGGAGCAACACGCGAGAGTACGTAAATTTGATCCTCTTTCTCTCCCTTTTTCCCTCACTCTTTCTCTTTCTCTCTCTCTCTCTCTCTCTCTCACTCCCGCTCTATCCCTTTCGCAGAAAGGCTCGAGGAGAGAACGCCTGTCCAGACGTACGTGCACACATACACACGCACACCCCCGGCGAATAAAGACTAAAAGTTGTACAGCCAAGAGCAGGAGAGCCGGGAGTCTCAAAGGACGACGACGTACATTACCGGCACGTCGTCCACACGAGTTCCTCCTCCCTCTCTCTCCTCTCTCTCTTTCCCTGCAGCCCCTCTTTCTGTCTCTCACGCTGTACGAACGTCCGTCCCCTTCGCGGGACGGTGCTGCTTCTTTTCTCCCCCTTCTTCGTATCCGCCTTTTTCTCAATTCGAGTCGCTCGTGCGAGGGGAGGGAGGGAGAAATGTATACAATGCAGAGCGTATCGTGCGGCCGATGTACCTCGTGTTCCTCGGTGTGTCCACGCCGTGTTTGCCGTCGTCGTGCGACGAGTCTATCTTCGCCGGGTCGACGGGACGAAGGGGGAAGTGGGGGGGAGGCGGCGGGGAAAGAGAGACCGGCCCGCCGCTACGAGCGCGAGACTATTCCGGCGACGACGATTCCCTCGGAATCCGTGGGCTCAACGGCGCAGGATCTCTCTTCGTTTCGAGTTAACAAGACCGGCCGACAAGATGCACACTGCGACGCCGAGTGACGGCAGACGCCTGTTATTATTGTCGGGTCGGAGCGCGGGAGAGGTCAAGCGGTGCGTCACACGACGAACGACGCTACGAGAGCGCAACTCGACTCGCCGTTGTTCTCGCGACACGCAGCAACAGCAGCGGCGGCGGCGCCAACAACAGCAACAACGGCGGCGGTGGCGGCGGCGACAGCGGCGACGACGGCGGCACTCGCAAGGAGCGTAGAACGCACAACCGGCGCGATTCGGCTGCGACGGTCCGTCGAAACAACAACGACGACGACGATAATCGCGGGTGACCAGCGCTCGGTCTTCCACGACGATCGGCCGTGTCAACGGAGACAGACAGTAGCGCAGACGAGGGCACGAAGGTAAACGGATTTCGAATCGCCCTCGCGAAGTGTACGTGCCCGGAAAGCCAGCGCTCCTCAGACCCGCGTCCTCGTGTCGCGACCATTCATCTCACTTTCATGTCCCGAAATCGCGATCGCGGCGTCCTTCTTCCCTCGGCGAGCGCCGAATAAACGTGCGCATCTCTGCGTCGCCGGATGTTGACTCTGTCGCCGCTGCTCGCCGCTGCGGCGGACGCTGGCAAATCCGCGCTTTCGCGCCCGTTGCGATTGGCGCCACCGAGTCCACGACGAGCGTATCGCGGCGTTCCCCTATGACCGCCTCGTACATTGCCTCGGGAATTCCCTAGCGCGTCGGTCTCGTTCGCGCGCCATTTTCAAACGACCGGCTGCCCACTCCCGAGAGCTGTCATGAGCTGTAATCATTCTGTACGCTGACTTTGCGCTTGTTCTTGCCTCCGTTGGTACGCAAATGAAGCCCTTGGAATATGTAAAAATACATTGTCGATTTATTTGCGTGTGATGCTTTCTGCGAGTTCTCTGTACAATGTTTTATTCTTGAACTTCAGGTACGTTTTAACTTGTCTCATGTTTGCACTGCATTAAGATTCTGCTTGATGAGATGATTGCGAGGTGATGGATTCTTTGATAATGATAAGTGATCTCTCTGATTATAATTTGAATTAATATTTTATACAAACGGCGCTTGTCTGACAAAGATTGCTTTGTCAATGGATTTCTATGTTTTGTTAGATTGCATTTTAAGATGCACTGCATTTTAATGTGTACAAATTGCAACACGTTGGTGTATACAACGCTTTAGATTTTGCTGGACTGTCGTTGAATGAATATTTCTTCCTTTTGCAGATGGTGAGCTACGCAGTCCAGCATTTGTCAACGCAGATATCCGAGTGTCCTGTGTTGCAATCTGTCATCTGTCAACATGCAATCGAACACGGAAACATCCATGACAATGAGCATCGATCCAGACAAATAATATCGGCGCAGGTCTGCTCCAATATCACATGTTTTGTTCATCGTAACTATGACTACAACTTGGCTAAGAGAGAAGTCCAGCCAGGCTGACGAAGCTTAACGCTTAACGTAAGTGCGGATTTGCGATATCGCTCGGATATTAAAAGTCACTTAATCAAAATGAATGACAAGGATGACAGTGCTTGGGTGTTTGATTCTCTCATCGGATTCCTGCAAGGTCCCATTTGGTCTTCACCTTTGATGACCTTCATCGAAGAAAAGTCCCTCGGTTCGTATGGTGTTGTCGGGAATGTCTTCAGTGAGACTCGCGGGGAAACTCTCGCAGTTTTCTTCCCATCGGTGTTTTTCAATTGTTATTTATCTGTTCGATATTAAATAAAAGATCTCAGTTCGATGCTTATAACGAACATTAAATTCCTATCGTAGTGGGAAGTATAATTATCTATTTATAAAATGTTTTACAGTTTTCGAGGCCAATACCGAAGATTGTGAAGAGTATCGGAAGATATACCAGGAATACAAAAATTTAGTTGATCTATTGTTAGGATGTTTCATGGAAGACATGGGTATCACGCCGGAACAATTTGAACACGCGTGCTCTGTTAATAGAGATACAAAAATTCCTATACAATTTCAACAAGTATGATTATCATTACATACAGTTATCCACGATAGTATTTGAGATAGAATATATTTTTTTAAAAGATTTTTCGAAAGATATTTCTTTGGAAATTATATTTTAAAAGTTACATTTAATATAATGAAATCAATAACGCTGGAAATATGCCTTTCTGTTGCTTGTTCAAATACTTTCATGAATGAATGTCCATAAACTTTTGTAACAAAGTACATTTGATTCATAAAATTAAGAAAATCGCACGATATTCGATAATGAGAGCGAGAAAAATTGTGGCACGTTGCGTAATTCTTTTAAGATTATCGCTCAACTTAACTCTGTCTTAATACAATCTCTTTGTTTTTCAATCGTGACACGTTTCTTCGCACATTTTACAGAATCTGTTTGAACAAATATGGGCCGCGAACGAGTATGAGATATTCAAAAGAATGATGATACAGAAGAACCTGGAGCTTCAATTGCAGGCGCTAAATATGATTGAACAAAAGTACGGTCTCACACCCGCTTCTCTCGTATACGAGACAGATAGTTTGCACGACGATGAATTGGTCATGGAAGACTTGATAAAGTACGTCTTGTTATACATATAAAAGAATTACAACAAAACATCAAAGAGAATTTATGAACACACAATACTCACAATATAGAAATAGATAAAGCATATCTGATCGATATATACATGCCTACCAAAATATATTTTCTTATTAGGATAGTTCATTTTAATTATACAACTAATAAAATCACAACTAAAATTATAATTGAAAATTATAATATAAATTTATCACTAACTAAACAAATTATTAATTATTATTAATTAATTAAAATTATACAATAAATTATTAGGATTCTTTATTTCTTAAGGGATTTCTAATATTTATATTTTTTGACATGTGCAGTAAACATGTTTTGGAAGATCAGAGTGAAGATGAGCCTGTTATATCTCCGGAAACGTCGTTCATCGCTGAACATGAGCGTCTGGCTGCTGAATATTACAATGAAAGAGCATTGTTAGAGGAAGCGTTAAGGAAGTCACAGGATGCTTCCAGAAACGCTTCAGACGACGAGTCAACGGAAGAGATCGAATATGCTTCCCACGAAAAAGAACCAGTGGAAAAATTTCGTCCGCTTAGGAAATTCGATCCGCTTAATCCGATACCGATTTCGAAAAAAGAATCCAATGAAGACGAGGTATTCACTCTTAATTTACCTGCATCCACGTGATATTAATACATTCGTCGCGTAATACGCTATAAAGATAAAGATAAAATACAACTTTTATAAGACACTTTATAAAGATGAACAGACAATTTAGAAATAATAATATACAATATATAACATTCCAATTAGAAAATATATTGCATCAAACACAATTGTAGATGAGTGCAGAGGATATTAAAAAGAGGCAAGATTACTTGAAAGCCAGACGAGACAAACTCGTAGCTTTGAAGAAAGAAGCTAGAAGTCAGCAATTAGAAATGAATAAAACTCGGCCGAGTTCAGCTAGAGTGGTGGCTGAAGCAACCATGAAAGGTCAGCAAGAACTAGAAGCAGCGCAAGCAGTAGACCCTTCTATACTTCAAGTACGAAGGGCTCTCGCGGCTCGACTGAAAGCCGAAGTGGTGCATAAGTAAATTTAATTGCTCGCGCGACAATTTGCTTTTTCTCTTACAATACTAATCGTAGATATGTTTTAAACTGCGTAATTACAATATGTAAAGGCCACGTTTCTAGTTTTCTTCTTTCGTGCGAAGAGCGGATCGTTGAACATGTGTATATCGTTGCTTGAGAAATATTTTTATTTTTAAAGAATTGTATCATGAGAAGGTAGAGAACATAAAACTAAAGTTCGCTCGTATACCATCATTGTTTCTTATTCGATATCTGCAATTTCACGAAATTGCATTTAATAAAACGAGAGTGTTGCATTTTTGAAGTGTCTCCTCACTGCAGCGTATCCTTGTATAAGAAAACATTTGCGTAAGCATAATATATTCAGTAATAATAATTTATATTATGCATATATTGCCTTGATAAATATACGAACGAATAGGCATAAAATAATGCTTGAAAATTTGCAATTGTGTAAATCAAATCACATTGATTGCAATTGAACGTGATGTAGTCTTATATTCGCGTCCAGTCGAAATTCAGAGAGTAAACGTTTAGGTAGGTTGAAACTTCGATCACTGACTCCAATATATTCATCTAATTTTAGATTTTATTTAATTAAATACTCTTCGCACTTCTCTACAACACACCGGTATTTCTGTGTAACACACATTTATCATTCTCACTTCTTGGCGATTTACTTCCTAATGGATGAAATGGATTCATAGCATAATACCAGCAATAAGTACGCTTATGTGTAAATCTCTAATTTGTGATTATTATTTATTTACTAACACGTGTATCTCTATACAGAAGGAAATTAGTAGTCACCTCTTTGCAGCACATAAAACAGATTTCAACCCTAGTTACGCAGTATTTAACGGTAGAAATATGTCTCTCATGGTGCCAATTTAATAATACAAATTTGAATTTCTCTTGGGTGTGCATGCGTGTCGCTCTGAGAACTGATCCTCTAGTTGGTTCAATATATTACGACAACCAACACAAATTTAGAATTGAGTGGCTCATTAATTGTGTTTACAGCTAAATACTCATTCATAGCTAATCGTTCATTAATTAATTACAGCTAGAAGCCAATACGTAGTGTTGGACAACAAACTCGTAAAAGTTAAGCAACTTTCTTTACAGTAGTTGCTTGTTTTGTGCTATGAATCCTGCGTGTAGGTATCAGTCCTGTTAGAGTCAGATTGATCTTTCATTCATCAGTAGAATAAAATGCAAAATATCGTTTCTCAATTCATTCACTTATTACCATAATACACACAAAATTGTATATTTTATGCTTGCTCTTAATTCACAGAATTCACGAATAGCATTCTCATATAAAAAGGTCTCTTTTTCTGTGCATATGTATATATATATATATTTTTTTTTTTTTATATATGTCTGTATATATATATACTCTCAAAGAAAAAGTTTCTTATTCTGTCATTATATAATTAAAACGCATACTATTATTATTAGCACGTGATATTGTACAATGTGTGCAAGTCCGTTTTTTTTTTTCCTTTAATATTACATCGATGTGACGGTTGAAAAATGTATGCTTGCGATCCCGGCGACGGTTTCCAGGCAGAATGTTTTAGACTGTTGTTATGCTACGTATGAGACTTCATATTGTATCAAATGTTATATTTAACAGGAGGCACATGATAAAACCGTGTCTTCGTGGCAGCTAATAAATGCAAGATGATATTAATTTCCATCTATTTGTAAATTAAGCTTCAACTTTTATTTTATTTTATTTTAGTGATAAAAGTTCGAATTGAAGAATGTATTTGGCTTATTGCGTTACCCTCTTCAGAATTTGGTACGATACATACCACATCTTGTCAATATATCCTTAATATAGATATTTAATATAAAATTTGAGATGAAGATGTGTGTACGTATTTCAAATGATGGTAGAAATGCATCACCAGTGATAGGATATGGACGAAAAGAACTTAGTCTAAAACACTCTGAATATACGAATGTATATATGCATTAAATATCGCAATTTAAATAGCACGTGATCGCACTTTTACTCTCTAATATCACTTAGATATTAATTCATTTGCTTCTTCTTTTTTTTTTGCTCTTTTTACATACATTCTTTGCACCCAATGTAGCGTTCTAGGCTTAATATTTGTTCTTTATTATCGAATAAATTGTAGTAGATATATGTAAAACACATGAAGAAGAACAACATTACTCAGCGTCATCTTACTTAACTAATTAATGTTAGCTTTTGTTACATTTTCGTTTTTCTCTTTCTCTTTTCCATGGTCAGTCCAGGTTGCACAACATTTTATGTACACGTATCACTCAGCTCCAGCGAATTTGCCTACTTAAGACTTTATTCACAGTTTGCTCATCTCGATGGCTGAATTAACTTCTAAATTCTCTTTCAGTATCATAAGTTAATATATATGTATATGTGTACATGTGTATGTGTATTCCACGGCATCATTCCAAGCATACGTACTTACAGTTCTAAAGCAGTCTTGGAAATTCTTTCGGGTATTAGGCATGTCGGGAATTCTGTACATTAGCTTATAACACTTTGCTGTAAGGTCAACGCAATCATAAAATAACATGTAAAAGGTGGATTCGGTTGTTCGACGGACAGCATGCTACATGAATTATATAACGGTAAATGCGAAAGTGTTAGATTTATACTGTCGTCAGCTTTGTCGGTTGCACATGTGGTTTAAGGAAGTAGACACTTTTCTGGAGCTGATTCGGATAGATCTGAATTTTCCTGATATGATATCGCAAATTAATTAAGTTTAATCCGTGATAAAGCAATCGTGCGTATCTAAAGAGAAAACATTCTCCTACAAAATAAAGTAGAGTTATCGAGTCTAATGCCAAACACAAATTCATATATTGCATCTTCTGACATTATTTCATTCTCTTTAGCTGATATTAAATTATATATCGCACTATATATAAAACACGTCTCAACAAAGCTAAATCGTGTGCAGCTCTATTCAGTGTTTTTTTCTTTTTTTTTTCCTTTTTTACAAAGCGCTTTCCTACAATCTCTGGCTCCATTCTGCCCAAGTAAATGTGAATTATTCATACGAACAACGTGTCTTTAAGCCTAATGATAGACAATTGCATAATACATTCATTCCGGGTTATACTTTATACACATCAAGGATTAACATTGGGCATGAAGTGCAGACTGGTGAATATACATAAATCAAATATTTATTGTACAATTACTACTAATTACATTGACAACCGAAAAGCTTGTTGAAAGTATCTCAAAAAAGGACCGAATTCTTAATGAAGAAACTGCGTGTTTCTGCTTAATCCAAGAATGTGTATGTGTGTATGTCTTATAATCGTTACAAATATACATATATATACAAACTAAATACTACTTCTGATGACCTACATAAGGTTTCATGAACCTTCGCGGAGAAAACAGGTTCCATCTATCGCGCAGCAAGAGATAAGAAACTTACGAATGGCAAAATTAAAACGCTCGGTTGTCCTTTCTTCTTCATCCTTTACTTTTGTGCGGTACTTCAAGTACTCTCTCATTCAAAATCTGATCTTACATTGCGTATGCTCTAATAAGTTCCTTCTTGCTGGACCTAACACACAGACAACTGCGACCGTGCAGTTGATCATAGTGTATATTTCTAAACTTAGATCTCTCTCCGTATCTGTAAGAGCCACTAGGTTTAACTAGGTTTGGCATAGACCTTTTCGAAGTCTACACGTAGAGCGAAGTAAGTCCATGATTAAATCTGTTCCTGAAATGAAATAGATGCGTATACTTGGGGCGTTGGAGGTAGAAAGAGCGAGATAACTGAGCGTTAAAATTGTCGAGAGTACATCTCAACCGATTGATTTTCTTTTTTTTTTTTCAATAAAAATTCACAATAAATACGACATCGTATTAAAGGAAATATATATATATATATGTGTGTGTGTGTGTGTATATATGCAAATTACCGATCCTCAAGTTACTCGCTTTCTTCGCTCTTGCCTCGAACGCCTCGATTATCCGCGATATCGGTTAATCCTAATATGACGCTCGTTTCCAAATATGTGGAATGGACTGTGATTCGCTTAATATCTTTTACTCTCTTATGTATTACATAGCACACGGTCACATCATATTGCGTTGCACATTGCAATACCACATTAAACCACTGTTCACCCGTTTCAGTTGAAGAAAATCCATTCTTCTCTCATTCTTTTGCCGACACACACTCAAATATTATAGCGAATTCGGTCGAACGACGCATCAGTGCGGATCGAATGATGTCATACAGAAACTTACTCAAATGCAAGAGCACGATTGACAGACGTTTGAACCGACGAGATACAAGTGTTTCGTTTTCCATGTTACAACTCTTATTTTAACTTCGTCGATTCAACCGTCTGCATGCTGTATGTATCCTTTTGTTTTATGTACGATAATATTCAACCGAAGTTCAGCTCACCGAATTAAACAATCCAAGTTCACGAACAATTCTTGTTATAATTTGTATATTCAGGCCCTACTTTATATTTTGTTTACTATACACAAATCAACACAAAAACAGAATTAATGTCCACCGCATAATTTTTTTTTTTTTCTTAAAAGCACTTGTTGTGTGTTGTGTTCGTTTCTTAGAGAGAAAGCTCCATCCGTGTCACTTCCAACATTGATGAGGATAGATCTGCTTGTATTTTTTACACACAGAAAGATCAGAAATTATAAGATTAAGAATCACATCTTATTCTTCCCAAAATTCGCCTACTATGACAATCGTTGTCGCTTTGGGGAGGGACTTAATTCCGAATCCTCATCCTCCTCATCCGAATCTCCTTCGTAGTCGACTAACCCCTGAAAGTGAAATTGCTGGACCTTAATATATGAAATCTCGTATGGATCAACATTATTATTTGTTCATGCGAGTTATGTAATCGTAACTCGTAGAATTATATAATTAATCACGACTCGCAGGAACCGAAATTTAATTCCTGTGTTAGTATTATATTGGTGTAGTTTTGAAAACATCACTTATCGCGATGTTATATTATAAAAATTATAACATGTAACCATAACACACTCCAAATATATACAATTTTCTTACCTTTTTGAATAGTGCTGTACCCGTTTTTTCTACGGTACCGATAGCCGAATTGGGAGTTATATCCGAAGCGATAGGTGACTCGTTCGTTGTAGACGAGCTATTGTTGATTTGCGGTTGCTGCGAGGTAATGTTGTTGTTGGAAGTATTGTTGTTTAACACGGACTGCTGCTGCTGCTGCTGTTGTTGATGACTCTTTGAATCTGCGAGTGCAGGATTGAGCGTGGAATTCGAAGAGGATGATTGCTTCTTGGTGGAAGCTGGCGATACGAGATCAGCTGTTGCTGCCGCTGCAGGTACCACCGCTTCGCCCTCGTCGAATTCTTCCTCCTCGTTAAACCACAGCTCTTCCTCTTCGTCTAACTGCCTCTGATCTCTGCGGTATCGACTGTTCCGCAAGATTGATGGTACACTATGCACATAAACAAACTTTGAGAATAACAGTTAAATTTTTTGTACTGATATATGCGTATTATATCAAGCAAGATATCCCGTGATTGCGATGGCAACCTAAAAGAGTCTTTCATAAAAAAATATTAACAAACATAAATAAGTCAAAAATATAGAATGAGAATTTTACATACAAGATTTTTCGAAGTGATTCATCGTCGTACCTGTCAATGGCGGTTCTGTCACGATCTTTCAGCTTGTCCTGATGTTGTTCGTATCTCAATTTCAATGCCTTAAATGTTTGTACGTAATCAATCGCTTCGAGTTCCTTCGAAAAGTTCTCGACAACGTGTGAACAGAGCGACTTTATGTCCTCCTAAAGCATAATAAAACAGTACTGAACAATGCGATAATAAAAAGAAAAAACTCTAAATTTGTATTTGCCACGTATCTATGACTCACCAACTTAATAAACTCAAACATCTCTAATATAGCTGAATCTAGAAGATTGTATCTGCCATTGTTCCTTACAAATGCATCGAATACAGGTGCAAAGAGATTACCCTTGATTATGTACCTATTATAAAATTCGTCCTTCAAAGCTATAATCTTCCTCATAAACCTTAATGCGCATAACACTAAAAATGTGTGTGTTGATTTCATTAAAACCAGTATTCTTCTGAGTAGGTCTTTGTTCAATATGCAATTCTTGATGTGATACGTGTGATGTTCCACACAGAATGACAACAGTTCCAGAATCAGCCCCAAGAGTTGTACTGTTCTATAATCCTCTCTCGCAGGTTGTTCTCCGATCGTGTTCGCTAGGAGAGGCGCTATCAGAGTAACAATACTATTCTTGTAAAAGTAATTTAGGAAATCAGTCTTTTCTGTTTTATTAACAGAAGCCAACATGTTCTCCGGATCCAGAAGTAAACGCAATACACCGGCCAACTGTACCGCCCCACCTAACTCAGGATCGCTGTCTCCGACAAGTTGAGCAACTATTACGTTGATTAACATTTGGTTCTGATCCGTGCTATTTATCTGTTGTAACGTATAATCCCGTACAACGCTCGGAGAGTACTCGACGATGTAAGTCAGTATGTCTATACTGGCCGTTTTCGTCTGCGCGTCGTTTATTGCCAAGGTAATTTCTAGAGCGGGGAGTATACCAAGCGCTGTTAATGTTTTATAAAATCCTTCTTTTCCTTGCGGCTGAAGATTCTGAGAAAAGTTACAAAATTCCTTCAAAAAGAGAACCAAGTCGCGCCTCTTGCTATCTAATGTCGCATCGTCTGTTAATTGGCGAAAAAGTTCGGTAAGAAACTTTTCATCGTCTTGTATCAAAGTCACTATCTCAACCTTATTGAAAAATATAAAACTACTCAGTGTACTCAGCATATTATCTTCGAATACACTCGGGGTTGGCAGCACTACGTCTTGAATGTACTGAACTCTGTATGTTTGATGGATTTTAGCTAATAGTTCGGCGTTTGTGATGGGGATTGCTTGCTTAAATCTGGCTAATTGTCGAAGGTATTCTCTATGCCTCTTTGGCTGAGATAACGTCGGCTCGTATTCTAAACATCCAACAACGTCGAAAATCGTGTCGTCGCTGAACATAACTTCGAACAATGCATTTTTATTGAGTAAGAAAATATTTTTGAATATATCATAAAGATGATGTAATCCCTCGATATTCTCCAAATCTTCGCATGTGTGAAAGAGATTTAGCAATTTCTTAATGTAACCCTCAGATTCCAACGCGACAGCTAACTTTTCTTTTCTCATCGGTGAGGTTAAACAATTCTCTATGAGCTCATTAATATCTTCCAATCGGCTAAGTTCGCACGGAGGTAATTCAATTGGTGGTGCCGCGTCTGACATATCATCGAACCGTTCATCTTCAGATTCCTCTACGATATCTTGAGTAATTTCTACTGATGGATCCTTGCCTTGCACCTGACAAATCTTCTCCCATATCTCGTCACAGCCAGCCTTCTCTTGAAAACTTAAGGCTAAGTCAAAATTGTCTCCTTCTGACCATACTATTAGTGTGTCCTGAAGTCATACAAATATCAATTTATGTAAATACATATACATGAGCACCCATATACATATACACACATATATGTATATATATATATATATACATATATGTACTATAATTTTTTAATTTTTTATTGTCACATAAATCATATATTTAATGTATTAATATTTAAACAACAAAAAATAATTTGCTCTGTGTAATTATATCAAATCAAATACGTACTTTGTGGTAAACAATTACTTTATAATATCAAGACCTGACATTTTCATATGTTTATTTTGACATATTTGACTGGTACTTGTGTACACAACAAAAGATACAATATAAGAGAACATATTTTCTAATTGGTTGTTACCTGTTGTTTCTGATATGCTGTATCAGGTTGTATTCTACTCTCCAATAAAACAGAGCCATCGCTTTCTGCTCTTACCAACAGAGAAATCCCCTTTAATCTATCTACATAGGAAGATGATACATGACCAGTTCCACGATCATCCCACTGTCTATCTGCATTAAGCGCATATAATTTTACTCTTCTTCGTGTGTCTGTCATATTGTAAAACTAATTGATACACTCCTTCCCAGATATTATCACCAGCTATCCCGCATGCCTTTTCTAGGTTTGCTGAATCTTTGGCCCACTCGGTGTTTATCTTTACAATAAAAATATTTCAAATGCCTGTCAGATTAATAAACGCACAGAAACCCAGATATGTTAAACCTCTGTACGCTCTAGTACAACCCATCAAGGTTTCTTGTTATTGCATTATTCACTACTGTGATATAAATGAAACGCTGATGTATACCAAATCTTTAGTAAAGAATGGTTCATACGTATGCAGTATACATATACACACACACACACACACACACATACATACACATACGAGTCTTTTAATATATATTTTTTCCTCTTTCTTCTCCTTCTTCTCTCTCTCTCTCTCTCCCTCGCTCTGATTCTATGTACCTTTCCTTCAATCACTCAATCAAGGAAGGAGCGTCAAAAGAGACGACTAACGGTTCCAGCCGGAGTCTCAGGTAGCAAACAATATATACGTTTACATAAACAATATACACTTAGCTCACAACACCATTCAGTGGACGATGTCGACTGGGATGTGAGGGATGTGCGCAATCGTGTCCCGTGAAGGAGCGATAATTTACTGCATTGCAAGTTATACGAACAGCAGCCTGATGAACAATGGAATGAGAGCGTCATACGGATATCGAGAGTCGTGTCTCCAGGATCTCCCACGATGCTACGACTATTTACCAAGGTGATTGCGCACAGATTGTATGTCGGATAAAACAACTGGGCCCCAATCTACAGGTAGAATCACCGGGGAGCTCCCTCGACGACGGCGAGCGCGCGGGAAAATTACGTGATAAACGTACAATCCCGTACGTGCAGCGTAGTCCCGCGCTCTCTCACGTGTAGCGATCCGCGACGACCAGTCGCACGATATCAGATACTACTTGCGGTGCATATGAGCACAGTAAACAAGATGACGCGACCACCCCACGACGTGCGATACTTCTCAATCGTCGGCGAACGTTGGCCGTTGCTCCGTGTGTGTGCACTTTCTCACTACCTCTGTGTATGATGCTGTCGCCGCGGCCGCGGCGAACGAAGATCCGTGGCGAGGATGTTGGCTGCCGCGTTGCTGCGATGTGGAAACACGACGATCTTATGCGAATAATCGTGCTGGCCGGTCGCCGGCTCGCATCGCCGTACGTTCAGTTGCCCCTGAGCTATTATCACTCTGAAACTGACATAGACACTGAGGCAGCCACAACACTACATTCCGCCATGTTAGATCATAACAACGCGCCACGGGGTCCACCGCGTGTGAACGCAGGGACTCTGGAGCGAAATACAAAATGAGCTCACGAACTGTTGCAGACAGCATCGTATTCTGATATCTTTCGGGTCAACTTTCGCTCATTTCCAGGTCGCCAACCAAATTACCGCTTTATTTTGAAGTGATTTGTAAGAAAAAAATTGGAACCAACTGTAAAACACAGGTGACAATTTCAACCAGTTGAAACTCTACTACGAGAGTAGAGTCTAAATCGTATGAAAATATACATAGCGTGCGATTTATTCGATGTTTTATAAGCTCCCAAACTTTTATCGTGCGTGCCTCCACTTGTATAATTCGTACGCTAAATTTCATTAACTTTATATTATTTCGAATTAGCGTACACTGTGTACCATATATATATGCCATGTCGATAGATCGAAAATTGGAAGTATGTATAAGAAACCGTACAATTACAGTAGTTACAGTGATAGGATGTATGTATGTACACAACATCACATGGCACAATATTTATGTTGAGGCCTTTACTAATTTTACCACCTGAACTATGACTGACTACAGGTATTAATCATGAACCTTTTTCCTTAGTTCGTAAACTCGTGAAATTTCTCATATGCTTTTGCATTAAACAATTTCCATTCTTCACGAGTTCATGCTAGAGGAAAAGATTCATGTTGATGCTTTGAACCGAGACCTGTGGTCTGTTCTTTTTAGCTGCACTGCGGAACTAATGCAATAAGTTAGAATGAGACAACTAATTTTTTCTCACTTTAACTTATTGCACCAGTTCATCAGTGCAGCTAAAAAGAACAGACCAATGGTCTGCAATAGGTGTTGTAAGCTGTAAGCCGTAAGAACTGACCAATTATAGCCGATTATTTTTGTAATAATCGACTGTGATTCGCCAATTCGCCAATACGGCTTACAACTTACGACACGTATTGTAGACCAGGCTTTAGGGCTACTTTCACCAAACTGCGCTTAACCACCGTTTCAGTAACTTTGTAGGATTCCAACCAAAACTGCTATTGGAGTTAGTGGAAAAAGAGGAATTAACAGCATATTCAGTTGGAATCCTGCAAATTATTAGAACAATTAAATTAACTCAAGTTTGTGATAAAAGTGGCCCTTAAATCCATATTTATAGTCGGATCTTATATTTAAAATCATCTTAAGTTCATCTTCAGATGCTATCAGCAACAAATGATTTTATTAACTACAGAGTATCTGAAGGTGAACTTAAATGGCTTTAATTATAAGACCTGACTATGGCCGGTATTCATAGTCGGATCTTATATTTAAGACCGTCTTAAGTTTATCTTCAAACTCTGTACAAAATATTTCATAGGCTATAGAGTGTCTGAAAGTGAACTTAAGACGGTCTTAAATGTAAGACCTGACTATGAATACCAGCCTATGAATACCGCCTTAGAATTACATAGCTAGTGTCTGTTTTTACCAATCTTGGTCAACCAGCTGGATGTTCCAACGGAATTGACCACTCGCTTGTCATTAATTAGAATTGACAAACGCGATTGGTCAATCCCGATGGTATAACCCAGTTGGTTAAATTTACCACTGTTGGTAGAAAAGGTCTCTTTTAATAGAAAATATAGATTTACACTGGTTACTTTTCGCAAGAAATAAATAGTTATATTGGCTGAATATTATCTTTAGATCATCTAGGCTTCTCTTTCTTTCCGAAGAACTTTTAACTAGTGTAATAAGTTAGAACGAGAGAATATATCTATTTCATTCTAACTTATTGCGCTAGTTCGAAAAAAAGGCAGACCTTATGATAGAAAGTCAGTTGTCCAATAGTGAGCGCCATCTATCAGAATTCAGGCTGATCAATCAGATAATTTCAATCTTTACTTTTTTACCCGCGATATTCAATTTTTAATATGCAGAGAATGATTCGAGAAAAAAATATTTTGAAGTATTTAATTATATATATAGTAATATATAGTAATATGTGTATAAAAAAGCTTCAAGTGTTCGAATTCAAAGCATTGAATGATTCGTATTCGCAGTTTGTCTTGATTTTATAAGGATGAGAAAATAACTTATTCACATCGTGATATGTTGAAGACCGTTTTGCACAGAAGAAACTTGCAAATATTAAAGCTCAGGGACAAAGAATACTCAAATGCATTTTATGCAAAGGATATCGAATTAATTTCATAATTACAAGGAATACTTTTACACAACTATAGAGTTTATATGCAAAGAAGCAAGAAGATCTAATAATATATACAGATAAAGATGTTTATATATAAATCTCAAAAGTAGAATACCAAAAGAACTAATTTTCCGTACTTTGTATTCGTGATAGTTTACAAAAAGAAAGACATCAATCATGTCGTTCCTATAAAATCATTCTTCCGCTTTTCTGATTATGATTGTGTCGACATCGTGGCTTCAGTTTGTGGTTTCGACGTTCGAGCTTTCAGTCTCAGTTGTTACTACATCTTGGATTTAACAGTCGCTAGAAGATCGTTTACATACACGTAAAGTTTATTTGCGCTCAATCCGTACGACCGATTTCGGAATTATTGTTTAAAAGAATCCTCTCGTCGGTTATCACGATCCTCAATTGTCATATCGGTCCGTCGCGTAATTGAGGCCGATCACTAAGCAAATTAAAGACTATTATGTTACATGATTTATCACACAATTTCATCTTTATTTATTCCGTCGTTGGCTGAGCCGAGAACTTTTGTAATCTGCGTTTGCGCAGCATTTCCTGCTCGCTCGAGGATTCCGTCTCAGTCCTAAATTCTAAATCTGACGTATTACTAAGCATCGATGTGTTTTCCTTTGACGTACTCGGAGAAGGAATGTCCTCCTTTGACGTGCTCGGAGTAGGAGCATTATCTGCCTTAGTAGGTGTATTTTCGGCATTCACATCAGCGCTCGCATCTGCCGCACTGGCCGTCTGCGATTTGGTCATCGCAGACATATTTGACGTTTCTGACGTATCGTCGGCGTTGCTTGTAGTGTGCATGGGGATACTGCACACAAACAATTTTGTGTCATATTACTTGTAGATACATTAGTTATACATACATTACCGTTCATATTCAAGCATATTTCACAATCGCTTCAATGATCGCTTCAATACAATCGTCTCATTTAAAGGTAGCTCAGTGTAATATTGGAGCAATATAATCTCGATCACTTACTTGGCTGTAGCAGCTGCTCTCTGATACTGATTCATCATCGCGTTAGCAGCATCCAGTAGAAGTTGAATTCTTTGCAATGTTTGTATTCTCGCTTGAACAGCCTGCCGTAAATTACCCTCCATCGCTTGAAGTTCCTCTTCGCTCAGTTCAGTTAAATTCGGTGGTGGTACAGGAATTGGTGGAAATGGTACCAAAGTAGGAAATAGCGGTGGAAGAAGCGGTATATTCCCAGGAGATATGATTTGAGGTGGTGAGGTACTTCCAGCTCCATTATTTTGAGGTTGCTGTTGTTGCTGTTGTTGTTGTTGAGATTGTTGCTGCTGCTGCTGCTGCTGCTGTTGTTGCTGCTGTTGTTGTTGAGGTGGCGCCCCTGGTCCTGGTAACCCAGCCCAAAATACTGGAAAGTGGAAAGGAGGCGCTGGTCCTGTATTAAATATGAATTATACAAGTAAACAATTATTTCTCATTCGTAAAAAGAATCACTAAATCGAAGATCATAAGGAAACACAAGAAAATTGTACCAAGAGGGTTGACTCCAGCAGGTGCTTGTTGAGGCTGAGGTACTTGTGGTCCTGGAGGTCCTTGAGGAGGATTATGTTGTCTAGGCGTTGAATTGCTTGCTGCTGGTCGCAAAATATTCAAACGACACGTCGGGCAAGTTTGTTGACGTTGAAACCACGAACGTAAACAAGCAGTATGGAAGATGTGATTACAGGGTAGCTTTTTACTAGCTGCAACCATCTCCTCCCTATATATCAGTATAAGACATTTTAGAATTGCGTAAAAAATGTTAATTTTTTACTAAGTACAAGTTACTCACCGGCATATAATACAAACATTATCAGCAGCAGCTAATTCCTCAGTTGTTGCATCTGGATAAAGTGTATTCATATTTCTAATAGCCCTTCGAGACATTACAATATCATGGAAAGCTTTCTTAAAGTCTCGCATTGTATAATACATGGGACGCAGTGCAAACAGAGGTAATGTAAATAATTTGATCATCAATGTCACAAAGGCAACATACAGAATGACCTGGCAGAAAAAATACACATTCATTTTGATTATCAAGACAGATATAAATGTAAATAAATGTAAATAAACTAGTATATATTTTCATACTAATTACCTTTAACAACCCAATAATCAGTTCTGTGTACAACAAGAACACTGGCTTATTGTCCCATGGATTTTCACTTTGCAGATCAATGGTATGTAATATATACTTTACAGCAATATTAAAAACAACAGTTAACAAAATTGCATATTCAAAACCAAATACTAGCTGCACAGAAGGACCTTTGGCAGCTGTTGTGTTGTATGCATAATGTATCATTGTTAAATTAATAGCGAATAAAAGTCCTAATAATGTGCCAACTCTAAGGTGGAATAACCACGTTATCACTGGGCTTCTTTCCATCTAAAAGATAAACACATTACAAACAAATTAGTCAAATATTTACATACTTTATATATGTTTCTTTTATGACAAGTTGGAACTTACATAATCAACACGGTCTTCTGCAAGCCAATGAAATGATTTTAAAAACAAAAGGAGAGTAAATAATGCTATAAACTTTGGGCTGAAGTCATCTCTGAATACCGTGAATGCCAAGCATGTTTCTGTCACTGCGTACCACACTTTCTCCACCAAGTGCTGCAAAGAAACAATGTCAATGTTATCCACGACACATTGGTGAATAAAGCAACAACGTGATAATTAATAAGCAATCTAAATACATGAGAGAACAATTACTTACCTCAAGCTCGGCAGCGCGCAGGGTGCCGAAGAAAACCTTTCGCAAGAAGGCGTTCATCATGAAAGCAAGGATGAATCCTTGCGCGTAGATCACCTGAGGAGTACAAAGTAACACGTATGTAATGGTGACAGCAGTGCTGTCATGACTGACTGTTATCGTGTTTTACCACGTATACAAGTGATAGAAATATCACACGAGAAGAAAACTCACGGTCATACTCGGGTTGGATTTGGTTATGTGAACCACCGTAGGATAGAATTGTTTTCTCTGATAATATGCATTACCAATAACAGCACACGTTAGCACGGTGCTTATTAACATAATCACGGCCTCCCTCATTTTTGCAAACACAGCCACTTTCCCACGTCAGCCCACGTTGGCTGGCGTTGGTTCACCAAGGAGAAATCGGGTTGACACTTATCGCACGGAGAATTTTACTACTTATTCGACGCTTTCGTTAGTACTCCCGGACAGCTGTGTGTAACGTGTTGTACAATACTGCGCGCTATCGACGATATTAAACAACGTGGCGCTGATAGCGTCGCGGCAATCTTTGAAGTGCATATCACCATATATAACGCACGCTCGAATGATGTAGTGTTTCTTCAGCGATGAGACGAGACTATCACTTCCTTTCTCTTTTTGCAAAAAGACCGCAACAAGTGACCCGACACATAAAATTGCTTTTTACATATTATAATTTGTGTGCGTGTGAGCGTCATGTCATGTTGCCTCATACGTGAAATGTCAACCACTACGTGTTTTGACAGAAAGCCAAGGCCACGTGATTGGTCACGCATCTGATTATCATGTTGAACCACGTGGACGATCGTGATTCTCATTTCCAATAACGGTGCTGCTATGTATAATCATTGTAAGGTTTGAAATTAAAAAAAGAAAGAAAACTTAAACAGATGGAATACTTCTCACGGATAAATTGGCAGGGAAACGTATATGAATACGCAACGATTCGAATTAAAGATCTGCCAAAAGGTATATTTTACGAGTAGGTTCAATCATAGTAATTATTCATATTACTAATCCGTGCATTAATGAAACAGTACGAATATTGCAATTGAATTCAAAGTTGTCATGTGGATGACGGTGAATATAATGAGGAACACATGTAAATAAGCAGATACATGCAATGACTAGTCTTAAAAAGTAGTACTTCAAGTCGGGCGTGTGCCTTGTACAATCTATAAAAGAAGCGAATAATTCATAAAATTATGGAGGTGTATAGTTCACAAGTGCGACTTACAATCGTATCACTTACAACTATTCGCTCCGCTTAAACAATGCTATGCTTAAACAATGCAATGCAGTTTTAAACATTCGTATTTAAACTATCAGTTTTGAGAACACATACTATCCCTATAGCAACGCTTGTATATTCTGTTAATAGTATCCAATGTACTAGGAACACCACAATATACGCTATATAGTTACAAAAATATATATATATAAAAGAGTTATACTTTCTTAAGATAACAATTCTAGAGATACAGCACATCAATTCAACATGCGATATTTATTACATTTTTATACTCTGTGCATCTCTTTTGTTACGTATGCATACTGAGAGTTCTCGTCTTCAATATACTTTTTGGACTCTGACGTTTGGGAGTTCCTAATTGCGCTGTCGCTTTCAACGGTGTTCTGCGTGTCTCAACCGGTGGTTTACGCATTAATTTGGTACTTTTCGGTGTTTTGACTGTTAAAGGTCGCTTAATGTGCGGAGTTTTGCTAATATCTGTCTTGTAAGGATATAGACTCGAATTTTGCGATGCTGCCTCGATGGGCATTTTCATCAACGGCGATGTTTTCATAGCAGCGTTTTCCTTCTGATGAATTTCCACATCACGTGCGATGTTAATAGTTTTATCCTTAACAGAAATCTGATACGAAATCGGATCCTTGTTTGACAATTTCTGACTTTGTATCTCGAAATTCTGCGTGGCACAGTAATTTTTGTCCGTATGTTCTTGAAGCGGTTTCAATTGAGTAATTGTTACATGTGTCTTTATCTGTGGTGATGACGTATTTGCAGATGTCGCGACTGGATAGTAATTTTTACCTTTCACCTCCTTGTTGGATTGTTTTCGAGATACTTGTGTCCTCTTATACGACTGCTTGGAATGTTCGACGTTTACGTCAGTTTCTTTAGCTACATTTGAAGAACGTTTTACGCTTACATTATCGCGACAATGTTTCTTGTTTGGTACGTTCACCGTTGACGTAAAGTCAGATGTTTTAGTGGTGCATTCATCAAATAATTTTGCCTTAGCTAGCACCATACCGGCATTTTGCGCCCGAAGTTTTGCGACTGATGCTCTACCAGTCTGTGGAGCAGGTGTATTTATTTTACACACCGATTTAAAATATCTATCCGCATCTTTCCAAGATATCTCATTCGAGCCTTCGGTAACATTATTGTCTCTTTGTAAACAGTCGTTATTTAAGACTATATTCTGATGACTATTAGACTTTCTTAAGTCATCCATTTTTTTATCAAAGTAGGATGAATTATCTACAAAGTCTTTTCCATGAAAAGATGATGCTCTGCGCACAGATGAACTCACACGGTTATTCGTCAAATGTAGCTCTTTAAATCCGGATAAATTTGAAATGCTATTGTTCGAAATTTTGTGCTGTTCTGAACGAGAAATCAGTGTGTTTACTTGATCACGCAAACAAGCTATCTCATCTGTTGCACTATCAGATATAATTTCATTGGATCTCGCCGTAGAATAGAATTGTTCCTCCAAGAATTTGCTGGCAAACGTCGATTGTTTTTCGATGGGATAAATGTTCACTTGTTTTTCCAGTTGGATATGATGTTGCAAATTGAATTCCGGAGATACATGCCACGATGCGGTTCGTCTAACACGTTTGCTGCAAAGATAAAATATTTAATTCAATTTCTGATGTCTGATCTATTTTTATACACTAATATTTAACTTTTGATTCGAACAATGTATTTTATTTTCTAATAAAAGTATCATATATATTTTAAAATTTGTGATCATTTTGCATCGACATATTAAATGATGGAATTATTTTTTTAATCACCTGGTAATTTTCTCCTGCGAGCGTCTTCTTAATGTCCCAATTTTTCTTGCGCTAGGGGATCTTATTATTTTATGTTCTCCTGATCTTCTAATCTTTAATTCTTTACTCAGTTTTTTTGCTAAATAATCACTTGTCAAGGTATTTTCGATACTAGCTTCTTCTAATGTTTTTTCATATGCCGTCTGCACTTTGTTTACCGAATGCGTAGTTATATCGTTCTCCTGATTGTATATATTTCCAAATTCCTGTGAAATACGCGATTCAATCGCGGAAACTCGATTTTTTATATCTTCGTACTCGCTTTTAGGAATTCTGACGTAATCATCTTCACAGTGATCGCTCGATGATGAGATCGTGTCAGTATTGGGAAGAGATGTATCGAATTCTTCCAAATCAGTCTTTTTCTGTGGAATCAACAAACATATGTTGCCACTTTCATCTGTAGCATCTAGTTTCTTCAAGCTCGTGTTTACCTCTATATGCCACTGCTCGCTATTTCTGTGATGTTCCTCATTTACAAATTGCCCACTGCCATCGTCCGATAAATTCACATTAGCATCGATAAACACATTGTCGTATTCCTGAAGCAAATCATCGTTTGATGGTTCATCATTTTTCATAAATTTTAAATGCGATATCCCGTCGTTGTATTTCTGCATTTTACATGCATCAGAAGAATTATTTATTGAACTCCAACGTCTTATCCGTACGTGCGGTTTATAATTATTCGTAAATGAATCGGACAAGTCCTCGTCAGTATTTTTCTGAAAATGTTTGACCCAAATGATTACTGGAGCCATTTAACACATTTAATCAAGATACAAGAAGCTGATACATGTGTGTGTGTGTGTGTGTGTGTGTGTACTTACTGGTTTATTTTTAGGTACAAATTTGTCCAAACTCAGTCTTATTTTCTTTGATTTATCTAGTTTGTCAGCCACTCTTCTGAAACATAACAAATTCATGTATATTTTTTAATGCAATCTCAACAACAAAATTGCAAGTATAAGATGCAAAATAGCAGAATAACAAATTTGGTTTCATACTTTTTCTTTACACTTGGAGCATCCATTCTCTCTGCTACTTTTCGCTTTTTGTTAAATTTAACTAAAGGCACTGTTTGCTCTGGATGTGTAGGAAGCTGTTGATGGTTGATACTAGGCACATCATCAACACCTTTCCCAACAATTTTTTTCAATCCATTGAACATTCCTGTGGAAAACACACATATACATATTGCAAAGTATAAAAGATGTATTACATATAATAAACAATGTTATATTTGCACTATACTATATATAAAAATATGCATAGCAACATTATCATTATCTTAACATTCATTAAATTTAAAGAGAATAATGTTGAGTATTGTTAGTCTTGTTAATCTTATAACTTTATCGATCTTATCAATGTTAATAATAAACATGGATATTTGATATATATAGAGTACGGGTTAATAAATACATGCATAGACATACTTAAATTCAGATTGGTAGCACTTAGATGTGGCTTACGTGTAAGACTTCCACTACGATGTTTCTTCTTTTTAGATTTTCCAAGTAGTTCAAATGAATCTAATCCATTATCTGTACTACTACTTGTTTCCATAGAGATACTTTGTGCTATGTGAGATGGCAGAATACCAATATTTTGTGAGTTTTCAATTAAAATCTGTAATAAAAAACATCTGTATATCTGGTTATTTTTTTATCTAACAACATATCTAAAAAAAAACACACCTTGATGATAGTCAAATGCATTTGCAATCTGTTTTGTACAGCCGACATACTTGTGTCTCTCAAAGGCATGATATTTGGTCCGACAACTTTCGCCAAGTTCTCAATACTCATCTTATTTTGCTTCTCATGCATGGAGACCTTTTTTAAGAACTCCATAAAAAATGCTAAAGTATTGAGATGATATGGCGGTAACAGTGCACATGCTAGCAGCAATGCCTGTATTCGATAATTCTTCAGCAGTGCACAGTGTACAAATAGATCGTGATAAGTATATGGTATCAATGGTTCCGGCAGATCCCGAAAGAAGGACTTCAAGCAATTGGCAACGTCAATCGCGTGATTCTTCTCGCCTAAACTACCGCCGTTGTCCAAGCGAGACATCAACTCTCTCTGTCGCGCCTGAGAGCCAGCTTTCCTGAAGAGACCCTCCTGAGCGATATACTTCTCCAAGAATGTCGTAGCTTGAATCACAAACACGGGAACGTGAACAATGCCACCCGACGACAAATTCACGATATCCAAGGGTTGATAAAATAAGGGAGTCTTGAAGACCTTCTTAGAGATATCCTTGCAGACTTCGGGTCTTTCGCTTTTAAGCATACTCTTTTTGAAGCGATACTTAACCCCGAAGCCCCTGAGATCATTGGCAACGATATGATAAACCCTTTCCTTGTGCAACACATCGTAGATCAACATCTTCCCAGGGTAACACAGTGCAATATTAGTTTCATACAAGTCTCACGATGAGTCGCGTCCAGTGAGAAATTACGAGCAAATCAACATCATTCAATACCACGTACAGTGTACATTTTCAAACATCCGTTTCGTATTGAATTTGACACTCCTTCAGTACTGCCAACATTCGATCGGCAATAACGAGCTTCTCTCGATATCCGCGCATCGCAATATTATGCGAGACAGCTTCTAGTTCCTTTTTTTTACCGTTGATAGGTCAATTCGTGAGTGCGCCACTATTTCCATTCGCCCCGCTCTCTTTCTGGCCGCGAAGCGCGAGGGGCACATGCGTATCTGCCCTGGCAGAATGCTTCGTCCATATGAGTCTTCGGTCCGTGGTCGCGAGCAGATTTCGAAGAATGTGACTCCTTTCGCGACTGCTCGTGACCGTTCGATCCTCTCGCCTCGTCGCCCCTCATCCGATATTCTCGGATGCTACATTTTTAGACGCGCGGTCGACGGGGGGACATTATCCGCTGACGGCTGACGGATATAGATCTCGACTGCGACACTCTGATGTGACTGTCTGATGTGACTGTCGAGAGACGCGAGATTACGCCGTGTGACAATCCGGGAGGAAGATCGTGCATCATCCGCCTGTCATCTCTGGAATTCTACCGTCGTCTACGGACGACGGTCACATCTCGCTCTGGGCATTGTTGTTAATCGGAACGGACGAGCTGTCAGCTGAAGAGGGGTCGAAGGTCGTTTTCCATGCTGACCCGTCACGAGACCTTGACAATCGATAAGAAAGCATGTGTGTGCACGGACTCGTGAGTTGGCTCGGAGCGTCGAAGGACTCGGCGGTGCGCGAATGGCTCTCCTTCTCCACGAGACTAGAGGTGACTCGACGGACGCGATCGCGAGGTTAGACGATCACGCATGAAGAACCATGAAGAGTCCCGCGACGTCCCTGCAACACTTGAATGGGGGGACCAACGCACATCCCGTCCCGCCGTCGCAGAGCTTGACGGCACCGGGCAGCGTCAAGTCTCGCTTCGTCAACGTCAACGCCAACGCCAACGCCAACGCCAACGCCAACGCCAGCAGCCACGCGACCACCAACGGTAGTTACCAAGTGGTGAAGGTGGCCGGACGGGAGTCCGGCTGTTACATCGCCAGCAACATTGTGCCCAGGGTCGGCAAGCAGCAACTGGTGTCCTTGAATGGAGACTCGGTTCGCTGCGACAGCGTGAACATCGACGAGGCGTTGGCATGCGACGTAGCGCCTGTGCCGCCTGCGACGAGGACCAAGGCACTATGTGTGCACATCCGGGAGAACAAGTGGTATGACGCTGGCAATATAGTTTCCGTGGGAGTCGCGGGAACCAGCCTGAATCATGCTCTGGAGAGCATGTCCTTGGCGTACAATCCTAGCACGAAACAGCTGTACTCTGTAGAAGATACTAAGGCGCCTCCTCTTGGCAGTGCGCAGATTGACTGCACTTCTCAATACTTAGAATCTCCATGTAACGGTAAGGAACGATCCGGCTCCAGCGTAAAACTGGTCGACTCGGATAGATATACGAAACTCGAGAACGTTAGCGCAAACAGTAGTCCGAGGAATAGTCTGCCTCGATCGTGTAGCAGCACAGTGTCTTCCCTTAGCGAGATATCACCCTCAGGTAGCTTTCTGGGATCCGACGAGCAACAGCACGTTGTAGAGAAGAACGACAAGACCAAACGTTGGGGATTAAATTCGCTGTTCACGAAGAATGTGTTCTCATGGAAGAACAAGGGTTCCCAACAATCGACGCCTACCAGTAGCCCGTCAAGAAGTGTCGATAAGGTAGGCGGTAGTACAGCTTTAATTCAACAGCCGAGACCAGCGAATCTGCCGGCTAAGAACGCGCTGGAGGAGGAACGCCATCGTAAGCAATACACTGCTATTTTAGAGGCAGCAAAAAAGAGAGAATTGCGCGAGGAGAAAGAGCGCAAGCAACAACGAGAATCACAGCTCAAGGAGGAAGTGAGATTAGCCGAGGATTCTAACACGTGGAACGTGTACGTCCTACCGAAATTCGAAAGTGTTAAGAACACGAGAAAAGTAAGGGAGCTGTGGTGGCGCGGTTTGCCGCCGAGTGTACGCGGTAGAGTATGGAAACTAGCGATTCCAAATAACTTAAATGTAACTCCGCACCTCTATAATCTCTGCTTGGACAGGGCGATGTCGAGCCCTACCAACGAGTCATTAGCTGCAATCAGATTAGACGTATCTCGTACCTTTCCTACCTTATGTGTCTTTCAAGAGGGTGGACCACTATCCGACAGCCTTCAGGGTATTTTGGCAGCGTATGCCGTATACAGACCGGACGTGGGCTACGTGCAAGGAATGAGTTTCGTCGGTGCGGTATTGTCGTTGAACATGGAACCACCGGACGCCTTCGCTTGCTTCGCTAATCTGCTAAATCATCCTTGTCACAGAGCCGCCTTTACATTGGACCAAAAGAGAATGAACATTTACTACAAGGTATATTCCAGTGCTCTTGCGCATAAGCTGCCAAAAATCTTCTCCCATTTCACCGTAGCCGGATTGAGCCCAGACTTGTATCTGTTAGATTGGTTGTACACGATATATGCCAAAGCAATGCCTCTTGACGTCGCATGCAGAATCTGGGACGTCTTTCTCAGAGACGGAGACGAGTTCCTCTTTAGAACGGCGCTCGGGGTGTTACACTTGTATCAAGAGGAGTTACTGAAGATGGACTTCGTGCGTGGCGCTCAGTTTCTCACTAGATTACCGGAGAATCTACAGGCGGAATCATTATTCAACAGTATTAGTCAAATGTCTACTACCGTCGGGACAACGACGTTCCAGCAAATGTTGATTCAATTCTCGTCGTAAGCGAAAATGCGTCGGGAGATACAGCGAAAATTGAATTTGAGGTACCGCCTTTATTATTACGGTTAGGGGAAAAGCGTGTCTCTCTTGAAGAGATGCGCATATTTGTTACATATATTTATTATTGTTTAGTATTGAACATTTTTCATTTCTTTTTGGGATCTATATTTCTACCAACATAACACGCGAGATTGATGGCGTTCATTTGAATGGCTCGTGGATATATACTAAATATCCCAATGAAGCATCTGAATTATTATTTATTCTAAATTTTACTAACTTAATATTGTTCGAAACTTTTGTCCCGCGATGGACGTAAAGACGATAATGTATCTAATCAATTGCATAGAAAATTGGATCATTTTCATGGAAAGTCACAAAAAATATATGTATATATACATATGTAAATGAATGAATTTGTTATAGAAGTCATATTTTTCATGTAAATAATATAACTGACTGTTTCTCATTTGGTTGTAGATATGTTCTTGTAAAGAGTGAAATTAGAAAAAATGATCGGAATAGATCCTCAATGCTCTATCAAGTATATTAGATCTGTGCGCACTTTGCATTCTCTTTTAGTGTTTTCCGAAATATGACAAATATTGTATTTGTAACATCTTGGAAAATACTCTTCAATATACGGGAAACACAGAGATAGAGAGAAAAAGAGAAAATGTGTGTGTGTGTGTGTGTATGTGTGTGTATGTGTGTGAGAGAATACTATATCGTTAGGTTCCAAGTTTAGCTCAATTGTATATATTATATTGTTTGTTTTATTCCTCACCGGTTTTGCTATATCAATAGCAGTTTTACTATTAAAAGTTTATATTAAATTTTTAATAATTTGTGATATTTAAATGACCGAGATGCATCAATTTTGCTTCACGTACCGACATACAAATCGCGATACCACACGCAGCATCGTGCATTCCAACATTGAGATAAATATCGGTCTATATACTTTTTATGTACCTATTCAATTTGTGCTGGAAACCATCTCTCTTCAACGAACGAAGAGAAGTATATACTCGGACAACAATATTATATTCGATATACCGTCACAACAGATATTATATACACGTAAATGCATATAATCTCATTCGTGCATAGAATTTAGACACAATTAAGTGAAAGAAAAGATGACGCTCGCTATGAAGTATTTAATTGCTATCTACAAACTCTAAATATGCTGATGTATTTACGACGATATAACACGAAAGACACCTAACGAAATACTTGAGATTACGTGCCACAAAACATATATTTCATATGAAAATTTTAATCGAATATCAGCTTGTGTGCAGACGCGAGGCTAAATAGTGCAAACGTAAAGATATAATAAGGAAATGAATTAACGAATTTCTAATGCGAATCTTTGATAACTAATTAAAGATATTGCGTTAGGTATTTATGCCGTGAGCATATTACCTTTGCGATTGCACGTTTATTTCCTGGAACATGTAACGAGTTAGGTTTTTTTGCGCAGTTCTGGAGTTCTTCCCGACGAATCGATGCGTGCTGCTTGCATTATTTCGCTTCGTTATTTTTAGTCTTCGGTACTCATGAATAAGGTGCTGAGTATGAGATTATTACAATCAAGCGTGTGTGATAAGAAAAGTTCTGCGATATACGCGACGCGGCGAAAAGTTTCACCGACTTATGCGTTTCGCGTTTCGCTTAGTATTTAATTAAGTGGATATATTTTCTCTCTTCGTTATTGTACGGCAGTCAGCTTGGTTTGAAACAGCGAAATCTTATGATGTCCCGTCTTTTGAGTGGCCTTCATAACGAAGATAGGATAAATTCGAGGTTTAGGAACATATGAGAACTTTCTATATGTAATTACCGAACCTTATCTTTCTCCTAAGGGAATAATCTCAAAGGTGTATTTTCATACAATCTAACTGCAATAAGCTTATTGTGTGTGCTTGTTGTGCGTATCTATTTAATACGGATGTGTGCGGAATAAAGGGATTTTTTAGTTCTTACTAGATATCCACGATATCTCAGAATGACAACTCAGAGTCACAAGCACATCGCGATATAGCTGCGTATAGCATGGCTTGGGAGCTTGAAATTTTACGGAAAATATAGAATATATCGTCTCACACCTACCGGTATAAAATTATATATTCAAGTACATATATCACTTTTATATTAATGGGACAAGATGGAAACACGGGGCTGGGAGTTATAGAAGCTGTCGAATTGCTAATTGCTGAAATGACGCGAAACAATCATCGCGGTTCGTTGAGTTTTCACTTGTCACTTTGAAACGAGATTACCTGAACTTGTAGCGCTGCTTCGTGGTGGTTATTTATTTTATGTGAACAAGAAAGAAAGAAAGAAAGAAAGAAATAGCGGACGACGTATCCGCACGCGTTAATTGTGCAGATTTTGCGTATATATGCGAGAATAATAATTTGCGGGACACCGGCGCACTGCGGCGACACATATAATATATGTTTTATATGATTCACGAAGGTCGAGACGACGAAAAAAAGGCGGACACCTAGTCTCGAGACGTGAGCTCTGAGCGAAACTCGCTAGTAATATCCTAGTTTTTAATCGACAATACTCTCATTCCATCCACGCTCTATTCCAAATTACTATACTATTTAGCTATCACAAATGATAATGAATAAGTTTATAGATGTACATAAAAAAAAGAAGCACAAACGAGAGATAAGATGTGGTTTAGATTAGCGCACGATGAATCAAGTTATTTCGAGACTCCGGACACTTGAAAAATTCAAATACGTATATATATAGAAACAAAACGCGCGCATGTGCTACATGCCGCAGACTTTTCCGTCGATGATATGAGAGATTAATTAATTAATGTCCCATTGATCGATCTTCGTATGTGCGGTATGATCGATAATGGACACTGTGTGGTAATTCTCTAATACTTTTCTTTGATTAAATTTAATCGACCACACGATGCGTTGATCTGAAATTATATTTTACGTTGATTGTCTATGCCGTTGAAATGTCAATGTAATGTCAAACGTGTCCAAATATTTAAAAGTATGTGCGATCTGTATGTGTGTCCAATTATATATATATATATACGTATATATATATATATATATATATATATATATATATATATATATATACGTATATATTTTCGTTATTGCGAATCTCTCGACTTTTTGCGTCGTGAAGTGCGCGACGGATTATAAGTGCGCGAAGAACCTGCGGATTTTAGTCGTCACGCTCGTATAGTTTTACATGCACCGACTTTACAACTTTCCGATTGTTTTTTGTCTTTTGTTAAAGTATCATAGATTTACCGGCACTTTTGCCACATGTCCTGAAACTCTTGGAAATAAATACGATTATAAAGCGTATTTATTTGTACGCTACCGCGTACGTCTCTCCGTTTCGCGCGTTACATAATTTTTATGAAATAAAATTACGACGATGTGCCAACCGTACTGTGGTTGTGGAAGCAAGGAACGAGAAGACTATTCGCAAGAAGAAAAAAAAACGTCTCCGTTTATATTACGAGTGTAAAAAGACCGTCGACTTTTGTAATCATCAATTAGATCGAATTACGCCGATGAGCTAATAGCCATCGATAATCGTAATAGAATTATTTAATTTTAATACGATGAACGAGAGCGAAACACGAGCGACAAATTGAAATGTTTAATTCTACGAGAAGGGGGTGTAAAACTTTATCCGTTACGAGATTGAAATAAAGCGCGAGAATCTTATAATTTGTCCGCCTTATCGATTTAATACATACAGTCTCTATAATTCGGATCGTAATTATAGATACGATTTACTATAAACAGAAGTGTATGTATGTGTAATTGTGTGTATATGTGGCGTATGCTTGTATATGTGTTAATCGCGTTAAAATACTTGTAGGAATATCCTACGTTTCGCCTTCGAAATACACAAGTATGCAAAATGCATATTTCAAATTATTATTCTTAAATTATTTTCGTTTCTCATCGCGGAAACTATATCGAAGAGGGGGCGGGGCGATCGATTGTCTTTAAGTTCACAAGATATAGTTTTATAAGTAATGTAGAAACCTCTATTTATGTTCAAAATAGTCAAATGTTACTGTCGTGGATATATCGTAGATGCAAATAATACTTACGGATATACCTACGTGTATTTTAGGCTTTTAAGTTCTCCAACTTAAAATCGAACATACGATGCCTAAAAAAGACGATACGATAAACAAACAATATAAGTGCAAAAACGTTAAGAATATGTGCACGAACAACCATACATGCACTATGTGACACTTCTGTGTTCCTTGTCGTTAGTGCCTCGATAGAGGAACTCACATTGTATATTTTATACGCGTTTTATCGTGTACATTTACCTTAAGTGCAATATTGTAATATATATTTTCTAAAGAATCGATCCCAGTATTTATTTTGTCAGATTGTACCTATCGGTAAACATGTAAAGTATACATTAGAGACGTTAGTACACGAAGAAAGAGGAAGAGGAAAAATAAGAAAATAAGAAATCTTCATATTTTTTAATACAAAATTGTGGAAGGAACGCGCGTTTTGCTGGGGAAGGACACGCATGGTCGTAAAATGACGAGTTTGTATTAGGAATTCTCAAATCTCACGGACTATTTCACACAAAACGACGTCTCTAACTATGCTTCTTATCGAAAGAATTCGTACAGTACTAAACGAGAACTCTGTATTATGTACATATAATCAACCACACGCTTGCTTCCCAATTTAATCGAGACATAAGGGTTAATCATATTTACCGCAATAGTGTATAACGACCATTTTTATATCGTGTAATATGAACTACGAATGGAAAACACCGAAGAATATATATTAACACGCGTAATAAGGAATATTGTAAATGACGCCGCCAGCAACATATCTCTATGGACGACTTCTTTTCCTATATGAATAAAACTATGCTCTATGACATTGAATTTGTATCTTTATTTAGCGAGTAAAGATGCACGATTATCAATATTTGAACGGTTAGATTGTAAAATGCAATTTATAGAAATATATATTGAACGACCGAAACAGTTAGAACTAATGTCAGTATTCTTTAATTATTTATAAACTCTATTTATAATCATATGAGACCATTTCTCTCAGAGTTGACGGTCTTTAATAATGAATCCGGTGAATTCTATTCTCAATACAACATTGCATATTAGTGTGGACTTTCTGTGTTGCCAACGATATCGTTTATTTTAATACTTTGGATAATTATCTTGAACATTTTGCATACTGTGTGTATATATATTTACGCAATTTATATATATATATATTAAATAAACAAAATTGAATTATATAAAATAAAGGAAGAGAAACGTGATTAATCGATTCGTGTTGTATCGATCATATTGAAGCTTCGAGAATCTCAATCGCTACGATATTCAATCAGGTGGAAATAGGCTGCGTTCCGAAATTCACTGCCAGTACTGAAAATACATAGTTTGTGTCACGTATACTATAGAATTTCAGTGCTAGCAAAAAAAGTTTTAGAAACGAATATCGAGAGTTACGAGCGAAAAGTTGCGCGTCTGTCGTGTCGTATCGTCAATGTTCAATTCATCTGCACTGAGTGCGGTTCACTGCTCTTCCGACCATTCAAAGGAGAATTTCGTACATGAATTATTGTCATCGAAAATATTAGAGGTAAGTTTTATATGTCCGTCATAGCAAAAAAATATAATATTTCAAATACTAAGATTATCTTAAGCGTATTCAACGCGTATTATACGTATTATACGTTTCGCGTATTTCAACTTGCACGCTTTAATTTTCCATGATTTCGACTGATTATAGGCGAGTCTCATGCTTAAATTATTGTCAAAAGTACCGGAAATAACTCTTATGCATTCGTCATAACAAAGTATCGCCAAATATATCGCGCCGAACATGAATATTTCGCGGTCGAAAGTACCGAGTAACACATCGCGCGTCCGTTACATCATGGCGTTCGGACGTCGCGATTTGTATCTTCGATCTACCAAAGAGATCTCGAGCGTGAATTATCATCGGGAATGCCACGGACAAGTTTCGTGCGTTTATCGGAGCGAAATCTCGTAAAAAGCCACCAAATAAGAATATCTCGCGAAAAATGTTTTCGGAATTCAAACGGTGCACGTTATCTACACTTTGTGCATCTCGAGAGTACAATATTCAATCAGTTATGGCACGGATCGCGATGGAACAGTCATTCGCGTCCAAGAAGTCGGTCTACCTTCTTTAAAATTTAGATTCACCGGATGCGAATCTCGCACGTTTGTGGACCGAAATATCGCCGAGTAGTCTCTGAAAGCGAACGTGTCTCGTATGAGAATATTGAACAAGTCCGCGTGTCTTGGCGGTTAGAGGTTTAAGTGACAGTAGCCTGCGTTCGATCCGAAAGAAATGTCGGTAAGTAAAGTCAATAAAGCCAATAAAGATCGATGTGCCTGCGACTCTCGTGTGGCAAATCTACGTTACATGCGATATGTTAATAACCGGCTCACTCGGAATCAGGTTAAAATTTGGAATTAGACGCAGGTGCCACCAATAGCTCTTGTCGGAGAAAGCCATCGGTAATGTCGTTATTTCCTGCTTGTTGGTAACGGCTTGTCGCGCTTGGTTGCGGCTTGTCGATAATTTTATTTCTGGTCGATAATTTGTTGCAGTACTTTGGCAGAACACTAGAGGGTGGCACGTGACCCCATGGCAGCCAATCGACTCGTTTCATTTAAGAAGAGGCAATGGCGGAATCGGAATAGAAAAAATGCGGGAGGCGGGGAAAGAAGCTGATGTGGTGTCACGGTAATTCTGACGCGTTTGCATTTATTTCTCGTACAACTAATCACATTTATTACACCACAATACACGACGGTACACTTAATAATTTAAGTCGAGTCTAAGTGATAATCGTGGTACAGTAGCAATCGATTAATGCGGAGGTATAAATAGCATACTTAACTGCGAGCACATCGCGTACAACTCTACGATATACTTGTGTTGCCGCTCGGTAATTCCGAATAAAAGTCGCGCCACTTTCCTAGCGCGGTGATCCTCGATGGGAAAACTCGTACGTGATATATCTTAAGTTGCGACGAAGTAATTATTTTGTTACATTCAATTACGTACAGGGGCACGGAGATAAATTGCCCGTTTTAACGTTATATATGTCGTACCTCTACGCAACATTCAGGAGTTGAAGTCAACAAAATGTCGGTCGTTCTCTCTCGCGCTACAACTCTTCCGAGATCGAACGATTAACATGACGATTTTTCATCCTGCTCCTCTGCTACCTTCGGTCACGGTATAGTTGGTGCTTGGCCGATATACCGCATGTGCGTTATTTTTCAGTCAACGAAACGTCGTGAGGAAAGAAGGTTACGTTGTATTTGTTCGTATAAATCTCTCTAACTACCGCGACTATTCGGGTTATCGAAATCGTTTTTACACGCGAAAATTTTAAAGAATTTTAACGATTTATAAACTGAGGTTTTCGTTTTTTTCTCAATAACATATAGTCGCTTAATTTTGACAACGTGGGAAGTGGCGATTTATAAACATTTGAAACCGTTTGAGGTGACAACATAAGAAATGATGATTTTATAAACATTTGAAAATGTATCACTCGATTGATGCAGAATGCCTCAGATGTATTTTATGTTTATACGAATCAAACGTACAAATTAAGTATAAGAAATAAAAGTTCATTAATTATAACATTTATAATTATATGTATAAATTAAAAGTTTATACATATATATATATTTTACTATATATATATATATATATATATGTATATATAAACATTTTTGCGGAAAAATTACATCAGAACTAACAATGGAATTGATAAAAAACCTGTTTTGCTTTAACAGCTTATAATCAAATATTAATATGCGCAATATTTGAGACATTCTGTCATGTATTGTGTATAACTAGTTTAAACAATATTGGAATAAGTGTTTCGATTTTCGACGTAATTGATGAGGTTCAATAAAAAAAAATATCTGACAAAATATAAAAAAATTTATGACGCAATCGATAACCACGTTTATGCGGTAATTCTGCATATCGATCTGCTGGATTGTTTCGATCATTTCTCGTAAGAAACTCTCTTAAATTTCCAGACTGTATGTATTATTACGGATAGATGATATAGTCTTTAACCTTAATCTAAAACTATCTTAAGTTGATACATTTTATACATGTAATTATAGCGTAAATAACGAAGACGACGGATCTCGTCCCAAGCTAATTACGGACGCTAGATCAATCAACGCAATATTGATTACAAGATGTTAAGAAACGGAAGAACTATAGACAGGCTCCGATTTGTATTTTACGAGATTGAAATAAATTTTCGCGTAAGAGAAGGAGAAGATTCTATTTACTTTGGTGCCGTAATAAAAGAATGTTTTCTAAAAACAGTTTTCATAACGTCAAAAGTAGTTTCCGATGTTAAAAACAACTTCCAAAGGTAGAAAACGGTTTCCAAAGCTAAAATATGATACGTAGCATATTAATCATTGTTCGTAAAATTAATTAAAATACTGTAGTGAGTAAAACTGAAATTGTATTCAGAATAGTATCATCACATCGTACGTAAAGTACAAAAAATGTTTGTATACCAAGCTTGGTTATACGCCGAACATGAATCGTTGAGTTTTTGCGCTTCTATGTTTATATGGGTCGCGCCGCCGAGCCGCTCAAAGTCAGTCGGTCGCGACGCGTCGTAGAGTCAATAGACTCGAACGTTATTCGGCTTTATCACTGAGGATAGAAATTTATTTCAATTTTTGCCATGTAAGTTGATTTCCAATTAGATTTTTGTCTAATACGATTCATTTTAATTTCAGTTTAACTTAATTTAGTTTGGTCTGGCATAGTTGTCCATTTTATTCGAGTTCCGCCCGCATTATTCGAGTTTTACAAAACTTTCGATAATGTTTATAACTGAGCGAAATTAAAAGTTATCGCGTGAGATTCTCCTTGCATCGAAAAATCCTCCTTTTGAAAAATAATTAAGTATAATCATTAGATTACAGCGTCAAAATTAATAGAATCACATCGCGTTCTCTTCTTCTTTGGTCTTCTTGCGCGTAAGAGGATCGAACGCAAATCTTGAGTTTTTACAAAATCATGTTATCGAGACAAGTGATATCTTTCAGTAGTGCTTAATAAGGAAAAATCTTAATATACATATAATCTCTGATTCTCTCAATGGGAAATAATTTTTTGATTGCAGACCAACCCAATCCCGAGTGACGCCTCGAGAGTACGCCGTAGGAATTTCGTCAAGATCTTCACTTCGTAATTCCGGACGTGTAGATCCAGACGACGGAGATCATCGAGATCGATCGTCTCCGCGTAGGCTCGCGGTCGCAACGACGTGAACGTCCACCGTCCATCCGTTGGTGTCATCGATCGTCCGTCAGGATCGTCTCCACCGACATCACGTTCAGTCATCGGCAAAATGGTAAGTACATACATACATTGTTAGCTACGGCACACGAAAGAGCATTACGATTGTTTATTCCTCGTTCACAAAACGAGAACGGTGCTTCTAGAAAATCGCTCGCACGTGATTAGCGCGGCTATAGTATGAGAATTATTAGATCTTTGGATGCATGATCATCCCTAACGCTTACACGAAAGAGATCAATAGAGAAATACTTTCTCAATAAATTTGAATCTATTAAACGTTGAGAGATAATGTGAGATATTTTTAAAAATTATTTGGAGAAAGGAAAAAGATGATAAAGATGATGAAAACATAATGAAAAGAAACCAATTTTCCTCTTTATGCATCCAAGGATTAATATTTGCGCAATGTTCTTCATCCAAATATTACAGTGTGACGCAAATAGATAATATATAGAATTTTTCCCATATAGCTGCATAAGTCATCATTATTTTTTTTAATATTCTCATAATATAAAATATTTATTTTCTTTATAATTTTATATATATATATATATATATATATAATAAATAATAGAACTTTCTACAGTTAATTTCATATGTGTATTAGAAAAAAATCAACACTAAATTGATACCAAAAAATACGTTAAAAAGATATATTACAAATTAACGTGTTGAAAAATTTTGTACATCAATTAATAAATTACTAAACAGATCAATATTATAAATTCATCATGAAAATAACAAACGTGGTTTAAATATCAAAAGTGGTTTGAAACATTTTTTTGTCACGTCACGTAGAATTTAAAGCGGTTTGTTAATCACACTGACAATACGAACATTGCGCACATTGCAATTTGCAGGTAAGCAGGCGTATCACGATTAACACTATCGTCACGCTAATTCGACGCGAGCATCGACAATTGATTCCTCCTCGTACGCAGTATTTTGTGCGCGGTATTTTTATTTTCACCCTCAATCCGATTTTTTCGCGCTGTTCCTCCGATGGTGCCGGAAGGAACAGATTTGACATCGTTTGTTTAATGAAATGGAAAAGGGGAACATTTTCGGCACAATTTAGGAACTTGGTGTCATAATGCGCGATGCGTGGAGGATTATCCGTCTGATCGTTACTGCAATCGCGTGTAACAGTATATTTGCGCCACGCGATTTCTCCGCATTGTGTCATCCCGCATCGCGTCGGATTATAATAGCCACTATCAACATTTCAAGTAATTGAACCAACCTTAATAACAGTTTGCGCCCGGTTATTAACGTAACTTAGTGCCGTAACGTCGATAACGAAGGACCTGATAAATGATCGACGTCGTAACAATATATTTGCCGCGAAATCGCGTGGCGTAAACAGGCTGTGAGAGTGTCGCCGTAGCGCCCATTATTTCTTTCAAATGAGTCTTGGAGATTTTTCTCAACCGACCCCACGAAGCACGTGGTTATAGACGAATGATGTCTAATGTGATTATTTTGTTATCTCTAAATAATAATACGCCTGTGCCGTTCGATCGTCGCGTTTTGTCGCGAGACCTTTCATCGTGCTCGTCGCGAGAAAAACTTGAACTCTGGAAGAATAGTCGCGGGTCTTCTCGCGCGTTTATGTGATATCGGGAGTCCGCGAAGGATCAGGCGGAACGTAACGGCTAGTGCGGGCTCTTCGATCGCGGGCTTCGATCGTCTATAAGTGTTCGATCAAGTCGTCGATTAAACATGCGACGAGTGAAGATCGATTTGCACGCGTCAGCGACATGTCAGTTGAGCGCCGTGATTTTTGCTCGCTCGGACGTGACGCGAAGGCGAAGAGCTGAACCGAAAAAAATTCGACATGAAATCGATATCAAAGAATTCCTTAAGAGGGAGTGAACGACGGCTGATACAACATCTTAATCGATAAATTAATATCAATTAAAATTAATATGATCATGATGGTTAGATTGGTATCAGGTACAGCGCGATATGAATAAGAGATGCTGGATCTTGCGAGTCGCGCGCCGGCGATTATAGGAGTTGAAATATCGTCAATCATGCCGAAGTTATTCGCCCTGATAACCGTCCGGCTTGCCCAAGCGTGATACTTGATTTCGAAGACCGATGCTGAAGGCAAATTACGGTGCTGAACTGACACGTCTGTAGAACTCGTGACGCAAACGATCCGGGAGAGTGTCACCATTGATCGATAAGCCCCGCGACTCACATCGCGACACGTGTCAGTGCTTAGCCTCTACCGTTCTCTCTTTCTCCACCTTCTCTCTCTCTCTCTCCTCCTTCTCTTATCATCTCTCTTCCTTTATCATCTCTCTTCTTTTTATCCTCCTCCTCTTCCTCCTCTCTGTTCTCTACGTAATAACATACCAGCTAGAAAAGGATCTTAATAATTTATATAGAAAATGTACAAGAAAATCTACATTCAACGAACGCGTGTGATATCTCTATGAGTACGACGGTCGACGCACGATGATCGAGCGGGCGAAGAATAAATAAATTAAAACAGAAGTCGCGAGAGGGAGGGGAAGCCTTTTCGGGGACGAGTTTTGTGCCATTTACAGTCGAGCGGTCCGCCGTGCCGAATAACGACGCGCGATGCAACGCATCTTTTTTACTTGGCTCGTTGTTGCTTCTCCAGCAACATGATTGCGAAGTACGAAGTTTCTTCACGTCGCACGATCGGTCTTGATAGTCTAGCTTGAGGAACCATGACTCGTCATTTATAGACGCGCATGACAGCGGCGTGATTTTCACACCGACGTCCGGGGAAATGGCGAAATATATAATTCTAATTTATTAAAAATTACAAAATTTCCGTTTCTCTTCCTCTCTTGGGATCTCATTGAGAATGACCGATGCAATGATGATGAGCAGCGAGATATGAAAAAGCGTTTTGCGTCTGTCAATGACGACGGGATACTCGTAGTACTAATCCTTCTAACTAATTCTTGGATTTCGCTACGGCGCATTTGTATAAAATCTTTAACGAGATCAAATGACCCTCAATTGAGGTTCATTAATCTTCGCGCTTTGTCGCGAGCAATCATTGGTGTGTGGCAAATGTCAAATCACTTTGATTTGAACTTGCAATTAATTAGAAATTACGGCTGCTGCATTTAGCGCCTGGCTGAAATGAACACAACACATTTTTCATCTTTCTGCTTTATAATCAATTATGATCTTGTTATTTCTGTACTGTCACTTTTGCAGTAACTGTTACTCTCTCCCTCATGTGCTCGAACAGGAATTGTCGAGCTAGGAAAAGCCGTTTGTACGTTTTCTCTCGTGAATCTCACCGAACAATTATGTGACGAAAACGAAAATATCGATTCGCGGTATTCGGTGACGTTTGCTCGATCAACTTGACGACTCGCGAGCGAAATGTGCAGCTCGATGGTATTATTTTCAATCGGGCAAAACCCGCGCGCGCCCGCCCGCCCGCACCCGCGTTCGCGCTAGTTCGTTTCTCGGTGAGTTCCAATTTTAGATGAGCGCGTGGAAGAAGCGTTTAAGCCGAGCTAAACGGATGCCCGTCTCGGCGACCGAAAACCACTCGCCTTGAATTCCTAATAGCCGTCCTTAGGGGCCGAATGTGCCGGCGGAGCTAATTTATCTCCCGAACGAACGAATGTCTGAGGATGCGCGTCGCGTGAAGGACGCGGCGCAGCCACCCAAATTTATTTAACTGTATTATCGACAACTCACCCCGAGCAAGCTCGAGCATTTTTACGATCTTTTGCGCAAATTGCAACGTTCCTCGGCCTGTTCTCAAGTGACGCTGATGAGAATCGTAAATTTGCAAGAGCGAGGCGGACGCGAAATCGATCGTTTTGCCTTTCGTGTAACGGAGCACTTCCGCTGGCACGTTTGTTCGTTTGTTTACGCGAGGCGTTTTAACTAGCGTTTGTCTGCAAGGGCTCGAAATGAAGCCAAACAAGACAACGGAGAATCCTAGGAGGTGTCTAAGGGGGATCTTAGCGATCTTTTAACTTGGCAAACGTTTGCTGGCCAATCAATCGGGTTCAACGAAAACCCGGTCATTAGCTTGACGTTGAGAAACGCTGTCGGAGATCGATTTTCCGATACACGGGGAGATATATAGATCCACTAGCGCATTACTTTCCACCCCGTGATGTTTTGGAAGAATTTGCGAGGATGAGTTAGATCTCCACCGGCAAAAGTATCGAGGTACCGAGAATTTTTAGGTTATGAGCATTTGGAAAAACTCTTCGAGACTAAGCTGTAAAAAGGATACCAAAATGAGCCTTATCGGCATAGCTTGAACATTTTGAAATTGATTATCAATGGAATATTCAACGTCGGAAATTAGACAGCGTTCGCGACAGCGGCAATGATCTCTCTCGGCAATTTTTGTCAAAAGGACACTGACTTCAGATCGACCGAGTAATAATTCGTGAATAAAGGACGATTCGCGTTAGATTCGGGATATTCTGTATCTTGGTGTATATCGGCGATATTTATCGTTGGATAACGGACTCAGAGAGTCGCATTAACTTTCTAAGCAAGGCGATCAGGGAGATAACGCTTCTCAGATTCCGATGCGATACAGCCTCTCTAATGATAATATATAACGGTTAAATATATTTCATGCATTTCACGTGTACCTTCTCTCTCATCTACTCGCTTCGCTCGCTCTTGTTTTTCTCTTTGCTATCTCTTCCTCTCTCTCTCTCTCTCTCTCTCTCTCCCTCTCTCTCTCTCTCTCTCGTCATTCTGTTTCTGTTCCTCTCTCGCGAGTGTTTCGTTGAATTCTCGCGCTGTTTCTCTCTCACTCCCACTTTCTCCGAGTGCAGTCTCCGGGCTCTCGAGACAAGGCGGCCGCGAATAAATCAGATTTGAAGCCGCTAGACGTGGTACACGTACGCACGCGTTTTGCTCTTGTCCACTCGAGACCGCCTTTTAGTACCAGGGACGATACGAGCCTTCCAGCTCGCGCGCTGGCCGCGGTTAAATCGTGCTTCCGTAGCAGGTGTGCTGCGTTTTCACAGGGATATAAAGTCGAGACGCGCATTATCGCTTGTACCTTCGTCCCGGTATTACTACTCGCCGACGTCGAAATATCGCTGCGATGTATAATTCGTGGTCCAAGTACGTTACGTCATTTTATTGCGCGCGCGTAAGATGATTGTTAGCGTTTCACACACATTTATCCTTAATATCTTGCTGCAATCTCTCCAGTATTTGACATGGTTTGACGAAAGACAAATTGGACACCGCGTGAGTAGAGCTGGTCGTTTTTGCTGAGATAAGATCGTTGAAACGTCGTTGCACGAACATTGAGAAATAATTTAAAACAAGATGAAATTCTAATGCAGCCACACGATAAATAAGCGCGCATTTGTCTCTGACGGGGAACGCTCAAAATTGGCATATTGGAAAAAAGATCGGGCGCTTTGAGAAAGAAGTATTTGACGTTTTTATCTGATCTGATTTAAAATTCTTCGACGCGACTTTTCGCAATTTCGTTACTAGAGCTTGGAAACGGGAAGAAAAGAAAAATAAAATTATCACATAAATTCCGCTCAAAACATTTTGTTTTTTACCGGTCGCCGTGTCGATTTCCGTTTATAAGCAGTAGCGGACAAGATTAAAGACATTGTGCATCAGGCGCGAGATGTACAATATATGATTTCGGGAATTGATTTTCCTTCGTTGAATCTATTAAACTTTAACTGACAGCACCTCTTCCGTAATACGATGCATTAACGGCCCTTTCGCGTATATCACATTCGCGCCGTATCGCGTACAATCCATACACGTCTATCTATTTTTGTATATAGCGAATTGATGTTGATGGATACAAATTACCATCGGCAGTATCGGAGAAGCGTTCTTCTGAATGGGCCCGGCTATTTTATGCGTATTATAGCGATATTAATAGGCGCGCGTTCTCGCAGTCTATACCTCGCACGCAAAGCCCAATCAACGCCATCAATATTTATTGACCTCGAAAATCGACCGCGGTGCAAATTCCACAATCCGGAAGTGAATAATCTCTCACTCGAATCCGTTTCGGGCGCCGCACTAACGGTACAGAAAATCGGGCGACACATTCGGGGGCGATTATTCGCCGTTGAAATAACGGCTGTAGTGCGCATCGGGAACACGCGCGCCGTACCTTCGCGGCGATTTGCGGTATTCCGGAGTAATTGAATCCGCCGCGTAAATCCGACCCGGCGTTTATCTCGCGACATTTCTCACGGACGCACGATTTGTCGGGCGCGCGGACGATCGTAACGTCGAGCCCTCGAGGATACGTGCCGTTCGATAAATTGTTCGTCACGGAGGGGAAATGTCGCGTGGCAAATATCGGAAGTGAATCGATACATCGCGAAACTCGTTCGCCGCGATTAAACGAATTTGCCGCGCGACTCGTAGCCCGCGATTTGTCGTCGTCGTCGTAGTCGTCGCAGGGTCATCGAGCGGATTTTTTCACCGACCTGCGTCGCCGGATCCGTCGCTCGCGACGGCATGTTCCCGGCAGCCGTTGAAATAAATCCGGATGAACCTCGAGGATTGTTCGTATTTAACCGAATAAAGTGGCTCCCGTGCGAACGTGATCCATCGACGGTGAATGGCCTTCGTTTCCGAGTTTAGTGCTCGTTTGTCAGCTTTGCATCGAAACGATCGACATTTGCCGATCGCTTCGCGAACCGCTTCGGGATTATTCATTCGCGAACGGAACGGTTGCGGTGCCTCGCGGTATGTGCAACCATCTTTCTGCAATGTCGTGCATTGCTCGCTCGTCGTTCTGCACGGCGGACGCCTCTCTTGGAAAGAATCGCTGTTCCCTCTTTTATCCTCCTCCTTGCCTCCTCGTCGTTGCCTTCGACGTGCGATCGTCGACGAGTACCGCGCGCGAAACAAAATCGGCACCCCGATATACACCGGTATTCGCGGCCGGGAAATGAAGATATGCAGGCTCCTACGAGCACGGTTGGGAGGGGATCGACTTTTTTCCTTTTTCTCTCTCTCTCTCTCTCTCTCTCATACATACGTACATACATACACACATGCGTACGCACAAACACACACTTTCTCTTACTCCCCCTCGTTTTCTTCCTTTCTCTCTTTTTCTCTTTCTCTCCTCTCTCTCTCTCTCTCTCTCTCTCTCTCTCTCTCTTCCTTCTCTCGTTTTCTCATTTTCTCCTGATCGCACTTCCTATCTCTTCCTCTCTCGCCGCGACGTACGGAGCATTTCAATGGCACGATCTTGCCCTTCGTTGGAAACGGCGCATTCGGCGGTGCCATTCGTCGCGCCACTCGATGACGATCGACCTCTGCGTAACCGTGAGCCCACCTTGACCACCGCCGTCGCTCTCTTGGCCGAGGATCAAGTATGATCTGCGAACACATAAGCATCGAATGTGAGCGTAGGCCGCAATTCGCGGCCCCCTCGGTCCGCCACCCCGACTACCCCGACAATTTCGCGTCCGTTTGGAATCTGACGGGCGGTTCAGTTCACGGTCGCGACGGCCGCTCTAGTTTCCACATTATCGAGATTGTCCTATTCCGGAGAAACCTTGACCGCTCGGGATTGATTTCCAGTTCGAGGCGAGCCAAGTGCCAAATTACACCGGTGCGGTGCGGTGCTTAAGAAGCAATCGAGATACGTATGACAAAGTGACAGACTATATATCTTCGCGTCGTTCTTTAGTATCTTGCCTGCAAAAGTTTCTTGAAATCGTCACAAAATTTATGATCTCCACGTCGCGAGTAGTTTCGTCCATCGGATCTTGTAGGGACAAGATATGACAAGGCGTGTTTGTAAACGAGAAAATAATCTCGAGAAAGAAATAAACGAGGAGAGAATAAAATATGTAGTAAAGAGAGTTAAGTAACTGTTAAGTAGCGACTGGATACTCACTTGTTAGGCTTGATTTTCGGGCATCTGCAGGCCAGATCAGCCGAGTGTACGTAAAGGGACACGTCGCCACGTCGGATCCTCGAGTTGGGATTTTTCTTGTAAATGAAGTCGACGTTTAGGGTGAATCGGATCCAGGATGTGCCTGATACGCTTGTGCCGGGTTGCGAGCCGTCGCTCTTCTTGTGTCTGTCCGTTATTCTTCCCAGAATAGCTGCGGTGAAAAAGAACATATTGAACGTCGTATTTTTAGCGCAGGCTATTACCGCGTACATATTACGTCATATAATTGCAGTGACGGCGAGAAAGCGGGGGGATTGAGCGAAAACTTCGTTTCGAGAAAAGCGTATATTAAAAGCCTCTATTTTATTCAGTAGAACGTGTTTGCAAGGGCGCTATTACAATTCCGTTTCACGGCAAATGGAGTTACAGCTGTCTTCTCTCACTAGAATATTTCGCAAAGCGAGAACTTCCTGAACACATTTTTCGCTCGCGAATAATTTGTTGTCGCCTTTTCACTCATGGCGAATCTAATTTTGTAGAGTCGACGTTTCGCATTGTAACTAGAGTACCTAGAGTATCGTGCATAATCGACGTCGGCTTTTAACACGGACACACACACGTGTTCCTTACGCTGAAAGGACGCCCGGGTCCTTTCAGGCAACCGTACAATCGTTTCAAGACCGTGGAATCGAATGGGGGCCCGCGGTCGGGCGAGACTTTTTCCTCTCTTTCTTTCCCTCCCGTTACGAGCGTACCATCGATCCTGTCGTCCTCAGGACAGGGATACTATTAGCCTTTCGCCAAGGACTAGGGTCATGCCCCGGCGAAACAGCGATTCAGCGTCGAGTTGCATTCGATCGAACCATTCATTACTCGACGTCGGCGTTACGAGTTTGTACGCCGTCGTGCTCGACCCCGCGGTTTGCTATTCGAATCGTGGGGCCGCGTTATTCCTCACGTCGTGGTCCGAAGAGACTCTGCTCGTTCCTCGCGGGGGAGGCGTAGGATAGCGGAATGTATTCTCGTAACGGAAACTTGCATTTTCTCTCTCCGAGGATTTTGCGGGAACTCGCGATATCCAGAAGACACGGTTTCGCACGGTGAGATCATCCCTTAATCACGCACGAACATGTGTATCGAGAAATCTTTTGTATAAGATGCTTCGAATAAAAATGTCCCTACTGGATTCCGTGTCTCGAGGAAAAGCTGTCTTTCCGAGAAAGAACGTATCTCGTTTATTTCCGAAGGAAAAATCATTCTCGAAAGTCTCCATTTTTTTCTCGACTTCTTTCGTTCTCTCGCTTTGGTTTTCAATTTAATTTCGGGGCTAGCAGTATGAGCTGAACGCCGAAACAGCGAGAGAAACTTCTTCGCAGCGTACTCCTCGGCGCACTCAACATCGGCCGCACTCAAGATCCGCGCGTAAAACTCAGGCGACGAAAAACAAGACGCGCAGGGGCACGTGCGCGTACAAGCGTCGAGGATGGCGCGGGAAGTCGTCGTTCCCGATCGGTTTCGTCTTTGCGACGTAGTCGGGATGCGCCGCGGTCGTTTCAGCCCCGCTATTCTAAGTCGGAGACAGCTAAGTGCAGACCTGTTGAAGATTTATCTGCGCTGAATCAAGCGAGCCGACGGGAGAGAGGAAGGAGCAGGGAGTTGAGCCGAGGCCGCCGCCACCCGGCCGAAAGCCGGCTCAAAGGCGTGCCATTCTATTATTGAAAGCCCCGGCACCGTTAAAACGCGAGCCTTTCATTTTTGAACCAGCCGTTATACACATTACCGCGAGAGTGCTCGTGTTCGTTGGGAACCGTCATAGCCACGCACAAACAACCCTGCTTTTCTCTCTCTCTCTCTCTCTCTCTCTCTCTCTCTCTCTCTCTCTCTCTCTCTCTCTCTCTTCGTCTGCTCGACAGTGAATTTCACGAATTCCGAGTCCGAAGCGCGAAACAGATCGATAGTCGAAATAACTGTTTCGAATTTCTATTACTGAACGAATAGTGATTCTTTGTGAAGCCACATTAATGTTGAATTTATTGTAATGAGCAATGGCACACACGCTGATGTAGATTAACTGATGTAGTTAATAAACTACGATTAATGTGTCGAGATGCACGAAAATCTAACACCAGCAAGCAACACAGTATTTTTTTTTTTTTTATAAAAATGCTATTTTCTGATTACCTTTGCGGTAAATGTCAGATTCAATTGAAATCAATTGGATGCGATTAATTTACAGTTGAATTTAATTTCTTTCAATTCTCGTTAATTATTTGTAACAAGCGAGGGTTCCTCCAAAGCGAAACTCTCCCCGCTGTCTCTTCTCTCTTTTTCCCACTCTCTTTTCGCCTCTCTTTGTCCTTCTCTGTCTGCGTGTGTGTTTATATGCGACTTTTTCGAGGACTTTCGAGGGAGAGAGAACGGCACTCCGGCATAAATCGTCCTGTTTCACATGCGCCCTCCGAACTGGGGCGGGTGCACACACACATATATACACAAGCACATATATGCATGCACATTCACCCCTGATAGAAGCCGAAACAATTTCGGTGGCTTTGCGCCGCGCAACGTTTTTCCACTAGCGGCCAGCCGGGAATCGACAATTGTCTATAGTATCGTCGCGTTTATCGTCGCTGCCGAGCATTCTCGTTTAGCTCGCCGAGCGTGATATAATGATATTGAATTCAGGAGTTATCTACTGTTACCTTCCTATCGGAAAAACAACGGGATATTCGAATATGAGAGTAATTTTCCATTCTATAGAGCTCGAACGACTTTTTAATGAGAAGCGAAAAGTATACACACACTATCTCTTTCTCTCTCTCTCTCTCTCTCTCTCTCTCTCTCTCTCTCTCTCATGTGATATTTTCTACCATGAGTACTAAAATGAAACCAGATTGAAATTTGTAGATCTATCGAACGACCCCCCAAACTGATACGCGTATCTCTCTCGACAGGAATTTGATATTTAATTGTTATTAGAAAATTTAATGGCAATTTTAGTCGCGGGAACATTGTACATTAAAATTTCGCTCATATAAATTCATTTCAAGGATCAGGTTACTCGAGCGGGCAACTTAATGAAAGTGGTCGACGGAAAGTTTCGCGAAATGCTCGACACAAAATATTTATTGATTAGAATATTGCGGGTATTTGGTATCGAAGTGTCAATTAGTCAGTATTTCGTCAATGAACGCCAAGCCTGTTGTCGTTCATTTCACAGTGACTCATTCTATTTGTGGAAATTGCGATAGCCGCGGGTTATACCGCGTTATATATAGCGACGGGTTAACTATAGGTCCTCGAAGATTCACACGACGATGGGATTTACATGCAATGTTTGGGTTTCCGCGGGCTCCACTGTGTCAGGGATGAGCGCGATTAATACCCTGTACTCCGCTTCGCAACATTGTTCGGCGACGCTTACCGTAGTCTCTTTTGCAGTACTTGTTGAGATTTAGCCTCTTCGTGCTGGCGCGGCACTTTCCGCACTGATCTGCAACAAAACGAAGCGGAAGACAAATTACATCGCTCCTCAGTAGCTTAATCAATTTATGGCGGCGCGCGGCTTAACCCGCGTGACTTAATTCCCTCGCGGTCGCGGGCGTCTGCGTAAGCGACGCGAGGAAACGCGTCGTTAGCGGGAATGTCCTTTAAATCGCGCGCGCGGAATACAATTCGGTCGGCGCGAGCAATTGTCGGAATTAACTGCTCTCGCGCGCGCGCGCGCGCGCGGATGTTATCGAAATAGTCGTCGTAGAGTCTCGACGCGTGTGCCACCAAAGTGCCCTCGTGGTGCGGCCATTAAGAACGATTAGAGAGTCTCAGAAACGCGATAAGTGGCGTGATACATTAATAACGCTTATTTACCCGGAAATTTAATACGATTGATACGATTAGCGCGGTTAAGTAGCGCGGAGGATTGAACGCGCGCGCAGATGCGAGGGTTCCTCTCTCGGTCTCTCCAGTGTCAGACGAGACGTTGAACGGGCGTCGTGACGTCACGGAGCCTTCGACCCCGTGTCGCGAACACATCGCAGGCACTTGGGTTACTTCAGCTCGTCTAGCCTCGTCTCGCACTTGACACGGCCTATTATCATCCACCGGCCGGTATCCATCCATCTATTATCTAGCCGCGACTATCCATCCATTATATCCCGTATGGTCAGCACGTCTCGCAACCGTTCGATTAATTTCCCGGGCGTTGTATTATGGGCCCGACTGCCACGAGGACCCGGGGATTAGTGTCGTAATCAGAATGAAGCGTGCTCTAGAACATTCGTGTCGACTTTAGGATAACGCTTTTCTCTCGTCGTCGCTTCGTAGGGAAATGGGATAAGAGTAATCAGAGGCAAAAACTTACGCGTGGAGCGTGAAGAACTCTCTCTCTCTCTCTCTCTCTCTCTCTCTCTCTCTCTCTCTCTCTCTCTCGTGGATAGAAGCGACATTAAGAATTTTCCTCCGTTTCGCAAGGTGCGTAATACACGGCTCTTTGTAGTCACACACATAGTGTGAAGGCAAAATAAAAAACCAAGTATGACCAAGATTCGCCAGATCCCCGGAAAGTCAGGTCTCCGAGAGAAGACAGACCGTAGAGAAAACCTTGGGAAAGCAGGACACGCGTTCGGAACTTTAGTCAGTCAGTCGCGAGATTCGCGATCGGTCCGCTAAGTTTTCCCTGCTGGCTGCTTACGGCATTGATTGGTTCAGGGCAGGGGGCAAGCGTGGGTAGAGGCGGATGCGAATCGACGTGACGCGTCGAATGCCGGGGCGTGCGCGGGGCTAACTGGCAAATTAGTGTAAGCGGCCCACCTGGTGCTCGCGATACAGCACGGCACGGCAACGAGCGACGTTCGCTCGTTCGTACCTGCGACGCGACGTTCCATGCCGGATCGCGCACGTGTCGAGGATTGAAAGCGCGTGATTGATCGGCTGGCCGGCCGACTCGCCGCGCCGCGCCGCGCCGGCTGGCAGCGCGATCGAGGATTGCCCGCGAGATCGGCCGACTGTTGCTCGTTGATTTATCGGCAGAAACGTGCCCGGGTTTCGTAACGCGACGGTAGCCGACGAGGGAGATCTTCAGATTCAGATCTGAAGCGGGCTCCCAGGAGCCCTCGCGAATAGCTTTCGTCGAGGAAGCAGGATGGGGGAGGAGACGAGGCGGAGGGCTCTACGAATTTAGATGAGAAAAGAGTCGCATCTTTATTTTGACTAGTCTCTGAATAGTATCAAATGTAGCATCAACGGACTCGGCAAGTTTGTTTTTCGACTAGTTTGAGAACCGTGTGCGCTTCGACATAATTGCTCTCCCTTGTAATCTGTGTGTATAACTTCGTACGTGCTGTTTGAATAGCACAGAGCCTCGGGGCTAACCGAAGAATTAAGAAGCTTACGAGGAGCTTTCAGCGCCGAGCCGAATTCGCTGTTACGTTTACTCTTCGCGCATTTCGAAGCGTATCGGTATCGGCCAAAGTGAATTGCATCGGACTGGCGAGTATCGGGCCAAATATTTAAAGCCATTAGATAGGCCGCGGAGAAGTACTTGTTTTTCGATACGGGAACGACCGGTTCTTCCGATGAGCGCGCTAGTTTACGACTTTGTGCATCCGCGCATACAAGCGAGAAAACGGAGCAGAAAATGGACGACCGCGTTAAATAATACTCTTTCGACGCGGAGCGCCGCGATGATACTCGAAAAATTTACATCTCACGCGATATCCTGATATATATCGGAGTAATATATACTCTCGCCGGCATAGGGATCCAATTATCTTTAATAGAATTAATCAAGGTTATCCGCCGGTTTATCCACTCTATTTCTCATTCGCGTGTCGTCTATCGAGTCTATCCGTGGTCGCGGCTGATAAATGCGAGAGCACGAGAGTCACGTCGCGCGATCGCGCGAGAAAGAGAGAGAGAGAGAGAGAGAGAGAGAGAGAGAGAGAGAGAGAGAGAGAGAGAGAGAGAGAGAGAGAGAGAAGGGAGCTTCGAGATCTTTGACCCTGGGAGTGTCGTGCTTTTTGCCGGACATTATAGACTCCTGTAATGTGTACCGAGCCTCTAAGCTGATGAGATATAGGCGAGGCGGTGTCACACGTCGCATGCGATACGGGAAGCAGAGCCTATACGAATGATCGAATTTACATAGGGTGTTCGGGATTTCCTTATTATAAATTTCAGACCTTTTTCGAATCGGTTTATTCATATTTTACGCCCCTTCCGAAAAGATGAATGTGAAATTCGAGAAGAAAATTTTGCGAGCGAAACTGCGTTTCTCATGCCTGAGAAACAGAAGAGAGATCAGAAGAGATCAGAAGAGAGCACAAAGATAGAACCTGATTTTATTTAATTTAGAATTTGACGAAATATATATCGAAGACGCACATAAACAGTCTAATCTATATTACATCATACTTTTTTCGAATTCATACATATTTATTTATTTAATTTATATCGGAAGCGTGCATCTCTCCCTCTCTACGTGATTCCGGAATTTACCCGACAAACAAAAAGTTTTCGTACTTATATCCCTCTGTCCTTCGAGTATGCGATCAAGAGATAGATCCCACACACGCAGTGTGTTCGCAGCCCGCTTGCCACTCTGATCGCATGCGAAAGCGTCGATCCCGTAATTACGGTTAGACGCCTCCGAGAAAACTAATCCTATACTCGTGGCCGGCGATGCTCGTTTTAATGCTCGGCGGTTAGGAGCTTAGCGGTTACGCACTGTCGATGCCGAGGCGAGGATACGCACGCCCTCCTTATTTATCTCGTTCTCGCCATGATAATTCTACTCACATCCATCTCTACTTTTCGCCTATTCGCCAACTTAATTCTAATCATTAACGGCCGATCTCTTTTTCCTTTTTTCCTTCTTCTTTTTTCGCGAAAAGCGAGAGGGTATATAGGAGAGAGAATAATGGTAAAATAAAAAAAAGGAGAAGACAAAAACGATTTAACAACGAGTACGATTACAAGCGTGAAAACGTGTGCTGCAAGTGTACGCGAAATTAATAGCTCGCGGTTGTCTGCTTCACAATCGGGAATAACTGAATCTTTTTTGAGATTCAACATCGAAAATGGGAATGCAATTTCGATGCGTTCGTTGTTGCGCCGCGCTGTTGATGTTCTGCGAGCGATGACGAAGAGAACAAACGCGCGAAATCACGCGATATAAGAGATCACCAGTGTGCTTTCGAACTTCTGTGAAATTAAATAAAAAATTCAACTAAAGTTTATCGTGCGGCACGTACATATGCGAAATGACGCAGTGTTCTGCTTTTAAAAATCCAACTCGATAAAGTTCTGTTAATTTCTCGCGTGTAATGTTTTCGCATAATTAGGTCAGTCGTTTTGTTACGCGTTACGAAAAAAATTGAATTTGAAATTTGCCGAATTATTGAAGGAGGCTGGTTATATTGTAACCTGGTTATATCGTAATTATCTGGCAACACACATACACACATTCACAAAGTTTCGCGCGGTAGATGTAACGCCGTCGGCCTCAATTCGTCACGTAATTACTACAGACTTATTACTCTCCCTCCTCCCTCTCTCTCTCTCTCTCTTTCTCTATCTCTTATTTCTCAGGTACGAAACTATCGTCCGCACAATTAATTTCATTTTCAAGTTCTGCTAAAGATCATTTCGCGCGAGAGAACTTAAGCCAAGGATAAGATTCCGTCGTTATCTTGTTATCAATGAAAGAATTTCCATCAATAGATGCCATCACAAGAAGTGCATAGAGAGACGCGCTTTCCGCGCGTTGAGCGGGATCGCGCGTATACGCGCAATACGACCGCGGATACGCGCCATTCACAAGCTTCGTCCTTTGGACGAGCTACCATTCATCCTGGCCCATTCATCGGCCGGTCGACCCCGAAGCGCTGCGACGATCGGAAGTCGCGCGATTTAGACGCCGATACTCGCGCGAGTACGCGCGCATGTAATCCGCTTAGATTCAGCCGGCGTCGTTAATACGACGCGTCCGATCGCGACTTCCTTTGTGCCTTAATCGTCGTCAATTTGTAACCACGTGCTGCACGAAAGCGGATATTAATGCCATAGAGAATGTGTCTTTGATGCTTGGAACGTAACACGTGGTATGAAGGCGATAATTCTTATGGTTGTTGTTCTTATTGCTGCGATTTTAAGTTGTAGATTTTAAGAATATTTTAATAGCAAGTTAGGTGTACGCACAATAAGATCTATCATGGCTCTGTTCAAACGAAACAGATATTACGCGAGGCACTTGTTTATTTGACTTGAATATGATTATGTTATAATATTATTTCTGGAGATATTCGTGTAATCTCTAATTTTACAACTCCGCGCGTTGTGCAGCGTGTACTAGTTCGGGAAAATGACATCTCGGAATTCGCACGGGCCGAGAGATAAATTCTAGAAGTTATTTTAACCTTGACTGCGCGCGTATTTTTAGCCACCCACATTCTCGGTGTGTTAATCGTTATCCGGAATGGTTACGCAAAGTGACGT